AGAGCGCGCCAGTCGCTTTGCGCGTTTAATGCTCAATCCACACCAAAAGCTTATTCAGTTAAAAAAGATAGGAAAAAAAAATCAGTCAAAGAAAATGGCAGGAATGGCTATTACACAGGTGACATTACAGATGGACGTAAAATTTACAATTTTAGAAATATTATGAACTGAGCAAGGATGACACAGTGGTGAAAGCACTCACCTCGCAAAACCGGATTTACCTCGCTGGTAGCTGATAGGATTTTTCTAGGCCTTCATAAATGCGCTAAAGAGTCGTACGTTCAATTTTAAGTTCAAGTTTTGAATAGATGCAGAGTTAATCCACATTACCCACGTTTATTTGGTATCAGTGTTTGATTGGAGAAATTAAGTATTCCTCGGATAGTAGGGCCGGACCGTGCGCGCAAAGAAAACGGAAGGAAGAGAGAAAAGATTCATATATAAAATTGTGATAAACCTGCTTTCCTCTTTATTTTTTCCATAGTTAATCCCGGAGGCTGGACTCCACCTTCCGTTGTACGTGCAGTTTCTAAATGAGAATACCCGAAATTTCTCCGTAAAATCAGCTCTTTCTGTCAAAACGCCTGTAACGACAAGCCTATAACCATGTGAATCAGCGGTAATCGGCCAAGCACAATGCGTATGAGTGCCTTGGTAATGTATCAGTCTTGACAAGTGGAACTAAAGGAAGCCAGTCTGGAAATCTTTCAGTATGGAGTTAAATGGCAGCAAGGAATTCAAAGCTTCTCCTTGAAGGCAGAGAATTAATCAAGCATCTCAGAATATCAGTGGGGAAATAATTATTATAACCTGACTTGTAATTATCTGCATATCAATGCCGTGCCAGTATGATCCGCCAGGCTGAGTCCATGGCTTTATCGCGGCAATGGACCAAGAGATTTTTAAATGTTAGAAACCAGTCCGTGTTGGCTTGCGGACAGAATGATTGCCCTATTTCTTCTGCAGTACTAAAATTCAGCACCCTGTGAATTGTGGCAGAAGGGGAAAAAATTGTTTCTCAGGACGTTAGGATAACTTTTAGCCTCAGAGAATTTATTTGTTTTCTGTGTTCCAAATTGAATTTCCACTTGCGACAGTTTTAGATTTTGAGTGCATTCGATTGGGACATTTGGATGTAGATTAAGTTTTGAAATGGGTATTCGGATTTTGCAATAAAACACGAAATCCGTCACCAAGCTGGTGGATTTCAACTAAGAAATCCAATTCCTGATTTGTTTTTTGTTAGGAAATCCGAAATTAGGAATTGCAAAACTTTTCTCTTAATTGAACAGCGGAAATCCACGAAGTTCTCGTCCTTGAAATCAGTATTTGGTTTTCATGTATTAATGTAAATCCAAAATCCGGATTTCTTAATCTAAATCCAGATGTCCTAGTCGAAAGCGCCCTTTACTATTGTACAATTGTAATTGGATGGTTTTACTTAGAGATTTGTTCTACTTACTCTAAAATTAGAGCTAAAGCATAATGAAAGTCACCCAAATGAACAACTGCATAGTAGTTTTGTTTTGAATAGCCTCACGACATATTTGTTTTGAAACAGTGAAACAATTTGTATTAGAATTTTCTCTTATTTCAAGCACTCAACGGTGTTCGACATTTTCTACGTTTCTTTTTTATATGCTGGGTTTGGCGATGTAGGGGTTACTTTGAAGTGAAATGTGCCTGTTTGGGCTATTTTAAACATTTGCAAATCATTTGGCTTTCGATTTAGCCTGTGTACAGACCGCCCCCCCCCCCTCCCCTCAATAAAAATCGGGGAAGGGAAGGGGCCCCTTCTCCGACTTTTACTGAGGGGAGGGGGAGTCTGTACACAGGCTACTTTTGGTTGAGATTCTTAAGGCTTTCGTCTCTTTAAAATTCTTTTTATACAATGAAATCTGCAAACTTAACTTTATCTCCTCATTTTTGAAAGTCCTTGGGTGCTTATCACTTACATGGGAAATCCGGAAATTGTGGTTGGAAAATCCAATAGTTCGCAGCATTCCGTTTGAAGAGATTCAGAATTTCAGGCGATGCCATTTTGCTACCCTTTTTTAACCTGTTTTGCTGATTTGAATATTTCATACATTGTAGCGGGTCGTTCTCCCACCATGTCAAATTTTATAGTTTTATTTTTTGCACTAGATTCTTCACCCGGGTGGTTTGTGTAATTGGTAAGCATCCCCTGAACAATAAATGTACAGCTATTTTAACGTATATTGTAAATGACAAATAACAACGAATGTTGAATTGAAAAAGTCGCGGTGTAAGGAAATGCCTGTTGGTCTATTTTCCTTGAACAGGGGAACTGATTTCAGATGTCAGCCAGATTTTTAACTGAGAATCCTTTTTCGTGTTTGATTTAGCTTCTCAAACCAGTCAAACCATCTATAGCTCAAACAAACATTCCAAATTATTATTGCGTCTCATGCATCGCGGCTTTCTGTTGGCCTTTTTATGATTTGTGGACGCGTTTAAGAACATAATTTCATGCCATGATGGATTTCGAGATTGTTGAGAGTTAGAGACACGGTTTACAAGGTTCCGGGCAAATTTTTGAACGGACGAATTTTTTACCTGTGCGACCTGTTAGCACGGAACCGTTTAAATCTGTTACAGGATTGCAGCACTGCTTACACGAATCCTTCTGATCAGGTGAAAAATTCTCATGGTTCTGCTGGTCCGGTGCAAACAAGACGCGGATTCTTGCAAGTTTCTGTGCGTTCAAAACTGATTTTGCCGGACCCCTGTAAACCAGGTCTGAGATCGTTAATTTTATGTTTAAATGGGAGAAATATAGGTGAAAAACTGTAAGAGATTTTTGGAAGGCAATGGAAGATTAAGAGGACAATAATATATTTTGAAGGTGAAAAGTTAACATTAATTATAGGCGAGTATCATAAGCAATATTTATGTAAGCTTTTTGATAGACTGGAAGGACTGACTTCTGAGGAAATCAAAGACAATTAGCAAATGAAAAAATTGTGTTTTTTATAATGGTGTAAACCCTGTAATATTAATAAGTATTACTGAATATGAAGTTCATACTGCCAAGACTCTTGTTTGATTCGACAACGATGAAACGCAAAGCCATATTTTAGTACAGATATACCTGAGATGAGTCTCAAGGCGTTAGGTAAAGCCCGGTGTTACATGTTGTTGGGTGTTGGTGCGCAGTCAAACTTTTGAGCCAACAACGCCCTACATTTCTTTTGTTCCATGATCGCCGAAGCGTAGCGCAACAGCCTGCAGTGCGGACGTATTTTGGGCGGGTGAAAGTTGCTTGTTTATGTTCGTACTGTTTTAACCGCCATCTTTGTTATGACGGAGGAAGATTAGGGAGAGTAAAAATAGTAACCCTAAGGGTAGGTGCTAGGGGGGAAGAAGGAAAGGGGAGAGGGGGAAAAAATACGCGTTTTCTCTTCTCTTTTCCTGCCCCCTACCCCGCTCCGTTTGACTCGACCCATTTTCTCCCCTCTTTTCGAGTTTCAACATGCGCTTTCGCGAGCAAAACGTTCGCGCGCCCGATGAAAACGCCAGCACTGCAGGTTACAACAATGTTGGATTCGTTTGCACAGCTCTTCCAACATTTTTGGGCCCCGCACGCGCATTACACATGGTCTCCAAAGTCTTATGGGTTGTATACTTTCCACGATTCACTGCAGCTCCCAACGTTGTTGGGAATTGTTGCACTGTTTGCACACCACTACCATTCCGGACGCAACAACTGCAAGAAAAGAATTACATATAAATAACGATTTAGAAGTAGTGCATCCACTAAGTGGTTCTTCGTCTACCTGATTCCTGGTCGAATTGGAATTTGAAAATGTTGGTTTTTGAGGGGAGGAAAAAACGAGAGTACTCGGAGTACAGGAGAGAACCAACAACGAACTCAACCAACATGGCCTCGACGCTGGGATTAAATGTCAAAGATCAACAAAAAGAAAAAACAAACTATATAAACACAACAAAGAAATGTTAAAAGGCAGAAGGGAAGTATGCACTTTCAGCAAAAAAGTGCGAACGCCTGTGCAACAACAATCGGCGACAAAATTGGGGTAACTTTCGAGAAGAAACCAATACCCCTCCCCTCTCCCCTCCAATCAAAGTTGGGGTGTTTTTTGTTCTCAGCTACAGGTAGTTCGTACAGTGGCACAACATTACATCGAGGGGGTGAGGGAGAGAAAGCTTTATTTTCCGTTTTTTTAAGTTGGAGGAATAGTAAAGACGCCCTTTAGGGCAAATTGTCTTAGCTAATTTTTTCGCTGATTATAGCTGCATGCTATATGATAATTAAAGAGATAAAATACACACAAAAAAACTTGAATAAAGTCTTAATTTAAAATCAAAATGTTAACGTGACAAAAGGAGCAAGGTTGGCAACATTCGTCATAGGTATCGTAGATAATTTATGCTTACTGCATGCAGCCTTATAAACGGAACACAATCAAAAAACAGTTGCTGCGATTAATCATCAACTCGCCATACGGATCAAATTTCATGACCATTCTTGACTTTTTCGTCAGTCGCTGAAAAACTGGCGGTTGTCGAGAGGTTTTTTTTGGAAGTTGGTGACGAGCTTTATAGTGGCCGTTGATGTTGTAGAGAGGTGGCCGTTGTAGAGAAGCTTTAATAGGAGTCAATGTATGGACTGCATGTCCGCCGGGACAAAAGAAAGAGGTCGTTGTCCATATGTCAGGTGGCCGTTGTGGAGAGGTGGTCATGGCGGTTCGATCGTATACTTGGTGGTGTTGGAAGCCATTCTTCCTGTAGAAATGAGTTCCTGAGCTTTCCTGAGATTAGAAAAGTATGCAAACAGGTGATTGGTGGAATCAGGAGGATGGAGGCGCACCGCAAGCTGTTTTGGCGGGAAATCGCGTCAAGCTACCGTCCGTTTTCCAACTTCGCTACTTTTTCACGAAAATGAGACTTGTAAGTGGAGTATGTGTCAAGCTTTTACTGAACATTTTGGAAAATCAACTTCATTTTACGTGTTAACGATGGAAATGACCAGTCCTCCGAAACCAACTCGAATAGTGAATTGTTTATTGCCAAATCCAGTTGAAGATGAAGCTTTAGAGAGCAAAGGTGATGAAGATTTTTCCGAAAAAAATGGCGATTTAAGCTTGAGTTCAAGGGAAATTCTCAGCTTGCCAGCATTAGCTGGTGAAGTTGCTGTAGCTCAAAAGCAACAAATCAACGACTTGAGCAAAAGGCAAGAAGTTCTAGAACAGCTTAAGGTAAAGTGTACGAGACTGCATAACTTTTCATGACATTACAAAAGCTTAAGCTTAAGCTAAATTCACGATTCGGTCTTCTTTTTTTATTTTTAATACATGCATGAACTCGCATCGCCGGTAGGAGAAAAACCGTCAAGGTAAGCATGCATCGCTCAGTACTTTAATAAAACTCGTCCATTGTGAATTATTTAGGTGAAATTGTTTTAAACTGATAATTCAGCAAACAATAGCTCAGTTTTAAAAACTACGTGGGGAATTAGCTATTAAAAGAGCTCTCCAAGCAGTCAGTAAAATTAGAATTCTTTGTACTCCTTTCTTTCCAAATTAGTTCAGTTAAAGATAAATGCAGTTAAAGCTGAGGTTGCTACCGTTTCGAGAAAAGTTTATTTGACAGAAGATGATGTTTCAAGAAAGAAAGAAAACTGCCAGGCACTTAAGAAAGGTTAGTTTGTTAAAAGTATAAATACTAGAAGCCCCTCAATTTCATTTTTGGACACTTGTAGATAAGTTTGCAAGGGGTTTCACTGCAGCATTCCCAGGAAATGTACGCCAAACAACGTATGTTAGAAAGCGGTTTAGATTTAATCCCGGGGGGGGGGTACTGCCATATATGGGTTATATGGGTATGTGCCGCTGTGAAGGGTATGGTTTTCAAGCAGTTTACTCTAGGATAGGGTATATAAATCAGAGCGTTTGGGTCTAGAATAGGGTACCATTTTTCAGGAAACTGATCAGTTGGTTGAAGATTTTATCTAGACTGGGGAAACAGCTACTCTAGGGTAGGGGGATTTTGGGAGTTTACTCTAGTATAGGGTAGCAAAATTCAGCTCAACTAGCTCTGGGATAGGTCAAGGGTTCCAGGGTCCCAGCGGCACATCCCCACCCAGAAATTCCTAAAGTGCCCCCCCCGGGATTTAATACAGTACATATATATTTTGTACAGCTGCAGAGCTATTTTTTTTTTAAAAAAGACATCATGTGTCAGTGACGCGGCACTTTTAAGCCACTGTAAAATTTTTAGCAGTTTCGTCTTTCGACACAGGTTCTGATAAAGCGATTTGAAAGAAAGCTACTATGATATCTGAGCTTGAAGTTTTCTTAGTACTCTAACAAGATCCGAGTATTTAAACAGTACTATCAACGTTCCCAAGGGCGGGGCATTGATTTTTCTAAAGAAAAATTGAACTATTTCTTGGGGAGGCCACAATAATTCGGTTTGGATACAAGTGTTTCCCCCAAGTAAGAGCTAACCCAGTCGAGTGTAACATATGTTTGGCACAATTTCAGCTGAACCTGATGTGCTATAAGCCAAGGGTTTCAGGAACCTTCCCATCCAAGAATTCCTAAAGTACCCCCCCCCCCCTCTTCCGTATCGAACGCTCCTCACTAATTTCTTATTATTACTAGTGTTTATGGTTGTTGTTACATTCATGTATAAAAATCAGCACAATATCTAAGTATGACCACTATTCCGTCTGTCACGGGCATGTGCCTCAAGAAATCACTGTTTAGCTACTTCATCCCACTGCATAGATAGAAAACTAGCTTGGTATACATTAACAAAATCTAATTTAAAAGCGTATTCTATTTTAAGAGATTCCATAAACATTTTAATAACTGTCCGAACTTACCTAAATATGTATCTGGCTGAACTTTGAAACGTTGCCTTAAGAATTAACCTATAGTTTTTGTGTGCATCATTTCCTTACCTGCCATATTATCTCCTTGAACAACCTATAAGTAACTTTGTGTGCTTTCCGGACCCTCAGAGATAGACGCACTTATCTCCTCTGGGGAGAACCTTGCCCATCAACTGACGATTGCAAAGGAGAAACAAGAGAGAGAACGAGAGTAAGCAAGAACAAAATTTTTGTTTTTGGCAGGGTAATGTATGATGATAAGTTTGAAACAAAGGAAACAAATTTTTGACCAAGCCTAAAATTGAAAAATTTAACCAGGAATGTATGTTTAATTGAGGATAAACACAACCTGGTTTCTTCCACCAAACTGTTAATATTTCCAGTAAAAGAAGGCTGAAAATAAAGTTCTCGCAAAAAGACGTTTTTTCATCCTAAAGCAGCAAAAGAAGTACTTTTGTAACCTTTCATCTTTGAATTTTTGCAGAACACACAAAGAATACCGTGCAAAAATGTCAGAACATGCAAAAAAAGTGGAACTGTATGAGATGAATGCTCCCATTAATCTGAACATTGCAAAACAAAGAGAAAAGAACGCCAATTTGACAGAGGAATGTATGTCTTACTTTATTTATACTGCATGAGAATTGAGGTTTTTCACACAGTGACGCATACGAGTCGTCCATCCCCTTCTAGTTGCTTATCCAGATTCTTTACCATTGAGCTATCGGTAATTTCGAAGAAACACATAAAACTACTATTAATAGGCCATTCCGAGTTGCTCGAAGCCTTTGTTCAACGCGAGGCTAAGAGATATTGATATGATATTGATACATTAATTGATATGACAATGAATGTGAGAGTTTTATGGCTTACTTTGTGCATCTGACAATCACTCTGTACAGGACTGGAATGTCGATAACGTCACATATTTTCACTCACAGAAGACGAAAAATTTAACCTTGGCCGGATTGTTCAAAGTTTGGTTAGTCTAAGATAACCCAGGGTTAGTGCAGATATGAAAGCATAAAAAGCCAATTCAGTTTTTTTCGTTTTGTCCACAAATTGATGATTGGAATAGAGAAAATTATCCGAGAAAATGCTTTTGAATAAAAGGAAAAAAAGACAGTTTAAATGTTAACCCCGGGTTAGCACTAAGCGCCCTTCCAACAACCGGGCCCCTGTCTTTTACAGTCTTTGGGTAAAACCGTTGATGTGGATGCGATTCAAAGTCGTTCAGTTGTTCTTTTTGTTTTTTTGTTTTTATTTTTGCTTTTTTTTATTGTTCTCTTTTGATCAATTTTGCAGTGGAGCTCTTACGTCGTTTGGGAGACGATTCCATCCTTAAAAGCATACAGGCTGAACTATTTCAGCTTAGAAACCGCCAAAAGTGTTTGGAGGAAACAATTGTGTTAAAACAAACCGAGGTTGGTATATACCAATTTATAATGAATTATTCTCCCCAGCCTGGAATTTAGATTTAACCCATCCCCCTTGGAAATTTTGCCCAAAAGCAACGTTTGAAAAAAAAACCATTCGTCTTCTGGTCAAATTCAGACCCAAAAGAATCGAAACGGCCCACACCCTTGTTTAAAATTAAACCCATACCTTGCATTTCTCTTGGTGCAATCTCGTTTCAAGAGCCTCGTTAACGATGCTAAATTACAGTTTCCAAAAGTTCGGGCATGCCCAAAAGGCAAATTTATATTGCCATTAACCTTCACTTTCCTCCCCAGCATCTTTCACTTTACGCCCCGTTTTTCTCCTTTGCAGGAAATTTACTAGGCTTGATTTCTGTGTGAAACTTTTAGGATTCCAAAATTAGTTTGAAGAAAGTGGATTTCTTTTTCCCTCACGAACGCTCAGAACTACTGTAGTTAAGGCCTACAAAAAGAGGCAAGTTGAGCATCACCCATTATATATCTCAGGAAGCAGCGCGAATCGCCTTGTTTTCTATAGAATGGTAACATGAACGATCGTTTGAAGCTTTTTGTGGTCGAGTTACCAGTAGCTGAAAATCCTAATAGCATTTTTTAGCATGTTAGCATACTGTAAGTTCTCGCCCGTCAAGAGCTTGCTCGCAGGCTACAAGTATGCTTAATTGCGCACTTAAGAACTTCCGTAGTCATGTAGATAAGAATGACTATGATTCAGGGTTTAACGAATTTGTACATAGAAGGGCTATATCGACGTTTAGGTCTATCGAAATTGTACTGTTTTAAGGTAAAACTTCAATCGGTACCCTGCTATGAAATTGGATTTATCAGAACAAACTGCATCAGTTTCCTCCCTCCCTGCTAAACTTACTCACGCTGTTACACACAGTTTAAGACTCTTTGTTAGGTCTCTACTGTTTTCACGTGTTTGCTTTCTTTAGTGCATTAAAACCCTACAACCATTCTTTTAAATCTCTAGCTCCAAAACCAAAATGAGAGGCATACTCAACTAAGGAGAGAGACTGACACACTGCACGTAAGTTTGACAGCTTCTACGGTCGGGAACTTGACTCCCTAAACGCTATAATTGATTAGTCATCTAAACAGTATTCCTTCAAATTGATTAAAACTCCTTACTTTAATTGAAGACGTTTAACCTTTCACTTTGCTTTTAAGTGGCTGTCAGTCGACACTAGAAAAAGCACGAATTAACTTCGAAGTCGTCGTGAAAGTCTGAAAAAAAAAGACATCAGCAAACACACTGAAAAAAAGAAACAAACAAACAAACACTCACTACTTGAAATTTAGTATCACATTCTCAGTCTTTCAATAAAAAGCACTTAACGAATTTGCATGACTGAAGCCTCGACCCTTTCCGCCAAAAGATTAAATTTGTTGTAGAAACTATCGTAGTCCTTCAAGTGGATGAAAACTCCTTTCTTAATTCTTTGATGGAAGGTCTGGAAGACATTTAACCTTTGACTTAACTCTTAAGTGGCTTACCGTCGGCACCCGTACAAGCACGAATCAACTACGAACTCGTCGTGAACAGCTGAGAGACGACATCAGCGCAATGAAATAACAGACTGTAGAATGGTGGATACTTAGAATTACATATCTCATACTCAAACTTTCAATAAAAAGGCAAAAAACGAATTTGCATGACAAAAGCTTCGACCCTTTTCGCGAAAGGTTAAGACTGTTGTAAGTAAAAGTGGGGGAGCAGGTTGGAGGACGTCACGAATTTGGACAAAACTGTCCGTGATTTGCGCCCAAAAAAATAACAATTTTGAGCTTCATGTGTCATGCGGTCTACATATTTGCAGTCTTTCTATCAATATTAATGTATATACTCGGGAAGATAATGAGATGTCAAATGTGAGGTGAAGGTGCCTTCTACCCTGTGATAAGACTTTCTTAAAAAAAGAAAAAAAAACAGTAGAGATAGGGAGTAAAGGAAGCTAAAGAGACAAACTGAAATAATGTCATAATACTAAGGAGATGGCATGATCTCAGGCTATGGGTGTGCCTTGTAATAATTGCACAGTCGCTGAAGTGGTTATGACGTTCCTGCAGTTTTATTGCAGCCACATTTCTTGAACCTAGTCAGTTATTCATGAGTATGGAGGCACAATTGACATTCGTATTGTACTACTAACTTCTGAGTCCTTAGATAAAACCCCATTCTGCACTGAACCCCATGGTGGAACTATTAAAATTCAAACTTTTCCAATTAACCTGAATACTTTTGTATTATACTTATCATTTTGCAATATTCGCTACCTATAAAATGACTTTTGGTACCTCTTTTGGGATTGATTTCCCTTGCACCTCTTGTGAGTGATAAAGGGTTGAAAGGAGTCAAATCGAGTACATTCAGTAAAATCCCGTAAGTGAGAACCTAGTTTTAAGAGAAGAAACTGCATGTCGGGCTAAAATTTGCCAATGTTAAAGTCCTTGTTTAAAAATCAAAGCATTAACCTTTAGGGGATCATTTTATTAATTCTTATAACCTGTTATTTTGAATTTGTATCAATGTCTTTAGGAGAAAATTGATGTTGATCGCTCTTGGGAGTTTAAGCCTTTGGCTTAAAACTAGAGTAATGTTCTTATTTTCTACAAATTTGTGCTAACCTATTTAGGCTAAATTGCGAAGATGCAGGTTCGTACTTGAAGGTTTTTACTAGAACTGCATGTGCATTGGAAGAGGTTACTGATGTAACATACAAGAAAACTGTCTCCAAAGCCCCATGCCAAAGTCAAGTGGCTCAGAATGGCTGAAACTAAGAGAACGGTTAGCCTACGTAGTACAGGCGTTTCACGAACAGGCTGACGGTTCTCAACGGCAAACATTTTGAATTGTGAAAGTCTCCCTGAAGTTCTATCATCAGTAATTACTCCATATGAGCCCAAAAATATCTAATTCTGAAAATCTTTTGCTCTTCATGCTTGTAGAAACGGAACAAAGCTCAGCTGACCAGACTGAAACGCCAGCTGCAAGAGGCCAACTCCCGCAACCGACGCTGGAACGATGAGGCCTGTCGGCTGGAACAGAGCATCGCACAGCTCAGGAGTCAAGTGGAAAAATAACAGCCAATGAAATAACCCTGAAGGTTTTTGCACCTATGTTCCCGGGTCTGTTCTGATTGACTCACGATCACCATTAATTTCCTCTAAACAGTTAAGTTCGAGAAAAAAAGCAATGAAAAACCCTCCAGGATCAGACGTCAAGCAGCTCAAGTTCTTCTAAGTAATGCGTTTTGCTTCACATGCCTAATCTTTTTAATTTCTGAGATGCTTCAAACTTGTTATCGGGAAAATACCTCATATGGTTTTGAGGGCACAACTTAAAGAAATCAGTGCCATTCATGAATGTTTGCAGAATGAGATCATGCATTTCAGGGCTGGAATCAGAGCACTAAAGAATCCTACGTGTAATAAATATATAAACTTAGTCTTTTATTTTAACTGCCAAAAGAAGGGGCAGTGCACGTATTTATTGAAGGAAACTGATAACTTACTATATTTAAGCGTTGCCTAAACAAGAAAAACTGGGTTAAGGAATAAGATATCCTTTTTCTAGTCACGGTTGATGAAAGTCTAAGCTATCTTTATAGTTTGAGCAGAATAAAGTACAGTTTCTAGTAATTCTCAGTATTCTCAATATTAAAAACAATGGCAATTAGGAGATCAAGTGGAACACGACTTTTGCGAATACTGCCTTATTTTAACACGTCACTGTGACCTTGGAATTATTAATACATGTACATCTGACAAATTTAGATCCCGTTCAGTTCTTGTGTATTATCGATACTTCCTCTATGGTTAAGAGGTATATTTAAAGCGTGCCGCATTCCATTAATATCCGCTCTAGCTTGCAGCCATTGCTATAGTTACTTATAAACCCTATCTTGTTTTTTATTTGAGGCTCAGAACTAATTCAGAATAGTACGATTCCAAAACCCAACTGTTTGCACTGTGTTTGGATGATCTAGAACTTACGCAGTGCGGCACAGTTCGTGAGCAGAGCTACAAGTGAGGTCAGGTGTTTGCTCTACGATCGTCAATTGCCAATCAAGTGCGGTTGTTGCTTGAATGATCATGAAAGAGACGATTTTGTTGATCTAAATGAAAAACAAATGACTATTCTTCTTACATTACCACGGTCAAGGTTAAAATTGATATTCCGTACTACTCAATGGTTAGAAAAATTTGTCCACTAATAATATTGAGTGATTAATGAAGGATCGCTTTCAACTCTGACCTTGAATCTTACATTTTCTGAAAATCAATATGAGGTCTATTAGAAGAAATACTTCGTTTTACACCTTTGTTAATTATCACTTTCCATTCCAAGTTAAATCTTGCCAACTAATTAATCTCTTTTTGCAACAGTATCATTGTTAAGTGTTTACGAAAGTTACGTGGTCTATTTGTTTCCAATGTCATAGTGTTTTTATTGTTTAACTTTGCAAACTTCATCTTCTTTCTGCTTGAAGTTTGTACAGTAAGAACGCATAAAGATGAATCAATGAAACAACTTTCTCCTTTACTTTTTCTCTCAGCTATGCCCAAGACCGTCTCATATGACCATAAACAGACCTCTTTTCCCTCTGACGTCCTTGGATGAAAACACCGGCTGTTTTTCAAGGTTGAAAGCTGCGGCGTTTTTGACGATGTTCGTCAACGCGTAAAATGCCATCGGCGTTGTCACCTTACTTAGAGAGCCAAGGTTACTAGACATGTATTTAGTCACGCAAGTGTAACTAATTACCCAGTATGGGCCGGATGGCACGGATAAAGACAAGTTGTCACTGAAGAACTTAGACATGGACTAATGTCACTCTCTTCTTTATTACTGATTAATTGCATCTTCTGCTCACAGTTTGGGCTTCACTACCAAATAGCTGCAAAGTCAGGGTGGACTCTGCAAAACAAACCAATTAGAAGAAGTATCTGCATTGTTTACTTACAATAGGGTATAGTTAAAGTAGCGAACGGGACAGGGGGTGGGAGTAAGGGGTGCAAGGGCAGGATACAATCACGAAATCACTTTTGCAACCCTCAGTTGCAGTACTTTTCTATAAATGCTGCAACCAAATATCATTTACTGACGTTCTTTTACTCAATTCTCAAGTGGCTTTGGTTTTATTCTCCAAAACCATACTGCTGAGACACGCTCGGCCTGTTTGGAAAACAAACAGCGCATGTCAAGTGTGACTTTGCGACCTTGGCATTGGAAAATGTTCTCGTAAACAACCAAGGTTACAAACAGAACAGGTACCGTATAAATACCACACAGAATGCTGCACTGATGTAACAAAGTGCAGTAAACTAGGACAAGCCCATTACCCTAGCTATACGCAGTCAACATGGAAGTCACTTTCCTCCAAGAGAGCTCAATGCTGTATTCAGTTTTTCTATGCTGCTTGCCTTTCATCGTCGTGTTACTTTTCTTTGGCTGGTCCAAGGTGCGGCGAAGAAACACTCCTCCTGGGCCGTTCGGTTTGCCTCTAATTGGCAACTTGTTCCAACTGGGAGATTCTCCACACATCGCTCTAACTGAGATGGCCCAAGTTTATGGAAGCGTCTTTTGCATCCGTCTTGGTGCGAGGAAGGCTATCGTTTTGAACAGCCACGACGTTGTGAAAGAGGCCCTCGCGAGGAGGTCTTGCCATTTCTCCTCGAGACCGCCCTTTCACAATTTCCTAATTAGCAGCAATGGAGGTAAGAGCATAGCGTTTGGCTACAGTGGTCCTTTGCATAAAAGAAACAAAAAACTGGCCTCTCGTGCCCTACATGCTGTTTTCAGCGATGTAAAACGTTTCAACACTGTAGCGCAACAAGAAACGGAGCGCTTTTGTAGAGAGCTAATAGAAAGCACTTGCGGAGCTCTCGACTTGACTAGTTACATCAGAGATCTATTGATCAATTTTTCATTTAGACTCGTGTTTGGAGATAACTTTAAAACAAATTACGCGGCTGAATTCCAGAATATCTTCAAGAGATCAACTGCCTTTATTGAGAACAATGCTGTCGTAAACTTGCTCGACTTTTTCCCGTGGCTTCACTTCGCTTTTCGAAAGCAGTGCAAGGCTTTGAAAGCCTCTGTAAGGGAACTGATGGACTTTGTGGGGAAAGTTTACAATCTGCAACGCCACGCGAGTGTGGAAGATGCTGGCGTCAATGCTGCTGCATCGTTGGATAAAATCATCGAAGAAGAAATTGAGGAAGAGGTTAAGATGCAGTTAGACAACGACTCTGTAGTCACAATTATAGCTGATATCTTTGGAGCAGGCATCGAAACGGTGTCCACAGCGTTTCACTGGGCGCTGCTCTTTATCCTCTCTGACCCTGGCTTGCAGAAGGAGCTGCAAGCTGAACTGAAGCGCGAGATAGGAACAGATCGCCTTCTCACTCTTGAAGATCGCGCAAGGCTGCCTCTGCTACAAGCCACCGTACTTGAGGTTCTGCGTAAAGCTACTGTTGTTCCCTTAGCACTCCCACACTATACAACTGAAGACTCAACTGTCGCTGGCTACCACATACCCAAAAATTCCACCGTGATAGTGAATCTCTGGGCTTTGAGCCATGATGCAAATCACTTCCAAGAACCAGAGGCTTTTAATCCGTATCGCTTTCTTGACGAGGCTGGGCAGATTCGGCTGGATTTGCAGCCGCTTTTCCTTCCTTTCTCCATTGGTGGAAGGCGTTGCCTCGGTGACACCCTAGCAAAGGCTGAGCTGTTTATGTTCCTGGGTTGTATGCTGCAGCTTGTGAATCTTCAGCTTCCTTGTGACAGCGAAAAACCTAACCTGCATGGTGGAAAATTTGGATTAACTTTGAAACCTTTCCCTTTCAAGGCTCATGTAGTTCCAAGAACCACTGAACAATATGAACATTAGTTTTTTAAGCCCTAATATCTACGAGCAAATTCTCCAGACCACCTCAAAGGAACGTTTGAGAGAATTTGAGAAAAGATCAAAGCATTTTTCCTTTGGAGATCATTTTTTATCATAATTCTCATAATCTTTTCTCTTGATTATCTATTGATATTGTTGAGAGACAACTGATGTTAGCCAGTCTTGGGACTTCAAGGGTTAAGACCATTCAGAAAGAAAGCTTTATAATCATATAAAAATTTTTCTCAACATCGCAGGTGACTTAGTAAGTTATAATTCAAACTGAGATAAAAAGATATCTTAGGTCAATTCTTAAAAAAAGCTTTGAACGAAAACTGAAACACACGATTCAGTTGGAGACGTTATTTTTTTGATAAGACATACCTATTTTACTCAATTATTGAATTAAGTAGTCAACTTAAGAAACCGAAATGTTTTCATGTCATTGTAGCTCGATAAACTGCTGACTGTGTTTACGGAAAAAAATGACGCGAGACAAAAGATGGATCTCGAAGTATTTGCAAAGTGACCAAGGTCATTTATGACCGTCAGTGTTTTTCCTTAGCCTTTTGTAGATGTGCATTTGCCGATTTACTTGCTTTGACTAGAAACTTTTACTAACTTAAATGGTTTGATAAAATTTCCTTGCATTAAAACTTACGTGTTCGAAACATTTGTACACTGAGCGTATCGACCCAGACCTAACCTATACAAACACCGCATAATCAAACAGTATTACAGGAAAGTTGGCAACGAGATCAAATTAATCTAATTACATTATTTTTCTTACTTTCTCTTTGCCTTTATTGGGTTTTGTTTTGTGATAAATAGCCTTGTGAAGACCACTCTGTATATTTATTTGATCGGCTAGTCAATTAATGGGAGTCTTCGAAGAAGAGACGTTTTTCCGCTTAAAACCCCCTTTCCTACTAGAACCGGCTTATTCCTTATGTGCTCGTTAAGCCCCACCCGGGGAGTTAGGGAAAAGAGCTAAGAATCGAAATGACTCCAGCGCAGCTCCGATATCTTGAATCGCGTAATCTTTCAACACATCTAGCTAATTCAGTTGATGTTATCGTAAGGCCCCAAGGTGACGGGTTATTAATTATTGTTCAAACTGAATTCAATATTTCAATTAAACCGAATGAATGGTACAAATCTGCATGAGTATGCCACGTGTCTATCCATCCACCGACAATAATCTCGTCACGGTAATCACCAAATGACGTCATTGAAAAGAAACAAGGCACTAAACATCCGCACAATAGCTAAGTATATAAAGGAGGCGGGGGGGGGAGGTCAAATCTTTCGACTCCTTTTCCCAGCCCCTGCCTCCAAAAATAGTTTCCGCAACACTGGTTTTACGAAGGAACATTAAAGGAATTCTCATTCAGTCTCTTGTATCGTGGGAAGGAATGGTGAGAAGCGAATCAGAAAACACAAATTGCATGTTTATAAGCTGTTGTTTGAAGCTATAATTATAACGGTGGGTTAAAACATTTACAATTTTAATATTCATAAGCCGAAGCTTTTTCTTGGATTACTGTACTGTAGCGGAGAGCGTTTGATAACAGTTCTTGTTGCAATAAGGGCTTTTTTATTATCGCAGAAAATAGTCGGCCCGGTCTCGGGCCTCAGTTTGGTCTAAAATTTAGAGGGGGGCCGGGCCCCCCGTGCCCCTCCCTTGGATCCGCCACTGGTTACCTAGCTTGCAAACCGGATGAGCAGGCTCACTTGACCATTTTTGGGAAACCTTTTGAAGGTGTTATGCAACCGGGCACAGTCCCCCTAGTATTTGTCACCCATGTAATGAAGACAATTGTACATGTTGAATTGGCCATTTAGTTATGGCCTCCTACATTAAATAGGGTCGACAAGAACGTTACAAAGTCCGGAAATTGACGGAACCCAGAGGGGAAAGCTGTTTTAAACTCTTTTATTCCAGCACAAGGCTGATGTTCTACAGCCTTCTTTCTGGATTTCCAGATCTGCTGTTCCCTAGCTAGGATCTAGTTCGAACAAAACGGTGACCATAGAATTCCTCTAGCAATACTTCGGATAAGTTTTAAGACACCCCCCCCCCCCCCCCGCCTGGGAAGAACCGAGATAAACGCCTCTATACAAAGGCCTTCCTCAACTCGTCCTGCAGTGCGGTTCAAGGGAGCCTAATCAAACAAGACGACCAATGGCAGTGAATGAAAACGATGAATTTGCCTTCTTTCCAACTCTATCGTGCTTATTTAGCCTCGCCCAATCAGTTTTTTCAAATGTCGGGAAATTTTCCGGTATAAGTTAAGTTAAGTTAAGTTAAGTTAAAAAAGAGAAAGAAAAATTCGTTGACGTGTGTTTACGACCTCCGTAAAAGGAGATTGGAGAGTTTCACGTCTGGAGTCGTTAAGTGAACAATAAAAGAAATATACCAAAAAGGGTGATGCACGTGTAGTGCTTTTGTTTTGCTCATATAGCCATTATTTCACCTAGTTCAATATCAAGGAAAGTTAGCCATGTCATGGTACAGGGATAATTTTCTACTTGCCAACACAGAGAAGTTTCAACGTCTTACTATCAATCCAAGAAACATTGACTCAGATGAACAGACTGAGGCCCTGCAAATTGAAGATCAGATCATTGCCAACACTTCGCAAATCAAATTACTTGGAGTTGAAATAGATAACAAGCTTAATTTCACCAGCCATATCAGTAACATTTGCATAAAAGCCAGTCAAAAAGTTGGTGTCTTATTGAGACTGCGAAATTTGATACCATGCAAAGCAAAACTGATAATCTACAAATCATCCATCCTGCCTCGCTTGACATATTGTCATCTGGTATGGCGTAACTGTAGATCTTCTGACAGTAGGAAAATAGAGCGGATTCAAGAACGCGCACTTAGAGCAGTATTTAACTCCCATTCAGAATCATACGAAAACCTTCGGGTTCGTGCAGAGCTACCTTCACTACTAAATCGAAGACTAAAAGATATCTCTATATTAATGTACAAAGTAAAATATGGCCTCGCATCGAGCATTGTTAACGAACTATTTAAGCGGAAAAGCACTAGTTATTCACTAAGAAACAGTGATTTTGATATTCCGACTTTTAACACTATTAACCATGGAAAGCATTCTCTTAGATATCAAGGACCTCATATATGGTCGAAACTAGATATTAAATTGAAAGGCTCCTCGAATATTGAATCTTTCAAAAAGAACATCGGGAAAAAAGACTTAACGTCACTCTTAAACAACAACAATAGCTGCTGTAACCTTTGCAATTCTTAGAGACTACCTTTCATATACCTATTGTTTTATTATACAATTTATACATGCCACATATTAATTGTATATACATTATTATTATTATTATTATTATTATTATTATTTCTTATTTGTAAATAATTTTTATTTTTGTGTCCCCAATTGGTTGTGAAAACTAAATACATTGACACACTAATGAAGCTTTTACTTACTTACACAATCTCTGCATAGTGTCCACCAAAACGCGTTTGGTTTATGCACTGATCAATGAATTAACTCTATCTTACATTCTCCAAAATTTTAACATCTGCATTAACTAATCTACCAAAAAGAAATCAGATTTTCCATGACTTTCTAGGACCCTCATTTATATTCTATGACTTTCTAGGCCTGGAAAATGAAATTGTCATCAGGGTCGGACGGAGGATTTTGTGATAAAGGGGGCCTAGAGATTTAGTATAGAGCGTTTTCACATGACGTCGCGGCGGCCATTGGTGTTCCAAAACCACGAAACGGCGACCATGTTGGTGTATCAAGAAAATCCTCTGGGAGTTTAACACTTTTCTCATGTAAATGCTTCTTTTGTTTCAATAAATTAGCATAGATCCTGACCACGTCAGTGAAAACGTTCTATACTGTCGCAATATGGGCGCGATAGCGCCCATCAGGACTGCGAACGGCGCACTTTTCTAGGGAGTTTGGTGCGCATGCTCCTCCGCGAATATTTTTGAGATTGAAGTTGACGTATTGAGAGGGTCTAAATAGACGCTATTAAGTTTGAAAGAACACAAATTCATTTTTTTTACCGACGTTTTCACTGCCGTCGCGTCGTCCTTGCTTTAAGGTTCCTATTTACAGTATGTGGTCCTTGGTCCGGAGGAAAGAGACGTAAAATGAGTATTTTATATTTTAGAAGAAGAGTAGTAAGCTAAAATTTGTCCTGTAACTAACTTGTGACAAACTGACAGCTTCTTAGCTTTGCCGAAAATCCTGCATCATAGAAAATGACCGCTCCGTTTGAAGGCACCTGGTCCGACCACTTTAGCCACTTTGTAAGCCGGCATACAAACTGTGCCCAAAAAGAAACGTTCCAAGCACCATCTGATCTAAATTCCTATATATTTTCTGAAACAGTCCCAGAAGATTCGTCGCATCCCTGCTACGTACGTTACGAAACAGCTGTATATTTGCGTAGGTCAAGAACGCGGGAGTGGTCTTACAAACGTCCCGGCCCCAGGATAACCCTATACACTCGATAAATCTCTATCTAGTGGATTGCGCAATTGATTTCCATAATACTTATCCAGCGAATAGTGATTTACCTTATTTATTTGACCAACCGACGCCTGGAGCGAGGGTGGAAACAAAGTGTGAGACTCAGAGAGAGAAAAACTATCCCTCGCCTTACACGCGCGTAAGATAGAGGGCTTCGTGTGAAAATCTCACCTCAGTCTACCGTTATGCTACTATGCGTAAATCAAGGGAAGTAGTAAACTTTAGGAAGAGGAGAGCATTTTGAGAAACAACAGTTAAATTATTAAGTTTATTTACAAGCAAAAGCGGGTTGAAAAGTAGATTGAACAGAAACCTGGAAACATACACCTTTGAGTGAAAAAAATGACGTCGAGGCTACAAACAGATGTCCTCACAGTTCTTCCTTGTTAATCATAAAACTACCTAAAATGTTCCACAACAAGTTGATCACGATATATCTCAAACAGACACCATAGTTCCGCATATACGGCCAATTAATCGGCGACTGTCTTGCTGTTTCCAGTTTTCTTCTCGGCCTAGCTTTATCTTCCAGATCGCGTACAAGATCCTGAATGTTTATTTTTTTCGGTTTTATAACTTGACTTGACAAATAGGCCATTTCCGAGTTCCCAAAACTCTCACTTACAAAACTGGGCTAAGTGCAAAACTTACCTTGTAAAAATGAGTTTTACTTGCACGAGAATTAAAAAATCATCGTCAGATCAATGGCTTTGCACTTAGCCTCGCTTTGAAACAGAGGCTTGAGGATACTCGGAAATGGCCTATAAAGGTGATGTTACACGGGACGATTCGCAACGACGATGCTTAGCGCAACACAGCGTTGCAATGTTGGGACAACGTTGCAAGCACTTAAAACAATGTCGCAACAATATTGCAACGCCTTGCTGTGCTAAAAATTGTCGTTGCGAATCGTCTCGTGTGACATCACCTTAACGCGGCGGTGCTGCCAAAAAACTAGGCACTGTAATATGTGGAACAGAAAGTTGTCTCAATTATAATCAAGGCACCAACAAAAATCCCAAAACACTATTAAATGAGATAAAATGATCTCGCCGTCTTAAGAAACATAAGAAACATTTTCCCCCTAAAATGCAAAAATAATTTTCATCGTCAGGGTTATAGTGCAGTCGCTGAAAGTAAGAAACGATTTATTCTCGTACACTTCGCAGGAAAAGAGCGCGCCAGTTGCTTTGCGCGTTTAATGCCCAATCCACACCAAAAGCATATTAGGTTAAACAAGATGGCGAAAAAAATGAAAATCTGTCGAAGAAAATAGCAGGAATGGCTATTCCACAAGATCAAGTGACTTATTTTGTGCCTTCAGTTGTGCTACACTTGTAGTCGACAAAATTTAGTGAACAGCTTTCTTATAATAACAATTTTAAATCGTCTTCGCAAAAACTCTTTTAAACAAGTTAAAGCTTTGGTGTGAACGGGGCATACGTTGTTACTGAGTGTTTCAAATGTGTTTCAATTATCTTTCATTTTCGCCTCTGTCGCGGCTGCATCGTACACCAAGCGAGTCTGGTTTTACACCGGCCTCCACGCACGTCACGAATACACAGTAACACCAATTAGGGTCACATCTCAAGCACAAACATTTGTCCATTTATGTACATCTATAAGTCTCTATATGATACGATTTGCAAATACAAACTTCAACTATTGAACAGTAAGCAATCTGGTCCAGCATACTCCTTTTACATCCTAGTCTTACATTAATTCTCTTTAATCTTTAAGAATATACGACTTCAGTCGTAATCGACGTACTCCCAAATGTCGGTCTCGTATCCCTCGTATACGTGGTCTAAAAGTGCTTTTCGCCTCGCTTCGCAATACCTAGGAATAGTAAGAACAATTCATCAAGTTCAGCTCACAGATAGCCTTTTTGGCTCACAAAAGCCAGTTTCTAAGAGCTCGCCGCTGCGGTCAAAATAAAAAATGATGACTACATACAGGAAGTACAGAGCGATCATTTGCCAGAAAAATACGCCATACGATATGCACTCATCGGTGCAACTTTGCTAGAGGATGCTAGGAATTGGCCAATGAGGCCACATGAAACCCCTTCTGAATTTTTCAGGGCCAAGCCTTTTTAAAGAAAAGCCTTAGCGTGCACAAGATATCTGAACATTTTTGTATCGCTTGGTTTGAAATTCAGTATTTTTCTTCTTTGACCGTACCGCGAGGGAAACTCGCCTCAACCAATCAATCAAAAGCAGTACCTAGCAATATGAAATATCTGTGCTCGTTTCTCAGACGCCATTTCGCATGGAAACCAATGGTGGCGGCGCCAAATGTGGGATGTTTCCTTAAGCTACCGACCTGGGACCCGAAATAACTGCCTCAAAAACGTTGAAAACTGAGCACAAAAGAAACTGAAGTAACTACTCAGGGCACGTACCTGTATTTATCTTGAACCTTTTGTTTTATACCTGATAAACACTCAGACGTTATATCACGCTCAAGGTACTCTGACAGAGTTTCTGTAGCCATTTCAAGGTCTTTTTGGTTATCCTGTGTTGAGACAATAGAGACCTTTAGCTTTTAAGATAAGGACGACAAGGAGAACGAGATTTACTCAATACTTTGTGGTGAACGGCGTGAACTAGCGTCATTTTGGCGGGAAAACGTGATAACCGTTGCCCGGCATTCTACTACGGGGTTTTAGCGAAAATGTCATAGTGACGGAAAGATAGAAGTTTTATCATTTTGCGATCGGGTGAGGGCTTAACCGCTTCGTTAAAATAGCTGTGTTAACTTTCCTGGTGAAAAAACGTAAAATGAATCTTTCCAAGGTGTCCTATTTTTTTTCGGAATACGCGAAATAAACTTTCAGTCAAATCTAGTCCTCGTGGTCGTCCTCGTCCTCACATCTAAAAGTCTATTATGGATTTTACTAAACGAATACAACAAATTTGGAAAGAAGATCACTATTCACATAACGTAATGAGGGAAGTGGAATATAGCGCTTTAACCTAAAGGTGATGTTTTTAGCACAACACAGTGTTGCAACATTGTTGCGACATTGTTTCGAATAGTTACAACACTGTTCCAACATTGCAACGCTGTGCTGCGCTAAAACTGGTCGTTGCAAATCGTCCCGTGTAACATCACCTAATTCTTGATGGGCGAGCTAAAATTTTAAAACTAACATCCAGGCAAACCATTTTATTGTGGAAGGGTTTAACTGAAGGTGTGACTAAAGGTCTTGAAACTCGAGCAAGAAAAACAAGACAGGGTTCAAACAAAAATTTGCAACCATTTTTTAAGGAATTTTCATGGACATTTTAAGGACCACCTACAAGGAACATAACTTCACAGATTACACAAAACGCACACTCCCAGTCCATTCTGACAGGACTTGAACTGTTTGTTCCACCAAGTTCTCTACATTTTTCATTTCACTTATTCAAAACTTGATTCACTTCACTTGCCAAAAAGCATTTTAAAAAAACAAAACCTCAGTTTTCAAGGACTTTTCACAGGAATCTAAGGACTTTTCAAGGAAAAATGGAATTCAAGGACTTTTTAAGGACTTCGCCTAAAATTCAAGGACTTTTGAATTCAAGACTGAGCGAACACTGCAAGATCAGTGGAGCTCCGCTTGTCATGTCAGCCGGACGATGTGAAAATGTGGGGTGTGAAATGGTTTCAGTATTACACTGTTGATAATGCAAAAATTCAACAAGAAGTATTCACCTCAAAGATTACAGATTGGTTGTTTTTCTTCAGGTAGAAAGCAAAGACATAGGTATATTTCAGTGTGTTCCTGCATAAACACAGAACATCCACGGCCTTTCTAAGAAACTGGACCTAGAGAGAGAGCATAAATCCTCTTGTCAAACTATTCTTTACAACGACAACAACAGTAACAACAACAACAGAGAGAATATGTACCGCGCATTTTTCCCGCGAACGGCAGAAAGGGTCACGTGTCCTGACTTTTACCGCGTTTGCTGTTTTCCAGCCGCCGTTTCAACGCAAGGATGGTATTTCTCCCGTTTGGAGGAAACGCGAGAACGTTTGCAGCCCATTTCTACCGACTATTTCTTCATTTTGATCGCTTGTTTTTATAGCTATGCTTCGTTTATCACCCTCCTTCTATATGCACTGTTTGTAAAGCTAAAAGAGTTTCAAAATAAAGCGAAAAAAGATGACAGCTTCTCAGTTTATTTTGTCCAGTCATAGTGAATGGCGACCGAGAACACTTGCCGTGTATCATACATATGTTACTTAGTTTAAAAGAAAAATTAAGAAATGTGGAAACATGTAGTTAATACCTAGTTAATGTTCAAATATTTAGGACAAGTCTTGGAGATATTTTAACACCCTCGTTTTTAGCTTCCCAGTTCTGCTGTGCTGACGGGAAACTTGAACAAACAAACACAGCAGACGGAACGGCAAACGACAGACGGCTAGCTGACGTTCAACGTTCGCCGTTAGCGCGGTGTTTAATCTAACTAATAAGCTAAAAGAAATCTAAACAGCACGAACACAAACCTCAATCCATGACATGTTGTGCTGCTGCATTTCTTCCATCTTTTGCTTCACCTGGGCATACAGCTAAAGAGATCAAGCACGCAAAAGCTCTAAGCACTGGCGTACATCAAGCATAAATCTATTCTCAGCTTCAGCGTATACGAGTACTGAGTTCTCTGGCGCAGAACAAAAGATTATATATTTAAAATATTCTTAAAGAAATAAATTTCAGTTAACCAACTGCCTCGCTTAAGTAGAAGATGGGAGCCTGGGATACCCAGGGGCTTCCACTGTGGCCAGCCAGCCCCTAGATAGAATACTGCCCTCATGGCTGGCAAATCCCCGCAACCCAGCGATGAGCCGCTCTGCAGTCAAGCGCTCTACCGACTGAGCTAATCTTGCCGCGGTTATTAGTTAGAGCCTGGGTGACGTTTGATACCCCACAACAAGCGCTGTAACCGAAGAGAACCAACTAGAGGAGAAGGCAGACCCTCCTCGATGTTAAGGGACCGGATTGCTGAAAGGTAAACCTTTATCGATGAATGCTGGAGAGTATCGGCAAAATCACTGCAGAAACGTATAAGCGCATCTACATCAGTAGGGAATTTCTGTCGCTAAAGCGCAGACGTCTCTTCTCCGAAACGTTCCTAGCGATGAGGAGCGAAAAGAAACGGCTGTTTTCGCAGGCTACTTGACTTCTTTTTTCCTGACTCGCTGTATAACAAAATTTTGTTTTTCAAATCACTAGGGTACAACAGCTTACCTTGTATTCAAACTTGGCACTCTGGGCATGGTTCATGTACCTGTTACAGTAAAACAAATAACGCTCCAAGGCTTGCCGTGATTTCTAAAAAATGAATTTTCAAACTCAATCTATTAGTGTGAGAATTTTTTGAGTAAAATCAAATTATATGTCACATCCCTTGCCAACTAAATGATAAATTTCCACTTTCTCCCCCCTTGTCCAATTCTGTAAGCCTTTAGGTACATTTGCTATTATAACAGGATACTCTAAGATGGCAGCTAAATGGTCAAGAATGACGGTCCCAGTATTTTCAGTACCAAAAACAGACTATTCTTACTTGCACATCGTGTAGGTTTAAATACAAAGAGAATGCAGGTAATGATATGTTTGGAAGCTAAATCAAGAGCGATTTTGAAGCAGAGAGGATTAAAAAAATTAATATGAACCCCTCTGCAGCAGAACATGAATACTTACAGCTTGAGCATCCCGGGCAGCCTGGGCATCTTTCTCGTCATAACGATTACAACTGTACCTGAATATAATGACAAAACACACACACACACACAAAGAAGATCTCAGCTTTCAGCTGTACACTAATTTATTATGTAACAACCATCGGTAATCAAGAAGAAATATAGACCTGCAGATTATAAGCTGAGGACGACTACGAGAATGATACTTTCTCGGTACTATAGAGCGCACGTGAACCAACGTTATTAGACATTTTGACGTCGTAGCCGTGCAAAAACGACAAAGAAATATCCAAAAACGTTTGATGCCCGCGCAAAGTTGTTGTTTTGCTTACCCTTGCGTTGCCGTCGCGCCATCGGATTTTGAAGTCCCGATTTTGGCGAGAAAACGCGATGGCCGTCGTCATTCTACTTAACTACGGTTTTTTGGCGAGAATTTACATAGTGACAGACGGAAACAAGTTACCAAAAATTTTATCATTTTGCGATCGATAATCCCTTCTTTTAATGTTTGGAGCCATTATTTTTTAATTCAATCAAGTTCATGGCAGTTCTCAGTGTTTTCGTGACACAGCTCCTTAAGTGCATTTCTGGACATAAGAGTTTTGAAAACAACAAAAAAATTGCTGGAAGAAGCCTGCATAGCCGACGGGAACGTTAGCACAAGCAAAGTTTTCGCAGAGGAGCTGTGAAGCTGTTTGGAGAACGGAGAGGAGACACTTTGGAATGTTCTTGTGTCTTTGGGGCTTGCTTTGCTGCCAAAACTCTCACATGCCCAGAGACAATTCGGCCAGCTATACAGGCTATAATGGAAGGTTAAAGCAAACCCGAGAGAAAGGAGAGGAATTCTTACCAGCTTGATCCATGAGGTTCCCAGGGTCCTAGACACATCCAACAAAAGTCAGCCTATGGAACAGAATAAATTGCAAATAGTTCTCGTGTGTTGTTCATCACAAAATCTAACAAAATTCAGTTGCAGACTGGTCAATCACTTATAGGGTCCACGAGTAATACAACCAAAATCTCTAATAGCACTAACTTCTGAGTCTTATCAGATCTCATTAATGAGAAAACAACCTTTATGGTACATATTGTTCACCAGTACACGACTTTACGTAGCCTGCGAGCAAGCTCTCAGGGGCACTCTGGCAGCGAGGTGGGTGGACCCTGGAGAGCTTGCTCGCAGGCTAGACTTTACGTTCTGTTTCGGGGTATGAGTGAATAAGCACGTTTTCACATAGTTACATGAAAGGTGACCACAGTTTCCCTGATGTTGGAATGGGATTATTGTTCTACCTGGGAGCCTAGTTGTTTCTCTGGGGTAAGAGATAGTCTATCTGTATATACTGATACCAATACAGGTATTTTACTTGTTCCAGTACATAGAAAAGGTATCATAATTTCTCATTTGTCTGCCAGGAATCTGTTCAAGACAAGTCAGTAGACCAAGGGGTGCTTACCATTTACACAAATCACCCGGCTGGAAATCTTGTGCATAAAAGTAAAACTATAAAATTTGACGTGCTGGGAGAATGACCCACCACAATGTATAAAATATCCAAAGCAGCAGAACAGACTAAAAAGAGTACGAAAATTGCCTCCCCTCAAATCACAGCCCATGCTTTCCGAAGTTCTCCAAAAGGAAGGGTGCAAAACATTTGATTTTCCGACCAGAATTTCTGGATTTCCCTTACAAATGGTAAGTACCCTATATCCCTTCAAGTCCACTTCACTCAATCCACCTTTTTCAAACTATGTAAGCAAAACAAGTTGCCACTTCCAAATATTAACAAAGTTGTAAATCAGGGCAAGACTTACAAAGCTCTTCTCATTTATGATCATACTGTATTAATTTTAGCAGTCTATTAACAATGAAACAATGACCTATTGTCATGAAACAGTATTTGGGATATACAGCTTACCTTGAGGGGACTAACTATTAATCTGGCTCAAGGTTTGCACAGTCATGTGCAACTAAGTTTCTTATTGTCAAATGGACTATTGATGACAGTACCAGTGATTTTGTTACAAATAGTTATGGTGAGTGCTGGGACTCATCTAGACTAAGAGTAGTCTCCCATTTTTCCTCAGGAATAGGTAGAGCGAGCGAAATGCGAGGGCGCGTGAAAATCACACCACGCAACACTCGCCTCTTCTCGCATGGGGTGATTTTCACGCGTGCTAGCGTTTCGCTCGCTCTACTATCCCTGAGGAAAAATGGGGACTACTCGTAGTCTGGGACTCATCTTGTAAAAAATCATGAGTCCCAGTCCAGAACCAATGAGTCCCAGTTAAAAAAAAAAACCAATCCGAAAACTGAATATGGTTGGGCCTTTATGTAACCAGACAATTAATCTGAAGAAAGACTCCAGAACTCTGCATTACAGTATACTGAAATTAAAATATAGTCCTTCTATGTTTCAGCACAACAAAGGCTAATAGAAATATACATCGTTAAACAGTGTTAACCGCCATAATAACTGCCACAGAAATTACACGAACAGGCGGGATATATGCTCAGATCAATCTTTGTGTCCTACGGAACACATGTCATGAATTATTTTGCGTCTGGGGATTTTTATGCATTAGGGACGCAGGATGCAGAGGTAACAAAATCACTGCAGTACACAACTTACACAACAAACAAGTCTTCTATAGTAGAGTTACCTTGCAGTTGTTATTACGACAAACCATGTGATTACAGCCACCATTTTTTTCTATTGTCACATGACACTTCGGACATTCCTACAATCACAGGATCAAACAATAACGAAAATGTCACTGACATTATAATTTAATATGTATTCATTTAATAATTATTATTATCAACAGTGCCCGATAAAGGATAGAACTGCAGTTTTAAAACAGAAACAGACCTTTGTGTTTGCTGATATCCAGTTTGATGTTTCACTGTCATCATTACACTTCTTTATCCACTTCTTGAGCCACTAGAGATATAAATAAATAGACAAGGACGACAAATAGAATAAGATATAATGCTTGAACAGTGAATGGTTTGAGCCCAGGAGTCAATTTATGCATGTAAGTGGGTGGAATATGATCGCCTGGATGAGGTGAGTGCTAAATACGACTGTTGTTGACAGTAACCGTGCAGTAGTATCTTCAGCGCCAAGGTGAGTTGTATCACGTCAGCTTATGGTATTAAACTCTAGTTATTGACCTCACTGGTCAATATTATTAAGTGGTAGTTTAAACTTTCATCTGAATGTAGTGTTGACTTACATGGCATCTAACAGGCTCATGAACTGGTTCTCCACAGCCAAAACTACAAAAGAAGACAGATACATTATTTTAGTTTCCTGTAAAGGCAAACTTGATAAGATAATCATGTGGTTTGAAAAATCAGGCTAAGGAAAGGAAATTAGTTTACACAAATCTACTTTACATAATTGATTACACAGGATTTTAATGGTTGGAAAATCAGAATTCCAATCCAATTGGACAAAGTAAACAATGATGAAGAGACTCACCAAAATGTATAGCCGCAGAGGCATGTCACTGGTAAAGCATCGTGGTAGTTAGCTTTGACTGCATTTTGACAGTCTGGACCAGGGCACCAACTCATCAATCGGTTACTCTACAGAAGGCAAGAAACAAAGGTAATAATGCACTTGTACATAATTCTAAAATTGTTCAAGTCATGGCCTCCTTATAAAATAGGGAGCTTAAGCAAAGACGATTTTGGCAATCTACCATCTACCGGATGTACTGTAAGGCCTTTTCCCATTTAATATCCCTTGACACCAAGTTTGTATTGGTAAGTGTCTTCACCCTTATAGCTATGATCTGCCTGAAAATTTGGACAAAATCTCTGACCAAGAATGCAAAAAGTCCATCTCAGGTTTTCAAGTTTTAAAAAATCACAATCTGTTTCAATCTTTTTCAAGTTTGTCCATCCATGCCTCATTTTGTATTTTCTATGTTATTTATAACTTTATTAAACGTTCTGAGCAGTTATTTTTTATGTTTCAGTTACTTTTTATGTTTCACTTAATTTTGTGGTAAATTCAATAAATTTTATGATACAGCTCCTTCAAGCTCCCTATTAACCCTTTACTTCTTTTACCTAAACCTACCTCAACAAAGCTGTGAGCTATCAGATGGTGGTATCGAGCTTTCACTTTGCTATCTTTTACAACTTTCCTGTCAGAGAAAGGAGTACCATTTCTCAACATGAAAAAAATGACAATCCATTGACAGTACAACACAATACGGTTAACTTGCCAAGATTTGAAGCTAGAGAATGTGATTTACAGAAAATAAATACACTTCAGTATACTCATTAACACTCATTATGCATTTTGTCCAATTGACGTCATGAATTTAATGACACGTAAGAACCTTTATACCCCGTTAAAACTAGCAACCTGAAAAGTCTGAAGTCAGTTACTGCTGTTCACGTTTTAAACACTATGTTAAAGATGATTATCATTAAGGAAGGAACAGCTTTAACTGAAGCAACAAGGGTTAATTTGTGTTAGAAACCCACCCGACAAAAACTTCATCTACAAGGATGTCACACTTGTGAGCAGGACAAGAAATATTCTGCAAAAGAGAAAAATGTCACAGTAATTATTAAATCAAAAAGATAACTGAGGTAGAAGATAACTTTATACTAAGTAATCTCCTACCCAAGCCATCTGATACTATGTGATGGTTTGATTTTGCACAATAATTGACCTATCGCATCCGATTTGAGGTCAATTATTGACCTCAAATCGCATACGATCGCACAATAATTGAGGGAAAATTGCATATTCAAGTTAAGTAATCAAACATTTTCCCAATCTTAAAGTTATTTAAGATGATTTACCAGTAAGGAAAGCCTTGCAAGACATCTTAAAGCTTTGATCGCAGTATCCGGGCAGCCATTTTGATTTCAGAGACAAGCAGTGTGGTCAGCAGTGTAATGGCGACATGTAATATTAAACAAGTGTCCTTTTTCTTTCTTTCTATTTGTTTTCTTTTCCATGTCAAGATAATTGGACAAATTTAACTATTTTTGTTTTAAAATAGATGTTTTATTATTCTTTTACATTCAAATTGCTTGTTAAACAACATTAAAGTGATTTTTCTAATTTGAAACCTGGTTAAACCAAAGTTAATAAATTATTACATGTACATGTAGCCCCCCCAAAACACATAATTTATCGCATAATAAACCTATCTTATCACACAATCTACCATGAAAATATTGCACAATTTCTGATATTTTAATGCACCATATCTTATGGGCTGCCTACCACAGTTATCCAAATTATTAGTTGAAAATGACTATGAAAATGTCTTAATTTCTAAGTCAGAAACATTTGGTTTCTTAACTCAATAGTTTTCTTTTGTCTGAGGTAATCGGAAAAGAAAACATTACATTTACACCCCACCTCTCCTACATGCTCATCCATAACTTTAGTAGTAATGTACTCCTTCCAACATCTACTGCAAAACCTATGACTGCATTCTAAACCAGTAAAAGCCTGTGTAGGAACAAAAGGAGTATCCTGCAGTGAGTTACATGTAACAAGAATGTAAAGGTCTTAGAAAAATGCATGTAGTTTGTATCACTTTGTCCTGGCAGTGTTTTTCAAGCGTAGTAACAATCATAAGCCACATTCTATACTAGCCCACAAACAGGCTCCCGAATGGAGCAGGGTGAAAAAGAAAAAAAGCGAGCCAAGCGAGTTGAACCTGGGTTATCGGAGAAAAAAAGATGGGAGAGCCTGTAGACTTTGTTTTGATGCTGCCCATCCAGGGTACCAGATTCTGCTACATGATCTGATTGGTCAGATCGATGACAGTTGACAAGTGAGTGATGATTATTGAATGAATATCTTCCTCATTCCATGAAAAATACCTACCCGCACATGAATGTTATTGAAGCCAATCCATTGAGCCACAAAAAAAAAACATTACAATTTGACTGGTCTAATCTGTACTTTACAGACATGTTATAGACCTATGTGTTACAGGATAAATGCAAGGGGGTGGATACGTGGGATCAAAACAAAGCCTTCAGGCTTCCGCACCTTTTTTTCTCCCCCAAGCCATGCTTGGCTCCAGTCATTTGCCGATTTTTTTTGCACCGCTCCACTTAGGAGCCTGTTTGCAGACTACATTAATACCATCTAGACCATATTGCAGTTTGCTTGCTCTGCTTGTTATTGGTATTGATCTCACTTACTGATGCCTGTGTGATATTCAAGCAGATTTCACAGTTTGCCTCTGTTGATGCTGATGACGACCTTGTGTTAACCTACATTACAAAGATTACTAACATTCAGCAACGCAGGCAATATCAGAGATTCCAAAAAACTGAACTCCTTTAATAACAATTTAAGGAATTGGGACAAAAAGGTAAGAATTCATTCCGCACAGAAGATTATTACGGTCATATTCACAATTTTGCTCAGAAATCAAGAAAGGTCATTAAATCATGAACTAGCTTTTGTCACTTACCCTTTTAGTTGAAACTGGTCTAGCATTTGTTCTATGTGGACTAATTATGTGAGCTTCAGTAAAGAGTCTGTCTTGATCTCCACTGTAATACCTATGATGAATAAAATATTAACCCCTCAGTGCTTATTTCAGGGGTGCTTTGGGTTTGAACTGAAACTGCTTGTGAGTAGCTGAAAAACCTTGTGAAACGTACATAAACAATATGAACTAAGTTTGTTCTAAATTGTGACTTGCTGTCACAAGTCATTTTAGTGAGTGTATTTGACTGGGAGTCAATTAATTTGCTTTTCTGTGGATGTGTTGTGATAAATTGACTGAAGTCATAAACTTTGGTTTTGTTTTTAAAAGGACAATTGAAACAGAATCAAGCCTCAGGTGACCTCTGATAAACTGCTGGCTTCTCCATCCAAATCATTGCCTGTACATTATGTTTGCAAATGAAAGTAAAAAAAATATATTAATTTTGACTTTAGATCAGATGTCACTTGGGGCCTAATCCCATGCACTCCATTACACAATAACTGGATGATGTTTGACAAAGTTTAATTCAAAATGTCGAGACTCCTTCTCATCCTCCAGTGATAGAAAACAAAACGGCACAGATGACAAGGGAAAAAGTTATCATATGATAACATTACAAAACAACTTATTATTAAATTTAATAAATGGTAGTTGGTTCTTACTTAAAATGGCTCACCTTTCTAGTAGTTTTTCTTTATCCCATTTAAAGTGACTTAAAAGAATCCTTGTAGTTGGTCTTGGTAACTGTGGCAAATGAAAACAAAAAAAACTAAGGTTAAAACAAAATTCACTCTTACAAGTACAATACAAAAGACATGGTATATCTGTGCCCATGGACACATGGAGGAGTCACCCTGGAGAAGTTTGTTCAACTTGCAATGTAAGAGGTAAAGATCAGTGTTGAAGCTACAGACATGACACTGTAGATGGCACTGCAATAGACTGGCATCATATTCAACAGATATACATAATGATTCCTAACTTATTCAGACTACAAAAACTGGGCTGAATACCAAGCATGCAAATTTCATGGGACAGTCAATAATGGCTGAGTTCCAGGGAATTCCCCTAGAAACTATGAGCTCGAGCACCACCTACTTCTACAGGGAAAAGAGATAAAAAAAACTTCCTGGTCCCGGTTGTTAAAACATTGGATAGTGCTACTTACCGGATAAATCACTATTCAGCAGCTAAGTATTGGGGAAACTAATTTTTTTATCCACTGGATAGAGATTTATCCGTGGACAGCACTATCCAGCCTTTGAACAACCGATACCTGACTGTTAAATCTCTTACTTAAAACTTGCATATACCCAACAACATAAAATCCAAGTGGCGGCCCTCACACTACAGCTTGTGTATGAGTTTGGTACCTCATGTTTTTACACAATCTAAATTCTGTCAGAGAATGCTGATTTTATCCTGAGATTTAACTCTTCAAGGGAGACTGAGGACACAAAAGTTTTGTTTTAAATTCTGGGTCTTTCTCGCCAGCAAGGCCCTTTCATGTAATGATCTTCCTTGGATTCTCAAGATACCAAAAACATTTATGTTTCATCCACCAACACAGAACGAATCAAAGTTTCTTTAAAATGACCTCTTTATATAATGTAAGTGATGCCTTGTATATGCATATTATAGTACAATATTGTGAATGGCAAGGCAAAACTTGAAAGAGGCCAGGTTAGGGTACATTTCCCACAATAGACAGGGCCATGAAACAGTGACATAAGACTAGATGAAATGGTGAAAAATGACATAATGATGGGTTAAATACCGACAGGGACATGGCCTTATCCTCAAAACGTGAAACGCCGATATTTGAAATTCAGACTAGTGACATATGTAACCCCCCTAAGGGGGCGTCTTAAAATGGGCAATTTTGTAGAATTTTGTTTGATTTGTTGATGAGAATATTACTTTGCATAACAGTTAAACTGTTTCTTAAAAGAAACTGAAACTACAAAAACGCATAATAAAAAATCTAACTTCACAACTCTCTGGTGAGTGATTTTAGAGGGCAGAAATGTGTTAGGCTCGATTTCCGCTGTCTCCTGGGTCTGTTCTTTGAGTGCGGGCTCATTTTCCTGAACAGCGGCTGGTAATTGAGCCTAGAAATGTGTCAGCTTCCTTAGTCCAGGAAGAAATTCAGCATGGTTTATGTTCCATGTTAATTACCTCAGCATGAGATGCATTAATGTTTTTGAAATAATAAGCTACAAAAAAGCTCATAATAGTTCCTCTTTAGTATGGTTATCACCAGTAAATCAAAGAAAATCATAAAGACATTAACCGGAGCTAATCAACAGAAACGTCTTAAATCCTTGTAATCAACAGAAAATCTCGGAATGGTCGAATCAGCAAAATTAAGCAATGTTTAGAACACAAAAGATGAAAAATTAAAAGCTTTTCTGAAGACCCTCAAAACCACCAGATAACTGCTTAATTAAATCCTTTATTTATTCTTGTAGTATGAAATTAAAGTATTGAAATCCTATAGTACTCAGCGGTTTGTCAAAACCACCGTTTTTTTTAGAATATCGCTAGCAAGATCTACCATGCAATGCACAGTGCATTGTTTTTGTTTGCATGCATTGAGGAATATGTAAAACGTAAGCTTAAAAACTTACGTACTTTCGCGAGACCTCGGACACTTACCTGAAAAACATTATTTACTTCATCGATGATATCATTCATATAACTGACTAAAGCTTCAGGAGTTAGACATTCGTAATGAAAATCGTCATTTATGTGAGGTCTCTTCGGAGTTGAGGGTTCATCGCAATCGATGTCGAAGTCACTTTCGTCGCCTTCTTCCGAGCCGGATTCGTTAAAGCTGTCCTCTTGCTCGTCGTCATACATAGCATCATCGTCCTCTGAATCCATTTTCGTATTTACAATATCCACTAGTCCGCGAAACAGGCTTAGAAGTTGTGTATAATTGCCACAACTGACACACAGAAACACTCACTTTCATTTATATCGAGGAAGCCATGGACACTTTTTTTAGGACTGAGGTCACATGATAACTTATTACTGCAATTCAATTGGTGAAAAGACAATTCTATTGTGACGTCATATTTGTGCAAATTTTTGGAACATTATACTGTATTTGTGTATGTCACTTTATTTCTTGTGGAGGACTGGGTAGAGCTTTAGTGCGTTCACTTATTAGTCATGATCATGATTTGACTAAAGGTTTTAATAGCCCATAATTCGATGAAAGTGAAAAGCATTGTTACCAGTGCTCACACCGATATACGGAATGCTAAAGTATAAAGAAAAAACTGGAAAAGGTAACGGCGCCATGCTACTTTTAAGTTCCGGTTTGTCGATCTTAAAACTCCCAAAACAGCAATGACGTAAGTAACAGTGCGGGTTCACACGTGCTCATAACGGAGACACGTTTTGTGAACGGTTCAGGTAACGTGAATAATGAGAAAACAGTCCCAGGGCACAACGTTAAAACTTTCGGCAAAAGTCTTATTTTGTTTCACTGATTTGATGCGAATCACATGAGCGCTAAAAAATTCAGACCGGAAGACTGAGGGCAGGTCACGTACCCGTCGACACGAGTAGGCTCCTGCTCATTCAGGCTGAAAAGAGTAATTTTTTCTGTTCAGTCTAAAGCACTCGACCTAAAGAAACCAGTCTACTGACTTGATCTGACATTTCTGAGTTCCAAAACTCCTACTTCCAAAACTGGGCCAAGTGCAAAACCATTCTTGTGAAAATGAGTTTTATTTGCATGAGAATAAAAAAATAATTTTCATATCAATGGACTTGTACTTACCTAGTCTGTGATCAAGACTCCGCCTGTCCACCCGTCCCTCCCCTAATCTAAAGTGAACACAAAATGTTAGATTATGGGTGGGGTAGGTAGTCATGCAGTTTCCAAGCGCAAGCACCCCACCTCTTTGCGGAGCTATCTCTTCCTTAATTTTCAAAAAATCACTTTCAAACTTGGTAATTCTACTGATTCTTTTGTTTTTCTTTCCAGCCGTGTTCATCAGATTTTTGCGAACTGGTCACAGTCATAATTACCTTACCTCCAGAGGCCTGTTTTGGAAATAGATGAATTAGCCTGCGAACAGGCTCATTTTGCGACTTTAATCCAAATCTTGCTGTTTTAACAAAGACCAATGAACTGCGAGACAAAACAGTAAAGAATGAGTATTCCCGAAATTTTGAACGGACAAGCCGTTCTTCTTCGAGGGATTAACTGAAGAAACGGAAAGTCGTTACAGAGTATGATAGTTTAAAAGTGGTACAGCGAGTAAATTTAAATTTGAAATTTAAATTTAAAATGGATAGGCCGATAGGAATAGACTAAAAAAATAAAATGAAATAAAATAATAATAATTAATTAATTAATAGAGTAACTAGGCTAGTTTGTAATGACAAAAAAGTTAAAATAAGGAGAAAATATATCATGATCGCATGATATAAAAATAAGTATAGCACAATCCACAAAAATAGATGTAACAAGTGTTAAAAAGCAAAATAATAAAATAATCATAGAACGATGATGATAATAAAAAGGAAGAAAGAAATAATTATAATAATAAACTCAAATTTAACGGTCGTCCTCTCTGTTTATGCTAAGCCCGGGGGGACTCCTCATATGAAAGGGTTGGGGATGATCCTCGTCGTCTCCTTTAGGGGTGTAAATTTCGGATTTTGGTCTCACTTAGGGTGTTCTGGGCAAAACGCCATCATATTTAGCCGTGGGTCTCGTTTAGGGCTGCACGAGAAAAAATATAAAAATATATATTTGATATGTACAGGAGCCCATCCTGATATGTATATTTTTAATTCGTTTTATTCACTCCATTCATTTAATCCAAGTTTTCTCATTTGTCTGTGTTTTAACATGGTCTCTTTTAGGGGTCAAAAAAAGCTTGGGCCACGCCCAAATCGGTCTCTTTCAGGGGTTTTTAAATTAAAATTAAAATTAAAAATTTCTGACGAGCATCCCCCCCCTTTCCATATGCAGAGTCTCCCCCCGGGATGCTAAGCGCCTACATGGTTTTGCTTTTTCTATATAGAATTGTCCGCCAGGCTAATGAATTAACCGGATCAGGAATTTGGAAAACAAAAAGAACTTCTGGCAGCTAGAATATAGGGTTAGTCAACGTTTATATTTCACCTATCCCACGATGCTCTGCCGCTATTTTCAAACATCTGTATTCAACTTCCGGTCAGTTTTCCTCTTGGTCTTTTAATACCATATTTGGCTCTTTTCTGTGACGTCTAATATAATTGAGTGCATTGAGTGGAAGTCTGGGACTGGTAAATACACAACAAAACTTCTTTAGTGAAAAGAGAGTCGATGAAAAAGTTCACCTAGTTTGGAGCTAAATTTCAGGTTCTTTCCCGTTGAGTAGCCTTTATTGCTGCAGAACAGTATTTAAAGTAAATGGCCATGCATCCAGTGTCATCGGCCGTGCGGGCGTTGCAGCTAGAACTAAGGAAACTCACCGAAGAACCAGTGGAAGGCTTTACAGTCAATGTGCCAGACGAGTCCAATCTTTTTGAATGGGACGTAGCGATTTTTGGCCCACCTGGTACTTTGTACGAAGGAGGTTACTTCAAAGTGAGTTGTGTTTTGTAACAGAGCAGAAATTCTACGTGATGAAGCTAAGCGTTACTAAGGGTAATTTTACATTTCGTTTTGTTTTAGGCGCACATGTCGTTTCCCTCTGGATACCCCTATTCGCCACCAACTTTTCGCTTCCTGACGAAAATGTGGCATCCTAACATATACGAGGTAAGAATTATGTAGATCTGGCATCAATTCCTTTAGGATTTTCTTCTGTAACGTCCTAGTGACTAATGACTGTTTGCTGATTCTTTAGTCCGGCGATGTCTGTATTTCAATTCTACATCCTCCCGTCGATGATCCACAAAGTGGCGAATTACCTTCCGAACGGTGGAACCCCACACAGAACGTTAGGTGCGTGCGTATATTTAACCTTCAGTACTCACTCTTTCCTTTTATATCCTGTGTAAGATTTATCGTCATCTTGATTTCAAAGAATTGATCTTTTATACTGAAAGTTCTAAACAGTATCAAACAATATGATTGTCCGCCATTTTTTTTTTATTATTCGAAACTCACATTGTCATTTTTTTTTTGTCATTCAGCCCTAACCCCTAAGCCTTTATACTAACATTGTGGTCAGGGTTAGTGAGATAGTTCACGTCCAACCAAAAGAGTTAGCTTTTGCTTAGCTTTTAATGAGATCCCTTCGTTGGTTTAATTTTTTCTTCAGCGAGAATTTGTCGGCATATTTTCGTGTCACACAGTCGAAACGTGGTTGTCCTTGCGTGCATTGTCGTTCACGAGTTGTCAGGTCAAACAAATTCGAGAAACTTAGACTGTACTGTACAACTGTGCTTTTAGCTCAAAGATCTATCCATGTTTTATTAGAAATCTTTGATATATCCCAAGTCTAACGGATCTATGATCGTATGTTATAGAAACTGAAGATAATGTAGGATCTATTTTTAGTTTTTTGGACAATTACCAGTTCTGGATTTTATTTAATTCTGTGGTTTACTGGTATTGTATTGTGAAGTTTGACAGAAGTTGACAATAACTGTTGTAGTCTCAGAAACAATCACTATTTCTTGTACAAATGATACTTGTTTCCTTTGCTTGATTTTAGCTAAGGTATTTTCATACCTGCCAAATTACATCAATATAATTTCCCAAATTAGAAAAACCTTGGTGCTATGTCTGAAAAATAAAGACAAAGGGAGAAGAAGAAAAGAAGAAGCTTAAAATGAATATCATTGTTTTAGCTATTTGCATTTAAACATACAGTGATATCAGGGATCCAGAATTCATTTTTTTTCAGAGTCGTCATCCGGGCAAGTAAGCCTGATGGCAAACTTGCCCGATTACAATTTGGGTTGCCCAGACAGAAGTGCATAATTATATAAAATGGTGAAAAAATAATGTGCAACTTGAACATTTTCTGATTAGCATTTTATTTCCTTCATAATATTACCAAGAAAGGGTTTTAACTAAACTGTTAAGTACAACATGCTACAGGCCGAGGCTAAACACAGTTTATTTACGTTTTACAAGTACCGACGGTCAGTCAGTTTGCCATGAAGGCAAGATGGTGTGCTTACGTTTTTCCCATATAAGGCAGGGGTTCCTGTGTCACCTTTTTCTCCATCGAAGGCAGCAAAACTTTTTCTAAAAAACGTCACATCTTGATGCATATAAGGCATTGGCTTCTGCTTCTGCTTCTGCTTCGCCTTTTTTTCTGCTAAAGTCGATGAAACGCCTTCTAAAAAAACGCCACATCTTGATGAGTGCTGTCACATTTTCTACGAATGGCCTCTGAATGCAGTACTTCACAAAAAACTTAGAATGCAATCGTTTCGTAGAAAATACTGCACCATCAAACGTGGCGCCCAAACTTATGATTCCATTGCAGACAAAAGCTGCTTGTTATTCTTCATTATTCTTAAAGTTTTAAGTGGATGAGAAGTTATCAGAACTTAGGGAAAATTTATAAACTCATATAAGAAGTATTGAAAAGAGTTTTTGGTTGAGCAAAACCTCACTCGTCCGAAGGGCAACTTTTGAAGTACGAGATTGATTGAGTCCGGAATGACCAGACGACTGGGAATATGGATCCCTGTGATATCATAGAACAAATTTCATTAACTAAATCTGTGAAAATTGGGTTTGAGATGTTAGACAAAAAATATCACCTTTGATAACCTTGAATCAAGTTCCTCTTTTTCATACATACCCCAAAATTGCATATTTGAACAGTTTTTGTACATTGTCAGTTTGAAGTTATGTATCGCAAGGGTTTTGTGGAACCTTGTACCTTTTTGTTTCTCTGTTTGAGGCCCAGGTAATTAAGGGTTATTGGGATTTAGGATATCTGGGGAAAAAAGAAACTGGAAATGTAATGCTCATGGGGAAAAAACAGGATGTAGGTTATTAAGAAACATATTTTGTGGTTTTTGAGTGATAAAGTGGGTCCATGTTTAATCAATAATGTGAAAGGTGAAATTGGTTTAAGTGGAAAATGGGATAAACCAAATTTAACTTATCGGTGGTATTTAGTTTAGTCAAAAATACATGTATTGGTCCCTTAAACCTTTCTTTGAAGAACTTTCTGCCCCCTTGACGAGGGACTCCCTATAAAAGTGACAGGAAATTGTACTTGTGAACCCCTAGAAAGGTTTATACCACCAATCTGTGTGTGGCTCAGGCTTTATTTGACCCCTAAAGGAGACCATACTTTAACACATTATGGTAGCGTTTGACGCACAGCCCTTCTAGGCAATACATTCATATCTTCAATGGCTTTTCCATCTTGAACAGGACTCTTTTGGTACTAATCAAAAGCAGATATGTCATTAGTAGTTGTTGTTATAGGAAGGCATTGAAATTATTAAATTGGTTATTGGATAGTAAGGCTATGAATTAAAGAATAAATCTGGACATGCAGACTTCCCCCCTCCTACGCCTCCCAGATCCCCCGTATATCTTAGGTGTTCTTAATTTCGCAGGTCTTACATTTTGTGTTTTTCGTGATTGCAAAAAAATGGCAAAAATAAAGACCTGTGAAAATAAATCCTTGCGAAATTAAAGCACACAAAATGAAACTAACATACGAGAAATTCAAATCACAGAAAAAAAAATATATGAACTTGAAATTTCAACATCATATACAGGATTTGTATCGACAATATAATTTGGAGTAACTTGGTTACATGGAAACTGGTAATCTCCATTTTGTATCTTCAGAGTGAAGTAAGTTTAATTTGTTTTTCCAGTTTAACTAGAAATTTGAAAACTTTCAAACTGTTTTTAAACATAAAATGAATTGAGAATGCTTAAATCATGAAATTTAATGCCCTTTCCTCATATTGGCATGTTGAAATCAAGAAAACAAAAATAAAAAATCGTGAAGTTAAGTACCAATAATATACCATTTAGCAGACAACCAATTCTATATCTTTGAAATGTTTCCAAAATCAGATCTAATATACCAGTACATTTACCGTTAGGTAGTAACAGCCTAGACGTGTAGTTTTGGTCAACTCGTGAATAAGATATGTGATTATTACATTATTTATCCTATAACCTAATGTAGTGTAGTTATGGCAATTGAAAATATTAATAGTCAATAATAGTTTTTATCAGAATTGATGTAGAATGAGACATAATTTTTGTAAGTAATTTACTTATCACTGGTTGAATAATTAAAAATCATTAATTAAAACAGGTACATTGTGCACAATGTTTTTTAAGTCATGAGACACAATGTTAACTTGGAAACTTTATAAATGGCTGGTTTCACACTAGAGACGGATTATCCACAAGACAGATAATCTGACTTCAAAGTCTATCAAAGTAGATTGATAAACATCAGTCAGATTATTCATCCAAAATGAACACTGTCCCATTTTCACATTAAGACTGATTTTACATCTGCTAACAGATTATCCAATGAAAAATTAGTCTCAAAAGGATCTTATCTGCCTGGAGTGTGAAATGTCAAGTTCCAAAGTGAACGTTTTGCCAAAACACTAGCTATAAAAGGTTAGACGTACTAGACTGAAAAAGTAGGTCCAGGCTAACAAGTAATACAAGTCAAGTAAATTTAATGTTTAATAAAACGAGTCAAGCATAATATAAAAGCTATTTATTATATAGACACGAGTGCTTTACTGGAAAATATACCACTCGTAAAGTTCATAAAAACTTCATCCAGGACCCGAGTGGTTTATTTTCCATAATCTCACACGTGAGTTTATCGATGACGTAATTTCGGTCATTTCCCTCTATTATTTTATCGATGTCTTTTTGTCTATATAATAAAAAGAACAATACACAGCGGTTTGAAGATATGAATTATATTTTCTTGTGGCAAAAACAATCTTTTACTCACTCGCTGAGCTCGATCGTAAAATATTGTTTTGCCACTCGAAAATAAAATTCATATCTTCACGCCACCGTTTAATATCCTCTATATATTTTATACAATTTCTAAAAATTGTGGGTCGATTAGAAAACATAGCCAGGGATTGGTTTGTTATGTAATACTGCTCATTATTGACCAAGTAAACAAATATATTGAAGTCTTAGGCTCATCATAATTAATTTGGAGTCATAGGAATCAGACGGTCTTCATTTCCTCCTTTTGATACCACTGAGTACTTCTTATCTAGACTTGATAAACTGGATTATCAGATTGTCTGTTTCTGAGAGTTATTTTGTTTTCATTAGATTTTAAATGATATCTGTCATAATGTCATGGGTGACGAATTACTCCTTTATTTTGGCGCAAAGTTTCAGTGTTAATTTATAATTTCACATGTGAAAGTATAAAACCTCCATGGCAACCTTCTGTACATGTTAGTGCCAAGATGGCGGCAAAATTTTAAAATGTTATGAATGAAGATGTCAGGGCATTAAAAGACGCTTTAGAAGACCTAAACACATGAAAGAGCAGATCAAGAAGGATTCTATTAGGTATTTTGTCGATTAAGCTCTAAAGTTTTCACTGCGTGGAGTTTTTGATTGATAATCAATTTAATATAAACATGCCAAAAACCTACCATTGTGAGCATAATTTGTTATCCATGATATTAATAGGTAATCAAATGGTTTACTCGGGAAATTAGGGTATAATATTCCCTTGCTTAAAGGTTAGGAATTCATTCACTTGTCACCATTTTGATTACACAAACTAATAAAGCAGAATGGGAATCTCCACCTACAGCTTCATCAGTTTGATTCTCACCAGGTCATCTAGCTGGAGTTGTTCTTGGTAGTTTGAGTGTTAACACTCCACTGGTGCCTTTCAACAGCTATGCCAGCAAGCCAGAGGCAAACAAGTAACTAGTTTGTTTCTTGCCAGTTGGCATTCAGTCTGTATGAGGGTTACGTTTGTAAACTTATTCATCATGGCATGTTTATCATAGGCTTGCTTATGGTTGGTATCATTTTAATTCTGTTGGTTACATAATTTTGGCTCATTGGCATATATATTTGACCTGTCAAACGTGTTGGAGTATATGCAAGTTTAATTCATAATTTTGAAAATACTGATTAACTTGACTAATCAGTCCAATTTTTGGCTATTGGTAAGCAATATTTGAGAAAAAATCAGTCATCAAAATTTCTGGCAGCAAAAACTTTAATGAACCCAACATTTTCTTAAAACTTTTTAGGTTTTCACACAAAATTGCTCCAAAAGTATCTGGTACAGTGTGTGTATCATTCTCAGATTTCAGAGGCAGTTAATTCTACAGTCAGACCTTTATAAGTGTACTCATATAAGCTATCAACCTCTATTAATCAGTCATAGCCCCGGTTATAGTTTGAACTGTTTAAACTGTTTATTAACAATTACAAATTTTACAAGCAAGCTATATTCATTGCCTGCAGTTGGCAGATTAGCTAGTTGAGGCGAGCAGTGGTTGCACGTATTTTATATATATATACAAATAGCTGACAAGCAAGACTAGAGGAAAAAAGCAAAAAATGTTAAATAAATATATAAAAATAAATTCAATTCAATTAACTTTACAGTTATGTATATTGCAAATATAAGAAGCTGAGTTTTCAGGAAATTTTTGCTGTTAAGTCGGGTAAATCAATATGATCATTTTCTTCTGAAAGTATTCGGAGTAAAATGTTGTGGACATTGATTTTAAAGTTATTTTTGGACATTCAACTCATTTCATGCGGTAGACTATTCCATATTTTTACGCCATATCTTGAAGGACTTAGTTTGCTTGTCTAATCTCTAGTGTTTAACATTAGTAATCACATCTTGAATATGATCTTGTATTATATGAATGAATGTTAGTTTAGGAAGCAAATAAATTAGATATGTTAGTAGGTGTTAAGCTGTTAGATGTATCATGCATTAGAATAGCAACGGTTTTAAAGTAGAGTAGGTCTAAGGGAAGAAACCTAGAGGAGACAAAATAAAGTACTGCATGAGAATTGTAGTCACCAAAGAACATGAGGGCCAGATGACTGTGGTTAATCTGGAGGCCACTCTTGTCTTCCTTGGAACAAAATTCCCTTCCATCGATCTTAGCATCATCCAGTGTGAACTTGTGGCCAGAGGTGTTGGCAAATACCTGAATGGTTCCATCTGCAAATATGTGACCTTTGCACTTGGCATTTTGAATACGAAAATACATCAAGAGATAATTTTTCCCCATGTTTCTGTGGAGTAAATACTTTTTAAAACTAATATGGATCCAGATCCAAACACCGTCATGCAAAAATCCACCTTCATGCTGTTATATCTTGTTTTTAGGACTATCCTTTTGAGTGTGATTTCCTTGTTAAATGAACCTAATACATTTTCACCTGCCAATGTGGACGCTTCAGTGATGTTCAGAAAATGGAGAGACTCAAAAGGAAAAGACAATGAATACGAAAAAATTGTCAAGTGAGTTATGTGCTTTATTTCAAATTCTTCTTCTACTTATTTCAAGGCTGTGCTCGAAGAAACATTGAAGGTAGCCCAGTGCTCTGAACCAGTGAAATCTAGGGTGCCCAGCATATAATTTCTAAGAAAAAGGCTAAGATTTTCTTGTTGCCAAGGAACAAATGTTAAGTGGCAGGGGCCACCAAGTGCTGTTAAAGTACAACTTTGATTTAGTAAACTGCAGAAATGGCAGTGTATCCCACGAAACTGCAGTTTTCAAGGACCAAAATAGTGCCATTAAAGAATACAGCCAACCTGCTTTCAAATAAAAGGTCACAGAACAGCTTTTTATAGTCACTTATCGCAGTAAACATTGCTGCTGAATACAAACACCAATTACTCATTGATACAGGGTCAGCATTAGCCTTGACCTGTTGTAAACTATTCACAAGTGGTTGAGACGGAATCCACTAGGAAATTGAGTTATTTTGATTCTCAGCAGACAAAAACCTTGTACCAGAATAATTTAAAGAATATTGCATTCTTTTTTTACGTTTTTTAAGGCCTAAAGATGGAATTTAGTCATCTGTAATAACACCAAAGAAAATTTCTCATGGGAGTCCGAGAAAATGAATGTCAAATTTCACAAGAATTGTGAAAACACAGGTAAATCTCTGTAATTTTCATGTGAAAGATGTAATTTTGTGAAATTTGACATTTATTTTCTCGGGCTCCCATAAGAAATTTCCTTTGGTGTTATTACAGATGATTTATTACATCTTTAGGTCTTGAAAAATGTAAGAAAGAATGCAATATGTTTTTAATTATTCTGGTACAAGATTTTTGTCCACTGAAAAGTAAAATTACTCAGGTGCCTGAAATATGAAAATGAATAATAGACAGAGTTTTAAAAAGGTCATCTTCTGATTTGAGGAGGGCAAACCTGTAAAAATGAATCTTCAGTGCCTGTACTCCGGGGTCATGGCGAACTGCAAAATGAGCTTATGCGAAACTGAATACATAGGTGTAGTGAGAACATCCTTGGCTTACATGCCTCTAAGCAAGTGAAACTGTTGAAAAGTTGATTCATTATCTTTGTCTAGACAACCTGGTTTTGACGGGAGAACTGTTCATTAGGTGTTCTTCTTTAAATTCTGCACCTCAACAAATGTATGGATCATTAGTCCTAAAATGTCAGATTTGATATAGTGAAACCTGGTGATCGACGAACGGATTCTTTAAATTTTTCCGTAACGTAGCGAACAAACATCTGTTCCGTTTATGGATTCAAATGTCCGGATTTAATTTTCCCAAAGAAAGCGACCAAGTCAAGATTGGCCACTGGTTGGCCACTGCTTTTAGTAACCTGAGGTGAATAAACTTTTAGAGTTTTGTTACCATGGAAACATCAACATTTGTCACCAAGTACATTGCACAAACTTTGGTGTTATTTCCAATTTCAGAAAACAAGTTTCACGTACCAAACTTGAAGCTGAAAAAGAAAACATAAAAGTACCCACGACAGTGGAAGATTACTGCGTAAAATCTAGACCGTCGCGATCCGAACCCGAGGATTTTACAGATTTCTACGACGATGATTATGCCGATGACGTAGATGACGACGATGACGACGACGATTGTTTGGATTATAGCGAGGATTCTGGGAACGAAGAGACGTGATATGGCAACTGGTCGAGGACTGGAACTTTGCCACGATGTATATTTTGTACCTTTGTGTAACATAACACCTTTTCCCATGGCAAAAAAGAGCGAGCTCCTTTTGTCTAGCAAAACCTCTGGCTTAAAAAACTGGAGAAAACTCTTTTCTTTTGTAAAAATATTGCTTGCTCTGCGTGGGGGCAAAGACTTCAGGAGCTTGTCAGGCGAACCCCAGCAAACGTCCGCGGCAGGCGTCTTTCGCATCACGCAAGGCTTTGTGGGTATGGTTTATATCGAATGGCTCGTTCACACAACTATTGCAAGGAGACTGGAGAATTTTACTATCACACTGTGAAGTTGCCATTACCGATTGGAATTCGTCTGATAGATCTGTAGCCTTTCAATGTTCGTGGGTGGTATCTGTGTTGAATGTCATAAATAAATTAACAATACTAATTCCAATTCACTGTCTACTAGTTTTTCTTTTGCAGCGCCTTCAGAAACTATTGAGTAATTTGCTGGAAATAGGTTAATCGAGTGGGAAAGCTCTGTGGCAATTTCGTCTTCTGACTGTCATGCTTACTGCATTTTTTCTTTTTGGGGAAGTAAATTAAAATGACTAACTCTTGTCTGAAAATTTTCACACACAAAACAAATTCAAGACTTGTTAGAAGTTCCTTAATCTGGAAAAGGGTCGAAGTGCGTGCTAAATGTAATTTGTATCTTCACAAGTCTCCTCCCACCTGGAAGGGACTTAAAAACAGCATACATGTACTGCAACCTGCCATCTTTTGCTCCCACCCACCGCCACCCTCCAGCTTGTACCCAGTTCCCAAGGAAGAGTTGTACTTGACTCTAGGGAGGAGTATTTAAAGTCTACTTTTCTCTTCGTAAATGAAGCTAAAGGGTTAAGTGATTTAAAATGAGGTGTTGAGCAAATCGCGGTCCGAGACTAAGTCACAGCTAAAGCTGCGTTTCTACACTTTGCCATCAGTGGTTGGTGAACCACTAACCCGTGATCTGTGTGACTGTCGCTTCATGTGAGATCTCTGGGCTGCAATGTGAAGTGACCCGGTGTCTCTTACAACAACTGAGAAAATTTATAGTAAGCTTTTGTTCCGAAATTCCTTGGAATTGAGAGTACTCGCGTTTTTTCCCGCAGCCTTGGTCAATCCACTCCAATGCAAGTCGCAAAATGTCGGCTGTTTTCTAAGGCTATATTTTCGTGGGTTGTCGCAATTTGCCACTTTCGCGCTTTTGGCCGAACTGGAACATGCAATTTGCAATTCTGTGAAAAGTTTGAACTATGTTCATTCAAAAATAGACGTCTTCAAGACATATGCGTCCTAATGTACAAGGTTAAACACACTAAAATGTGTTCCGAAGCCATCACCAACATTTTTAAACCTCGTGATTAATGCTACAGTTTAAGAAATTCAGACTTTCTTTTACCCAGGTTTAACACAGTTTCATTTGGTAAGCATTCCCTTCGATATTTAGGTCCCATTTTATGGATTAAGCTGGACAAAAATGATAAAACGTGTAAATCATTAAGTGATTTTAGAAACCGAATGCGTAATACGGATCTGACATCTCGTATTGATGATGGATGCAAAGGATGTCTTCTGTGTGATAGTTGATGTCTCATCGGAAACAATTTTAGCATTTTAGTACTCAGCTTTAGTATTTTAGCTAACAATTTGTAACATATTGTATGGATTTTTTTTATCTACTTAATTATTGTATCTATTATATTTTAACTGTAGGTGTCCCCTATTAGTAGAGGGCCTGCCCCTCGGCTAGTTTTTCTTTCTTGACACATAAATAAAGTTTCTATCTATCTATCTATCTGGATTCGTTTCATAAGTAGGTTGAGTATGATCGTCTGGGTGAAGGTAGTCCTGAATAGGACTGTTGTTGTTGACAGTGACTGACGTTTCGACAACCTGTGCGTCAAATTGAGTCAAAGTGAGTTGCAATTCTACATGTAGTCTAACTGCATATATAATGAGCGCTTCTCCGGAACATGCCTGCGTTCTACTACTCCCAGAGTTCTAGGCGATCGTGGTCGATCATGAACCTTTGCTGTCTTCTGTCTTTAATTTGGGAGGCGTGGTGTTAAATTTCGCAGTTTGAAGGGATCGCCTGCAGAAGGCGCTGTTCGCCCCTCCATCTCCCATGGTGGCGGTGACCACATCATTAAGCCTAGCTGCATATCTTTCCCAAAGCAGTCGCGGATTCCTCGCGATTCTTATCCCGGTCTCCGCAAGGAACGCCTGGTGTAGAATAGCATGCATAATTCAGTACTAGTCACGTGATATCTATCTTGTATGATTTTTTTCCATGTGCTTTTTAGCGGCGCTCGCACTGGCACTTGCGCTTGTACTCACTCGGTTTGCATGGTTCGTAGTTCAACGCGTTATGTGAAGGCTTCTCGTTTCAAGTTCTTCTTCACCTGCGACCATGAGCCCCCTTTTGGCGCACATACACGAAAAAAAAAAGAAAGAAAAAGGAACGATTGCATTTTTATTTTTAGTCTTACTGCTAAAGCAAGCTCCACTAAAAAGACGCCATCATGCAAATGGCTTATTGGTAATTGGTTCACATATTCAAGTACTACAGAATCTTGTTAATTTAAAAAAATACTATTTATTATCCATCGTATTTGTGTTCTAGCTAGCAACAGATAATTTTAACATACAATAATTATAATTTTGTATTAAAACTTAATTTAAACCACTGGGGCAATTCATTCACAACAAATTAAGAACAAGAGAAAGGAATGGCTGAGCTTTCTTGTGTCCAGGCCTCCCGCAAATGCGCTGAAAGGAGGATGCAGGACAATATGGGAAGAATGCAAAACAGGAGTGAAGTGTTTTCTTCCCAAGATATCACAGGCACCGTGTGTGCCTAGGGTCGAAGCGGGTCTATTTGTAAAATTGATGCAAGGTAAGGGAATTTAAAGGGATTCTATCAGCTTATGCACATGCGCATTAGATACCATTTCTTGGCTGATTTGCAAATTGAAACTGTTTCCTGTGGTCTATTGCTACGGATGACAAGGATGGACATGGACTGAAACTTGAAAAGGTTGGGCCAATGTTTTCAAGTTTTAATGACATGCCTGCAAAAATCACCCCCAAAAATTATCATGGTGAATCCCACGCGTACTTTTTATTTCGGGTTGAGCAAAACGCTTTTCAAAGTGGCAAAACTAGTTTCCAGATCAGCGCGGTCTCCAAAGCGCCTGGTAACGGACTAAATTGGGCATCATTAGGACAAACAAAACTGTCTGTAATAGACAGGTGTGTGTATTATAGGAGTACAGATCAGCTAGATAATAACAAAGTTTTGTATCTTTAGAACCAAGAGAACTGTCCGTAAGAGAGAGGTGTCCATAATGGCCGGGTCCTGGGCAGGTTTTCCAAAACACTAATGGCTGTAACGTAATACAAACATGAAAAAATATATTTAACAATTATTCCTCGATTCCGAGTGGGCTCTGAGTCAATAGCCCATAAGGCCGAAGGCCGAATGGGCTATTGACTCAGAGGCCATGAGGGCGAGCGGAATAATTGTTTTAGTAAAATCCAACTAGTTGGTCAAAAATATCGAGACAAAACAACTCTAGCTAGTTAAAGCTAGACTTAAGTCCTCTTTTGCCGCCAAAAAGCCAGCGCTTTTCGCTACTAGTGGGCTATAACATATAGCCTAGTGGTAGCTCAACCAATCAGAATGCAGCATTGATAACAGACCACTAGTTGGATTTCACTAAATATATATATTCCTTGTCTCCTAACCCTAAATCCCTACACCTAGTTCGCTTAATTTAAAAGGAAATCTAGAGGTGACAAAAATGAAGATCAAACTGTCGTTCCTTTACTGACTGAAAACCTTGCCAGGCTGCTGGTAAATTTAACACTTTGCTTATTATCCATACAATTGTTCATATCAAATCGTGACGAACTCTTATAAAAAGGACGCAAAACGCCACCATACATTGATAATCCCTGCACCGTCCCGCAATATTCAAGCACCAAGAAGTCTTGCTTTTCTGTTATTGAATCTCTGATTCAGAGAGTCCATTTGCCTTTCCTTGCCTTGTATCTTATTTGTTCTGAAAGATGTATAAACAAATTAGCCCCCCAAAAAAAATATACAAAAGAACTTATAAGAATTTGAAAATAACACAGTTCGAAACAAAAAGGGGAATATGAACCTTCTGATTGGACTAGGAATGAGAGTTGGCGTTCTCTGGGACGCAAGAGACTAGAGATCTTTATTTTATAGTAAGTTGTTGTTAACTAAGTGTTTAGTTGTCGATAACAGAAAGTTATTGTATGAACACAAAGCCAGTCGGTGAGGAAAAGATAGTAATCAGTAGCAAAACTCTTTTTCTATTCAAAAGTTCTCGGTAACAAACGTGGCAGTTTATTGTCAGCAATAATTTTGTAAGACAGTCGTCAACAACTATTATTAGCGATCCTTGCCACACTGATATGCGCAGTAATGCCAGTTAAGGAAAAGTAATTGACAAGTTTATCCCCTGGGTTGGGCATGGGGAGCCTTTACTGCATCTTATTCCATAATGGCAGAAATAAACTATTCTTTTGTCCCTATTTTAATTAGTCAGCTACACAGCCGTTTTTAGTGTCGTCACGCAACGCTCCTCCCCATGAGGAGCGTTTCGTGACGGAGCGTTGCGTGACGACACTAAAAACGGCTGTGTAGCCGACTATATTTTAATTAGCCCCTCTTCCCTCAATCTTATCTGCAGAATTCAAAAGAATCTTTTACTGACAACAAGACTTCGAGAGCCAATCACCACGGAGAAAAGAATGACATTTTCCCGTCATTTTGGACTATGAATTTTACCTTGTAGTGAACATCTGGAAGGTTCCTGAGTTTTTCTGCTGCCTAAATAACAAGAAGGAACTACGTTTAGTGAAAACAAACAAACATAATAAGGCTATGTGTAGACTGTAACGGATAGATCTTGTGCCAGCATGTAACCCATCCCGGATAGGGATTTTGTGGACAAAAAGGAACAGTGATTTCGGTGAGATTTCTGTAACTGAGTGAAGCTGGGTGGTGCCGATCTTGATAGTGGATTGTAAACGATCCATGTCAATTTAAGACGGATTTGTATGAAGTCATCAGTTCATATGGTGCTTAGATCTCCCCACTAATTTGTACTAACAGGCTGATTTTTGGCAAGGGGAGGGGGCTTTTTCTATCTTGTTCTTTTTGGATATACCTACCAAACCTATAATTTCATAAACTTACATTTTTGTGACGACACACTTCTCTGTTATGCGCAATGCAAAAATGGTGAACCAGCCCTATTGACATACTATACTTGTTGGGCATGGAGACGAAAAGTATGCCCGTAGACGGATGCATGTTAAAGTCTCGATTTGACTGGAAAATACGCTGTAAATGTCATAACCCGACTCACTCCCCACATTCAACTTATTACTCACTTGTTCTGCTGTCAGGTCTCTTTGTGCCTGAGCTAACATCTCATAACCAACCATGAATTTCTTTACCTACAACAACAAAGGATTCGTTTTATTAGGTACAAAAAACATCTCTCTTGCCGTTAAAGTAACCTTGTCGGGGACTTCGTGTTCTATTGTTTCTCTAACTCGTGTAATGACAAAGTTTGTGAATAGTTTACTTGTTAATTATACTAAACTTGTAAATAAGGGAAACAATTTAAACCGGTTTTGGGTCGTGGGGATTGTTTGAAACAATCAAAAAGTTGCAAACAACACCAGCAACGTTGTTGTTGTTGTTGTTGTTTTTTTTTTTTAAAGGGTTTAAGTCAATTTAAAGAAGGATACACTCGCAAGAAAACACCGACGAGGAGTTGCTTTCTAAAATATAAGCAGAGATCGGGTGCCTTTGGCCTAGCCAAACGTCGAACTTTTCATGAGAAGAACCAAACTCTAATTTGGATCGAACTACATTAACTTTTTGGGTCAGGCGTCAAACTTAGGACGCATCGAATCAATCAACTGAATCAGACCAAAAAGAAATTTTAATACATTTTCACCCGAACGAGGCTAAGTTTACCTTATCAAACAAATTTTTAATTTATTAGTTCAGTTCCGTCGTCGCATGTGAAGATCAACGTTTGTCCTGGAGATGATTTTCAGACGTTCTATCTGTCTGAAGCAGACGGATAGAACGAGTTGGACGATGAACTTCACTCACTAAGTTTAGTTCGTCTCACCAAAAGTTCGAAGTTTGGCCGAGGTCTTACGCCGCCGTCGCCCCCATGGTATCTCAGTTAAATTCCCTGGTAATCAACAACAATAGCAACTAGCTTACCGTGGCAGAACGAAGTAAAGGGGGATAGTAATGGGCGTGTAGCTGCCAGTGACTATCAGACAAAAAGACAAAAAGATAAGTAATATTTTAAAATCAGTCAGTCGAAACAAAAAGCAAATAGTTTTGATTTGAAAACGTTTATCAAATATACCCAACCTGAGTCGGATCGCCTGAAAGCCACGAATCCGACTCACATATTCAGTTTACCGTGAAAAAGTGGCCATGCACGCGGCAGTATGCGGTGGTTTCAGTATCAGTAGATGTATTGAATGGCGACTGCGACAAAATCTCATGCCACTGCAAATCGTTGTAGGTTTTTTCTTAACGTAAACAACTATTTCCAACAGAAACCCCCCAAAAAACATTTATGTCAATTCCCGTACTCCTAGTATTTCCTAATCAGTCAACCAGCCTCTTGGCATCCAACGTTTTGCTCTTTCCCTTGCAAAATATTGTGTGACAAAGATTGGTTTCACCACCCGCGAATCAGAAGGAAGAAGGACTTGATAGCTTTAAAAACACAACATTGGTTTGGGGGAGGGGTTGGGGTGCAAAGGGGTAGGAGATAGATATGTCTACTACGCAAATAAGGGGCCAAGTGTGTTAACACTTTTGTTCCACATTGTACACTCAGTCCATCCTCGGAAACCCAGGGGCAGATAAAGGGGGCGAGGGAAAGTCTAAACGGGTGGAAAAATATATATGGAACGAAGAAAAGTAAAGAACGGCGAGAAGAGCCCCTGGGGACATTGTCTTAACAGACCAGTTCCAAACGGTCGCCGCCGTTCTGGCTTCTGATTGGTGCCAGAAAAATACAAGTTTTCTGGCACCAATCAGAAGCCAGAACGGCGGCGACCGTTTGGAACTGGTCTGGTAAGACATTCTCCCCAGGGGCTCTTCTCGCCGATCTTTACTTTTCTTCGTGCCATATTTTTCCGCCCGTTTAGACTTTCCCTCGTCCCCACTATCTCCACCTGGGTCTCCGAGGATGCACTCAGTCAAGATGGCCGCCTGTAGCGCTTGTTCTCGACGATATTACTCTAAGGTTTTTCAGCAAGCAGAGACCTATTTTCCCTGGTATTCCTGTGCTAAGAGGCAACGGTACGGCAAAACGGGCAACAAAAATGTCGACCTGTTTTTCAACAGTGCTGCAAAACGAGTTAAAAAGCGATGTTGCGCGTTTTACCACTCACGTTCTTGCAACTGATCAGGTCGTTGCAAGTTACGTGAATACAGACTTCTGATTGGATAAAATTACGCGGGAGTCACGCCATACACGGGAGTTACGTCACTTGATGCAAAACAAGTTTGCCTTGGGAAAAACGCTCCACATGAAAAAATTTTCTCGCAAAAAGTAGAACTACTCTCTACTTTCTGCAACAACTTGTTGCAACCTGCAGCAACCTAATTTGCTGCAAGACAGGTTTATTCTTGGGTAGTTAAGCGCGCAACATAGTGACAGTGACTTGTTACAAATAGTTGTGGTGAGTCCCAGTTCAAACGCCCACGAGTCCTAAATTAAAACTGCTCGTGTCTTTGTGTAACCAAATAGTTAATATGAAAAAAGACTTCAAAACTCTGTATTACAGTTTACTGAAATAAAAATTTACTCCTTTTATTGTAAAACACTAAAAAGACTAAAAGAGATGTGCGTCGTTAAACGACAGCCACAAGAACAGACACAGAGATCACACCAAATAGGATTTTCTACAAAGACAACTTCAGATCGATCAATCTTTGTGTCCTAGGGGACGCACGCCACGAATACCGGTAATTTTGTGTCTTTGGGGATTCTTATGCGTCAGGGACGCACGATGCAGAGGTAAAAAAATCAGCGTAGCTATTCAACAAGTTGCCCGTTTTTGTTGCTCGTTTTACCGTACCTTTACGAAAAAATAGGCGACTGTGAACAGTCTAATAAAATTCATTCACCTGCAGTCTGTGTCCTGTTTTCCTGTCGGTGCTCCTGATAGAAGCAATGAAAAATGCAGTATGAAATGTAATTGTTAAAAACATGAAGAGAGAATCACAGCGGGGATAGCCTGCGTAGTAGGTGCTTGAAGAAAAAAGGGGCGCGCGAGGGAGACACGCAAGGAGCTTCCTCTCCCCTCGCGCGTCTCCGTCGCGCACCCCGTTCTTTCTCGCATGTAACTTCCAAGCGCCTGCTACGCAGGCTACAGCGGGGGAGAATGTTAATAGTTTACATATTGTTGTTTAAAAGGCATGTTGGACAAGAGGTTGAAACAAAGAGCAGAATTCTTCGTGCTCGTGCACTGAAAAGGGAAAAAAACCTGGCACAAGCATCAAGGAGCTGAAAGCGGTATCTACATAACAGTATTTATTCATACTGTTTGTGGATGTTCAATATAAAAACACTTAAATAGTCTCATTGCTAGACGTCTTGTGACCTCGAAGTAGCAAAGACAACTCTAATTGTAATTAAGAACCCAAAGAAACACATCTTAGAGCGAGGGAGAAAACCAAAAGCAATCTCAACCCACATATGGCGTCGAAGCCAGGATTTGAACCCAGGGTACATTGGTCGGATGGGAGGCAAGTTCCCTCACCACTGTGCTACCTTTGCTCCCCTCGCGCTGTTGAGGAAAATGCTAAGTACAAACGTGTCTTGTTACTTACCATGCCAGCCCATGGAATAAGGAAACGACACCTCAAATAAGTTGTCATACTTGATAAGCAGTCTCTTCATAATATCAGCAAGACCTGGAATTATATTGAAGAAAGAAGTCGTCATTGGAAGAAGGGCGGCAATCAAATAATAAAGGGTGAACTGGAAACTCGTTAAGACAAAGACCAGTGTTGGGCCAAGAAATTTTTGTCGTATTAACGGAGTGGCGTTACAACATGATATTGCCCGACCATCCTAAAAGGGACTGTGTCACGGTTGTCTAATTCACGGTTAACCCTTTAAGCCCCAATATGAACATAAAAATTCTCCAAACTGATCTCCATACAATTCCTTACAGAATGTGTTGAGAAAATTTGATTAAAAATCAAGACATTTTCTCTTTGGAGATCATTTCATTACCTCTCATAACCTAATCTCTAGACAATGTATGGATATCGTTAGGAGAAAATCGATTTTGGTCACTGGGTTAATTTTGCCAATTACGCTTCCTTATGCGCTATAGAACTTAAAGTAAGCGAAAAAATTACTTATAAGTTACCGTATTTATTCGAATAAGCGCCCAACCCCAAATTTGCGCCCACCTCGAATAAGTGCCCACTCTCAAGGTCCAAAAATTTAATAAGCGCCCAGGGGCCCGTTTCTCGAAAGTCCCGGTAACTTTACAGGCCCGAAACCAAATATTCAAATCGAAATACAAAGAATAAGAGCGTGGGTCCTGGCTAGCAAACAACTCCATTTTTTTTTCATTAACTGACAGTTTTATCATGTTAGATGCAAAACTATTGAAACCACGATCTTTAATGTAAACGGAGACAGCCTACCGGGCCCGTTAATTAACGGGACTTTCGAGAAACGGGCTCCAGAGCGGTTAATCGAATAAATACGGTACCCACAGCTTATTGTCCAACGAACTTTCGTCCCACGTGTCATATCGTATGTTACAAACAAACAAAAATGAGCTTTGAAAAACCGTTAGGCTAACAAGTTTTCAAAAACCCACAGCTGCAAGTTTGTCCATCCGCGCCTTCTTTAGTATTTTTTGTGTCACTTATTGCTGCTTTGAGCGGTTATTTGTATGTTTCATCTAATTTGGTGGCAGTTCATACTGTAAGAATTTTGATAAATCTGGTGACACAGCTCCTTTAAATGACTACACAAAATACAAACCACGGGGGCTCTTTTCCAAGTAGAGGACCCGATACACCAAATTTTCGGGAAGAGAATTTATTGCATGCAAATTACTTAGTTACAAAATGTGTGGTTCCATGCCGTATGCTCCTCGCTTACTAGAGGTTAAAACAGTGAAAACCTATAAAAAATAACGACTTAAGAATCCAAAAGGCGCTCGTTGCCCGATGTAACAGGATGCCTGTGTTTAATGACGGGGTTGCAGTATATGGAAATAACTTAAAATCGTCATAACGGAGTGGTCGTGTCAACGGGGAGTCGTAATGACGAGGTGCCGTGGTAATATTAACGGGGTTGACTAACGGTGTGGGCTATTAACAGGGGTAGGGTAGTATTAATAGAGCTGTCGTATTGAGGGGAGGGGGGGGGGTGTTCCACTAAGTGAAGCCACTCTCAACCGATCATGCCTTACTTCTTTGTTCCTCTGAAGTGAGATCTGATAATCGTAGTACGTGTCTTCTTGGAAGAAGGAGGACTTCATAAGGCCATGTCGCCCTGGAATACAGCAATTACGCGATAAAGTAAAAAACAAAACAAAATCAAGAACAGAAAAAGAGAAGCTATTTCAGGGATGTAGTCATTTATGACGACGTTTGTGTACTGTATGGGAATAATATTGATATCAACGTTTTGATGTAAACAGTCGATGCAAGCACAAGTATGAGTACGGGAGTCTGGTGTTAAGGGGAAATAAGCTTACATACAAGCACAAAGCTGAGCACAAGAAAAGAAAAACCTGGATCGTTGAACTTATGTCTATGCTTTCATCTAGTTCGTTTCCACGATGAAATAAGGAATCTCATGCACACACTTTGCTATATTGTGCTTTAGTCCACCTAACGAGCTTCAAACTCAGTTCTAGATTACAGTGCTTTTTGTTTGACCTTAAAATGGTAACACACAAACAAAACTGAAGCAACAAGCACACCAGTGTACGAATTTCACTGGCTTAGCAAACGGACTCAAATGCGCAGGGTTTTTGGTTGGTTTAGCGTACATGCAACTAATTTCCAGCTTACAAAAAGACTGCCGAAAATTTTAGATAACTAGGGGGAACAGAAACTGGGTTGCCGATCGACGACAAACAGCGAAACGGCAGCAAAATGGCGAGTCCATGTTTTGGTTGGTTTGTTTTTTATTGGCTGATAAAACAAATGACTAGCACTAACAGAAACCTTTTCCAAGGTTAAACGAATATCCCTGGCTTTCTTGACATTCTGCAAAAAACTTCAATACTGTCACCAGAGGCTACATGTACAGAAACTTACCAGTAAGGCACGACTACAATCCAGTCATCATTTTCCACAACAATTCGAACCTATAAGATATTTGAATTAAAGAAGAATGTAATGTAATGCTACTGGTGACGTACTGTTAGCCTGGGGTTAGCCCAGCAATGGCTCCAAGTAATCTTATCCAAGAACGAAGAAACACCATTGCAAAAAAAACTACCTTATTTTATTGTTCAGTTCAACACCAAGAGGGTTTAGCTCCAAATGCAATAGCCTGAAAGAACAGCCGACATTTCGCGGTGCCACCAAAGGTTTTCCCGCAAATGACGTTTAAGAAACGACTACGCAGATCTGGGTAGTGCTTCTTGTTGGATGAAGCAAATTTTCAACTAATCAGATCTTGGTAGTGAAACATCATCAGTATCATGCAGGACTCCCCGGTATGGAATTTCTGTGCTCGTTTCTCAGACGTCATTTCCCCGGGAAACCAGTGGTGGCGTCGTGAAATGTTGGCTGTTTTCTCAGGTTACAACTGCAACCTCCTGTGGCTTGTGTTTAGTCTTATTTGTTGATCTGATTCTGCGAGAGGGCATCCTAGCCAGGAGTCATTAATGTCAGATGATCACTGAAAAACAGCAAACTTTTCTCATACTAACCTTCTGTTCTGCTTCCAGTTTTGCATATTCAACTAGCATCGGCACTCCATGTTTCTGTAGATATTCCTTCTGGGTACGATCCTACCACAAAAGCAAAAAGATGAAAAAAATGCAAAGTGAATTGCATGTTAGATTTCCCACCTTAATGTAAGAAGCCTGCAAGCAAGCTCTCCATTTTGAGAAGTCACGAGAAGTCATGAGAGAGCAGAAGGCAAAAGGAGACAAATCTAAGAAGAAGAAAGTCCCTGCAGATTGTAAATGCTTGTTCTGACTTCAAGAAGACGATACTGTAAAATATCATGCTGAATACTCACCTCTACTGCTGGTTCATTAGGTAAATAGGAACTTGCCCAAATCTAAAAACAATTGGACATCAAAAGCTGGCAATTAGAAGTCATGAAAATGTACAATGGACATCATGTACTAACACTTATCCTTTTACAAGAATATTTTTTGGCCAACACGTAATATTTCTCAGAGTCTCAGATTTGTCGTTTCCTTCCCGGGGGGGGGGGGGCACTTTAGGAATTTCTGGGTGGGGATGTGCCGCTGGGACCCTGGAACCCTTAACCTATACCAGAGCTAGTTCAGCTGAATTTTGCTACCCTATACCAGAGTAAACTCCCCAAATCCCCTATCCTAGACCCTAAAAAATCTTCAACCAACTGATCATTTAAAAATATACCCTATTCTCCCAAACGCTCTGATTTAAACTATCCTAGATGCAAAAACCATACCCTTCACGGCGGCACATACCTATATAGCCCATATATGGCAGTACCCCCCCACCCCGGGGTTTCCTCTTTCCGTTTGGCCTTCAGGAGTCGATTATTTTTCAGAGTTCATGGGCACAGTCTCAGTTTCAAACTTTGAAACCAAGGTCTCGCAGTCTCACAAAGTCTCTAATTTACCTTTCTATACCCCTTTAAAAGAGCAGCCCAGTAAAAATGAGTTGGCTGGTAGCCAGTACTTTTGCTGATTCCAATGAAATATTTGCTGCCTTAACACTTAGGTTGAGCACATGTAATATCAAATTTATATTAAAACTACATATATTTGACCTTTGCCACCTGCTACTATATTAATTTTATCCTGCCTACTACTCTTATTGAAAAACATTTTGTTCGGGCTGATGAGTCTTGCATCAATAAAAAAGTATCAATTATTATTAAATCAATAAATTATACAGTATACCTTATTATAGGAAATTATCGCTCCATGAAATTAAGGTATTGGAAATTAATGCGACTTAAATTAACGCGAATTTAATGGCAAACGACTTTCGAATAAAGAAAATTAACGCGAAAGAGGAGGTAGAATTTCACAATAAAGGAAATTAACTCAATTAAGACACGGTTGGTGGTGACAACTGGAAACAAATTTAACAAATATTGTAAACCTTTGCCTAAGCTTTTGTGAAAGATGAAAAATAAAGGGTAAATGGAAAGAGAGAAAGCTTGTAGGTAATGTTTTTTAGGTGTCAAGAATGTCTGGACAGGTTCCAAAATTGGGGTTAAAATACTGGAAATTAAGAGCGTGGAAATTAGTGCTGCACTTAATTAACGTCGCGGAAATTAACGCTCAACAAAATTAACGCGACTTAAATTAACGCGAATTTTAACGATTCGCGTTAATTTCATGGAGCGTTAATTTCCTTTAATAAGGTAGGGACACTAGCAATAGCAGTGTAACTTACTTGACAATGTGGATGAGGATTTGAACATCCCATGGCAGCACCTTTATTTTCAAATATCTACAGATAGATGAAGTGTTAATCTGTGAAACTCTCACTATCAATCAAGTTCAACCTTAAGTTTCAAGTTTATAATTTTCAACATTAAAATGAAAAATTCACGGACTGCTTGACCCACAAACAGCAGGGCTAATCAGATAGACCAAATCAGGTAAGTTTCAAAATAAATTGAAAAATTTATGGCTGTTTAATTAACATGATCGGGCAATCATTCAAAGAGAGATGAGAGATTAAAAACTACCTGAACCCAGCGATATGTTTTGCTTAGCTCCTGGAACTGTCTGATCCATTCTCGTATCACCTCCAAAATTTCGTCAATAGACATCAGAGGAAGAGTGACATCAGACCAGGGATGAAAGCACATCACTCTGCTGAGTATTAATAATAACAAATAATTACAATCTTGAAATGTACGGAGAGTACATACACATACATACATGTTCCTTCCTAAAGGAACCCACCATTCTTAACAATGGCCTGGTCCCTCAAGGACACATCTGAGAGGAATGGTAACATACTGCTGACAACAAAGATTTCATCTACCCTGATCGTAGCAGGGCATTTCTTTCTGGAATGGTTTTTAGCATGTGCTGGGTATGAAGTTGTTCATGCGTATCACAAAAACATAAAAAAAAAAACAGCTACAAGAAATACAAGAAACATACAATTTCATACACAATTTAAAAACACTGCCAGAATAGAAGTGCTCTGCTAGCAGGCTAGGGCAGATTTCATTCACAAAATCATGGGTTCTTTAACAAAATATATTATGTTGCTGCTTCCTAATTCTCATTTATGTTGTAGCTCAAAATAACATTCAGGTGAAAATTGTTTCGCCTAGGTTGATCCTCAATTTCCTTTGTCTCCTAGCCCTTACTATTACTGAGCATGAATGATTGGGGAATTTAGAAACATTAGTCTACAAACTTAGTCAAATTACCAAAGTTAAGTTACACTTAGTGGGAAATAATCGTAGGCTAGGCCGATTGGCTATATAGGCTGGCCACATCCCTGCTTAAGAGATGTGTAATCAGTAAAGGCTGTTAACAAGATATAGCTTATAATAATTCTTAATTATAATAATAATAATAATAATAACAATGATAATAATAATGATAATAATTTAATAATAATAATAATAATAATAATAATATAAATTTGATTCAAATGTAATCTTACCAAGTTCCTTGAGCTGGTTCACACCTGAGTAATGGATGAGTAGATGCACCTGACAATAAACAAGGGTTAATGCCTACAAACAATTTTGGTTTCTTTATCAACTTATCCTGGTTTTGATCAAGACTTTGAGGGCAAACTTGTTAACTAAAACAGAAATAACATACCTGGTGATGGGGCCTCGTCTTGAAGTAAGGCAGGAAAGTCATTCTCAAATACATAAGTGCTTTCATAGTCTGGGTTCTCCTTCAATAAATTAAAAAGCAATAAATATTTTAGTTGCGAACATTTAAAATGAGATTGCATTTTTTTCTTAAATACAAATATGGCAGTGTGTGAACTCTTCGCATATTTTCTTGAATTTTGCACTTCCAAAACAGTTAAGTTGGTGTACCATGTACAGTCTTGCGTCACATTGATCAGTCATGGATACTTCGCAAACCTCTTTGAAATTTTGTCAGTGCTAGCAGGTTGTGAAGAATAAGCCAGGGAATGAAAGTCGATAATAGAATAATATTTACATGGCTTGTTAGGAAGTACCCCCATGATTAATCACAGACAGTGAATATGTGTCTTCCAAGCCCTCACAAAACTCAGTTTTAAGATCACCAACCAAGTTAAGCTGTGATGGCCAGGATTAAGAACTGAATGGATGACAAGCTGCAAATATCCTTTCATTGAAACCCCCACTTCTTCCTTCTTTTCTACTTTGTTCCATTGCCCTGTTTAATTTTTAAATGTGGATTGCAAGTTTGACTGCAAGCTGAGTTGGGCTAATGGCCAAAGTACAAAGTTGAAATCAGTTTTTGAGCCATTGGCAAAGAAAGCAAACAAGTTATTGTGGGTTGCCTTGGTGTAACATCATTCCAAAGGTAAGACTACAGGAAGAAAAAAACAAAAACAAGGTTTATATGGTAAAGAGCCAAACAAGTAACACTTTCATAGCACATAGCTGACAGACATCTACCAACTGAGATGGACCCATGGGCGAATTAAGGGGTTGGCCGAGTGGACCACAGCCACCCCTCTGTCTGTGAAATTTTGTATCGTTTTTTAATAATTCTCAGTAAAATATATAGTAATTATATAGCTGGCAAGTGTCTGAGCTGCCCCTTTCTGAATTTTCTGGATCCACCCCCGGGACCACGTTTGTCGCTTGATGACATTATTGCAAACACCAAGGAGAATATACATGTTATCATTATGGCATTTCTGTCATTAATGCACTGCCATCTCTCCTACAAATGTCCCTCGTGGGTTGGAGTGAGGAGAGACAGCTGCATTTGCAGGCTTGTTCCTAGTCTGCAATACAACAGTTTTTAGTGTCATCACGCAACGTTTCTCCCCACAAATGGCTGCTGAAAATCGAACCACATTCCTTTCCCGCAGTTAACCAATAAGAATTCAGCTCCCATTTTCTGGAAGGTGTTCGCACCAAGGTGACTTCTCCAATCACAGCTGTGCTTTTATCGTTGCTCCATTTGTGAATGACAGAACAATCAAAATCATCTCGTGAAAACAAGCCATTACCTGAAGTAGTGCTGTCATAGTCCTATTCAAAATTTATGAGATAAGCAGCAGCAGCAAGCAAGTTGAGCAAATGTGATGCGTGACATGGATGTGCTTACAACGTTTCCGTGTATAGTTTTTGAAATTGCTCATCGATAATTGAGAAGAGTGTTTGCATCCTAGCACCCTGCAGCTCACATATTGTCAAGTTTCTCATACATGATTGGTTTCTTCGTCAGACCACAAACACAGAGGGAAAGGAATGTTGTTCAGTTCTCAGCAGATGTTTGTGGGGAGGATCATTGCGTGACCACACTAAAAACAACTGTGTAGCAGACTAGCTTGTTCCCAGCAGAGAGAAATGTTTTTGTTGTTCACCAAGGGATCTGGCCACCGTGAAGTCACGAACAAACCAGCAAGATTCAAAAATCTGTGTTATATTTACGTGATATGCGGCTATCACATTTGATATCCGTTCCCCCCCACCCCACACCCCTCTCCAGACCAATGGATAAGCCATAAAAATTGAGTATTTTGTCTGGGGTATCTTGAGCTTTAATTTTCATGAAATTCTTCAGGTGTAGACCCATTTTCTTCAGGGGTAAACCATATTCAGGAGTAAATGCAATTTTATTTCATCCAAAAGGTATGTACCTCAACCAGCTGGTGGGGGGGAGGTACTAAATGTAATAGCACATGCCCTGTGGGCTTACCGAGAATAATCACCAAGAACACGTTACTCTTTAACACAAGGTGAAAGTAAGTTCCATTCTACACATGTATGTTGTATTAGCTAAATAGTATTAATCCGTAGACTTGCCTTTCCACTTGCGCGCACTGTTCTAGGACATAAGGGGTTTTTCGCGTCCCAGCGCGGAATTTCATCTTCCTGCGGTTTTTCAACCTGTCCTTTCCAAGGTCTTTTCATTCGATGAGGAGAAACAAGAATCCAGTCACCGCGTAGTGGATTGTACCTTGTGTGTTGATACTCGGTAGGGTCAAATATTTTTTTCTCATTTTGAGAATTCAACATTTGAGAGTTGCTTTTGTCCGCCATCTTTGTTTTCGATACGATGGCCTCGTTTCGATGTTTCTACGATGCTCCTAAATATCGTTGAGTAGCAGTGCGTGCCACTTTTCCAGTCAGCTCTCGTGAGATATTTCTTCGCATTCGAAGACTGTACCCTTAAAGAAGTTTCCGCCAATTTTGTGAATAAAATGTACCGTAATGTGGTAGTCTCGACCAAGTCTCGTGACCGTTGAACACACGTGCAAACGGAACCTCGTGATAATTCGCCAAAGGTCACGCAAGCGCGAGGGATAGGCCCCGATAGGCCTTTGTACATTATGCTTTTGTTTCCCCACTAAAATGCTCCACTTTAATGCTCCATATATTTCCACTAAAATACTCGGTCACCCTCACTAAAATGCTTCGATGATGCTCATCATACAGAGGCATTTTTAATACACTGTAACGTTTTAACAGGGTGCTATCGCTACCGAAATGGTATACGTAGTACCACAACAACTTAATCAAGTTTATGACATTTTAAACAGCAAAAATAAATCCTCTAAATCACCACTTAATCTGTTCATCATCTTTTATAACATAACTAAGATACTGCACGCGTTCTGATTGGTTAAAAACCTATGGTTTATTGTGCCGATAAACTCATAGAAAACTCCGTTTTACTAAAAGTTATTTTATATAAAAGCAATAGACCACTCTTTCTATGGGTTTAAGGGCGTGATAACCCACTTGGGAACACGAGAAAAGCTTGTCAATCACGCGCCTTCGGCTCGTGATTTACAAGCTTTTCTTGTGTTCTCCCAACATCCCGCGTGGGTTATCACGCCGGTAAACCCATAGAAAGTGTCGTCTATTGCTTAGATATTGGACTTTTCCCCAGTCTCCGCACTTTCAATTATGAGTTTGTCTTCGTTTTCTCTAAAAAATATTCCGGAAAAAAAAAATTACTCTTATTTTTTATTTCTCTGAAAAAAAGTATTTTTTTCCACGAAAAATGCCACTAAAATGCTCTAATGCTACCCTTACGTAGCTAAGAACATACAACAGGTCGAAATGATTCAAGGCTGGGCAGCTCGCTGGGTACTCGGGCGCTACGACAGATTGGACAATAGGGCCATTTATACGAGGAAAAATAAGACGCGTCTTACATAGGACGCGTAAATAAGACGCGAACTTTCCGTATAAATGGCACATTTCGTCTAAAATAAGACGCGGCTTAGCTAAGACGCGTCTTACTTTAGAACAGCCCTTAACACCTGTTCCTAGATAAGAGGCGTCTTAGCTAAGACGAGAAAAACTTCGTATAAATGGCCTTCGCGTCTTACATAAGACGCGAACGCATAGTACGCATGCGTTAATTTTTGGCGCGCCACGTTGGATTGCCGTTGCTACGGGCAACATTCACATGAAAACGAGTCAAGAACAGAAATAAGACACGAACCATTTATACGAGCTGTTCTCGTCTTAGATAAGACATGCTCGTATAAATGGTACAGTTCGCGTCTTATTTAAGACGCGTTTTATATAAGACGCGTCTTATTTTTCCTCGTATAAATGGCCCTATGTCACTGACATGTTATCTTCTCTTAAATGGAGATCTCTAGAGCTCAGGCGATCTGACGCACGACTCTGTATGCTGTACAAACAGAGTAATGGGTTAGCCACTTACGAATGCGACAAGTTTCAGCGCAGAATTCGGACACCATGCCCTCGTCTCTCAGTCATCGATTTTAACAGCTACGTTGTACATGTGATTATTATAAGAACTCTTACCCCTGCATGGTGGAACAATCTCCCACCAGAAATTATAGCATCTACTTCGCTATTACGTACATTTAGGCAATCCCTGTGTAATCTTACATATTGATTAGTAATTTTATGTTGTTGTATTCATTGTTTTTATTTTAACTCTTTGTTAATGGGTAAATAAATAAATAAAATAAAAGATGCTTAAGGCTTTTGGTTCAATAAAATGGTAAAAAAAACTACGAGCATAATGCACGAAGGCCTATTTGGGGAAGACTTTCTTTGTCACCCCATCATGTAAGATCCCATGTAAGGTAAACAAGATTCCGGAATCCGGAGCCCCACTAACGATGATTAGAATCCGCAATCCAGTAACTGGAATAAGGCTTGGAATCCAGAATTCAAGATTTTCTTGGATATCCTTGCATGAAGTGGCTTTGTTGACGAGGGAAAGGAACGCGTGAGGGGAGGAAGCCCTTAGACGTCTGCGTGGGCTGGCAACCTCGTCCCCAGGGCTTTTCCCTAAAAAATGGGTGAGCCCTTGGGACGAATTTGGGACGAGGTTGCGTGGGCCGTTCTGCCTCGTCCCCAGTCTCAAGCGATCACTTTTTTTGCACTCTGCGCGACAGTCGCTCTGCGCTCGTTCCCATCATTCCCCTCTCGCGCTTCTCGCTTGTCTCCAGCTCTCGCATGTAATTTCTCGCTTTATCTCGCTTTCCTCGCTTAGTGCTCCCCTCTGAGCCTGGGAAGCCTGTGGAGGAGGCAGGATGGCCGTTCACCGAGATGTGCACAGAACGGCAAAGAAATGTACCAAAAAGTGTGATGAAGGAGTGGGGTTTTCGTGTCTCACCTCTCTAGGCTCTCTTCACACACCGAACAACAAGGTTCAACCCAATAAGAGTACATTATCAGTAATATGTAAAATTTACAAGTTTTTTCTTACACGTGAGGGTCCTCTACCTTCGACCTTCGTAGATACTCTTGTCTTTTTGGCCATCTTAGCTTTAAGAAGAAACAAAAAGCAAACTGCGGTGATAAACGTAAAGAAATATAAACGCATTTCTGGAAAGACTTGACGTTTCGTATGTTCCGACACTACTCCTGGTGATGTATGTCCAGGAGCCGATAATTAATCGGCTCCTGGTATGTCGGAATGCATGAAACGTCAAGTTAAAGTTTTTTTTTCTTTCCAGAAATGCGCGCGTTTATATTTCATTATTTTAATATCACCGCAGTTTGCTTTTTGTGTCCTCTACTTTCCTCACTCAGCTCTGGGCTTTGCGTCCACTCCCTAGGACCGAAAAAAGAAGAATTGAAGTAGAAGAAGAAGGCTCTGCGCTCTGCGATGCAGTTCCCTTGGGGGTGGGAGATCTGGATACAAGGTTAGTTACATGAAGTACCTATCGAACGAAATTTGACCACCTGTGGTGTCAATTTGTCAGACAATTTGTCAGTGGCTTTCCGTTAGGGCGCATGCGAAGTAGCTAAGCGTATGGCGAGGAGGCCAACATGGCGCACCTCAATCAAAAAGCGTTTGAACGCAAGCTGCAGAATATGTCGTCCACGCAAGACAGTATTCAAACAGTCTCGCTTTGGATGATTCACCATAAAAAGCATGCAGAAGACATGGTGGTTGTTTGGCTGGAGCAGCTGAAGAAAGGTAGGGCTTTGATAATTTTGTTCTTCCAGCAGACCCGTCTAGGCTGCGATAAAATGGAAGTTTCGTTTCCCGGCAGGTTCAGCCGGTGGTCATTGAAAAATGTAACAGTCGAATTCTATTTTTGTTTCAGCTTCAAAGGCAGACAGACGGCTGATGTTATTTTATCTAGCGAACGATGTTCTTCAAAATAGCCGCAAGAAAGGAAAGGAGTTCTCCAACGCTTACACCAAGATACTTCGCGATTCTATGCACCTTTTGAGGTTTGTGCGAGTTTCCTGTCCCGTGTGAGATATGTATCCGCCTAAACATGTTCACAGATCACCCAGTATCTCATTTATACTTTCAACTTAATTTCAGTGACAAAACTATCAAGGCTAACGTCCAGCGGGTCATTAAAATCTGGGAAGAGAGAAGGTTGTTTGAAAAGGATTACCTCGAGGCCTTAAAAACCAAACTTGGTATGATCTTATTTTGTAAATACGTTGTGGTGTGCTAAGTAATTTTTTAATTGTCTATTTTAAGAACATACTTGTTGGCAGTCGTTTACTGCGTAAGTAAACATCTACTGCAAGCAACATTGCTCTCTATATTTTTTGTTCCACTTTGTTTCTCTTACACCAGGTGTTTGATTGATTGTGTACAGTTGACTTAATGCTGGTCAGCTGACCCCCTCCCCCATATGTAGTAAGAAATAGTAGTCTTGGTTGCTTTATGTCGTTAGGCTCCAGCTGTACAGATCACCCTTGTAAAATTCAATTTGTTGCGTTACTCATTGTACCAGCTAGTGCAATCAAAATCTGTGCCAATTTTGATTTCACATGTAATGTTATTCCATTGATGGTGGTAGTCTATTCTCCTCTAAAGCACTGAATTAAACTTGAAAAAAATCGTATTGCATCATTATCAGCACAGTCAACTCCCTTTATGGCATACACTGTAGTGACCTCGAGTTAGTGTCCTTATTAGCAAGTGTCTGTAATAGCGGGAGTTAATTTCATTCAAACATCTGCCATTTATTTTCACCAGGGATTTAGTTGCTGTCCGTATTATTGGGGTGTCCGTTACAGCGGGGTACAGTCCGTAAGGCGAGAGTTGAGTGTACAGAAACTTTCACCTGTTCATTATTATGTCACTCACTCTGTAATGAAATATTTTGAGAAGGATACAATTTTAAGTGAATCTTTCTAATCTTTCAAAATATAGTAGTAATGTCAATCACTACCACTCAACATTAAGTTAAACCCATCGCCAGTAGATGGGTGTGGGGAAGGTGCTTGGTCAAACGGGGAGCCACAATCAAGCGCAGAAGGTAACCATAACAACAATGTGAGGGTTAATCACCAGGCACTGTCACACTGAGAAACTCAGTGGGGAGTTTTGCAGTTACATGTACTAAGCAAGGGACATTCTGAGGGAAGGGAGGGCTGGGAGCAAAAACAGCTAAAGTGACTGCATCAGAGGGCAATGTGAGTGAAATGATTGACCTCAGCGAAAATGCTGTAAAATTACTAGAGTCCTGCAAATGCCCAAAGACTGTCCCAGATAATTATGATTAGTAATGGAGACCTGTAATCTCACCAAAATTACATTTAGTTGTTTCCTAAGGACTAGAGATGGCACGTTTTGCCACGTGTTGGAGTTTCCAATGTGCTTCCTTTACATGTAGCATGTGAAAAATTATTACTTAGTGCATCTCGCAAGAGGGTGGTAACTCACGTTTGAGTGGAACTATACATGTACATGAACATTCTGTTGAATGTCTGTTGTTTTTCCTGAAATATCTTGATATTTCAGAGTAATGTTGATAATCTAAAAATATTTTTTATCTCTCTTACCAGAGTCAGCTAATGTGCCTGTTGTTAGCAAAAGGGTTAAAGAAAAACCGGTGGAGAAAGAGAAAGAGAAAGAGAAGGAAATCAAACCACAAACTAAACAGAAGAGATTGCCTCCAGCAGACTTCAAGGTACCATGTTTACCCGTGGATAATATGCACCCATCCAGTGATTTTTGTTACAAATAGTTGTAATGAATCCTGGGACTCATCTTGTGAAAAATCACGAGTCCCAGTCCAAAAAACAACCCCATAGTCTCAAGACAGACTCTGTGTTACAGTTTACTGAAAGAAAAATATACTTCTTCTATTGTAAAGCACAACAAAGACTTAAATAAGTGTTGTTTAACAACAGCCACAAGAACAGCGACAGAAATCACACAAACAGGATATTCTACAAAAAAACATCTTTAGATCGATGAATAAATTGATCTTTGTGTCCTACGGGACACATACCACAAATTATGTTGCTTCTGTGGACGCAGAGGTAACAAAATCACTGCCCATCTATAATACACACCCTAAATGTTACTACATTTTGGTAAAAAAAAGAAACTTGAGACAAAAGAAAGGAAAAATAGCCACATAAAACTTTTTCCGCTTATTCATCTTCAGTTTTTTTTGTTTTCCGAATCTGAAATAATTCATATCTTCAAAGAATAAGCCTGTTAGAAGGTAAATAGAAATACTTCTTCCAAGATGGTGGTTATGTGACCTGTTCCTTTGATATGAAGTCTAGCATTTCTTTGGTAGTTTGCTCATACACGGTGGGCATATGGGACAAAAAAAGTGTATGCTTCAAACTACTTTTGCATTTTTTATTTGTTTGAGCTCAAACTTTGCAGGATGGTGGAACTTTGTATTCCAAAAAATCCTATGTTTTTCAATTTCACAAGATTGAAACAAGATTGACAACAAAATTTAAATTTCAAGTTATGGGAAAAGAAATAAATAATCTTGAAAGAGTGTGATGTGAGAGAAAGAAATGTGAAAAAAAATTTTGGAAAAGCTCAATTGCTTTAGGAGATATAACATCAAAATAGTAACAAAATGACGGAAAAAACTCTTTAATCAATTGAGCTCTTCAAAAAATTTTTTCACATTCTATTCTATCTTGTTGTGCTTTTTTTAAAATTATTTGTTTCGCCATATCTTGAAATTTCAATTTTGCTCACAATCTTTTTGCCATCAAAAACCGTTAAAATCGTAAAACAAAAAAAAACAGGATTTTTAACAATACAAAGTTCTACCATCCCGCAAAGTTTGCACTCAAACGAATAAAAAATGCACAAGTAGTTCCTAGGATGCACCTCTTTGCACCCTATGTGCCCACCGTGATAGCAGAGAGCTTCTAAATTTGGAGTAACATAGACAATGTTTGTCTGTCACTTTTTAGTTGCAATAATCACTTCTTCTTTTCCTGTTTCTCATCTCCTGAGTGGTCTTTTGTTCATTTAAAACAAGTCTTGTTTAATCTAAGGTTTATTCTTGATCAGTACAGCTGAAACCTGCTTTGTGCATAACCTGCTTTTATGTAAGAGATAGTGACAAATTGAGTAAAAATTTAATGTAGCAAGTTAAATATCTGATTGTCTCACATTTTTTTTTCAAAAAAATGACATTATCTCCTCCCAACTCTGTCTCCTTATGTCCCATATATCAACATGTTGTAAGATTTTACCGTTTGTGTCATTTTTGTTTTAGCCATCTAAACTGATAGATGCCCTGAAAGCTTTAAGGAACTTTGAGGGTGAACTAACACTTAAGGAATCTCAGTTGAATTCGTTGAGGATTGATGCATCTGATTTGGAAAGTGTGCGTCAGTTGAAAGGTTTGTCCTCATTTAAAATACCAGTTTTATGACAAAAAGAAATTGCTTGAGAATGCCAATAAATTTAACTGTAATATAACATAATGGGCATTGATGTATTAATGTTATTGTCACATCTTGAAATGGATTTTTTATGATGTTTCTTTGTTAAAGAATTTTGTATTTCATTTTAGAAGCGGTTTTGACAGGTCATCATTTTTGGCTTTTGTGGAATTTTTGATGCAATTTTTACTTTGCATTGAATTGCAAATTAGGATGACCATTTTGTATAAAACTTTATGATCATTAAGTAGTCTTTATATAAAATGCTTGTGCTGATCAGCATTCCATTGTATTCCATTATATCAGTCATTAAACCTGTGAGGCTGAATTCAAAGCCCTCCCAACTTTTCAGTTTGTATTTTACTACAGTAGGTTTAAAGGTCCTTGCAGGTGATGAATTCCGTGCGTTCAAGTAGTCATTTCCTCCTGAGCCATTGCACATTTTAAAAAACGTATAATACTGTACCCCTAGCCTGTTCATCCTGGCTTCTATTGAGAAACCCGTCATGAGTACAATTAATATAAGGCTGTATTTCATTCTCTCCCACCCTTAAAAAAGTAGATCATATGTTGTAGATAATAAATATTGAAATAAATGATGATGATGATTCTATTCAATGTTTACATATGAAACGGCTAGCTGCACGGCGAATTACAATGTATAAAGTCCTATAATTAGTTACAGATGAAAACACATTCTACCAGTTTATCTTATTTTAAGTGACTGAAGCCAATCCAATGTTTAAGCGTTGTTAAAAACAGCCAGGGATAAGGTTTTAGCCACGGCAAAGCTAAGGATTTGGCATGTTGCGGGTCAAAAGGCTATTCAATACCATTCTTTCAGATCGGCAATTCAGGAGGCTGCATTCTTTTGTTTGGGAAAACAAAGCCAAAACAATGAAGCATTAAACAGTGAATAACAAAAGCGAAAGCTAGTTTCAAAAACGCGCTGTCAAACTAGTTAACGGGCATGTGCTTTGCGTGTCCGTTGGTCGCTTATCTCTGAGCTGTACTGTAGACAGCTCCTAAAAGTCTTCTCGATAAGTTTGCGAAAATCAATACAAAACACCATTATAATACGCGATTATCTACAAAAGAATGTTTCTCTGTCAAATTCTCTAGAACTGAAAAAGTGAAAAAATCTTTTACTACTTTCTGTTAAGACTCTCAACTTATTTAATTTTCGTAAAAAAATTAAATCACTACCCCTTAATGTTCTAGGTAATGAAGATAATTATTAAATTATTTAATAGAATATTTTATGAAGTTAACTTGATATGTTGTATATACCTCCAGTTGTAATTTTAGTCTTTTTTAAGTAACAAAGTCCCCTATACTTGAATTTATATGTAAGGTGTTTCTTTCTGTATGTTATTGTATTTCTTTTCTTTTCTTTTTTCTTATGTAGTTCAATAACGTCTCTATTCAAAGTCTTGTCCTGCCTAGATTAGCATTATAGCTATTTGCAGGACATAAAGTATTGTAACTTTATATTTCTTTAAATAAATACATTGTTGTTGTTGTTGTTGTCACTATGTTACTAATTAATATTAAAACAAATGTATTATTGTTATTTTGTTTAACAAGCACAGGTACAGATGTAATGTAATGTTGCCTTGTTTTGTCCTAGATCGCACTGGTGGTGGAAAATTTTGTGAAGAATATGAACTGGCCACTGCCAAACTTGAGGAGTTTTCAGAAATACTGCGAAGAGAGCAACAAGAGAGACTTGATGTAATTAAAGCATTAGAGGATGGGGAAGCTTTCTATGATACTTCGTATGGAGAAGTAAAAGTGATAGTGCATGTAAGTGGAATGGGGTATTATTATGATAATCAGGTATACATGTAGCCTCTGTGTGGTTAAGCTACTGTTATATGGGGGCACATTGGTGGCTCGTTTTTTAAGGGAGCTACGTGTACATGTATGTCGAGCAATTTCGCCAAATTCAAGCATTACAAATCAGTTGTGTAGGAGCTGCTGGGAAGGTCTCTCCTGATTGGTCACAGAAAACAATGACATGTTATTCTTTCAATTGTTTCAGTATTGTTTGGGGTCAGGGTTAGGCACCATTGGTGACTTCTTTTCTGAGCAGCTGCCACATGACCCTTACAAACAGGAGGTGGCCCCCAAACTGAGTGAAAAATAAATTATTAGTTTTGTTGCTTTGAAAAAATTGAAGAAGAATTACACAATTTGCAGACTCCATTTATTTCAAAAACTGGCAGTTTTAAGTTCGTTGTACTTGTGAGTTTGAATCATAGTTTCAGAGACATATGTTTTGTGTATTATTGTGAGTTTCAGTGTGAGTAACATTGTTAGTCAATCCCTAGATCTTTAATATTGGTTTCCATGCCATGCTATTGTCACGTACATCTACATTACATGTATATTAGGGTGTGTATAATGTTTGAAATATTAGAGATTAACAAACCATTTTTGTCGTCATAGCTTGTTGTCAGTATAAGGGACATTAATTTTAGCACTGTCTTTTGTTGATGGTTTTCTGATGAAGACTGTTTCATGAGGGATTTATTTTTTATTGAAGTCATTTGCTCCAAACTACTGTAAGAATAGTTTTTCTACCATGTTTCTTACTTGATAACCATTCTCCAAGCCAAGGAAACTTGTCTTTCAGTGGAAAGCTTATTAGTGTTTCAAAACAATGAAATGGTGGCCTTGTTAGTGTTTTAAACCAGTCCTGTAGGAGTTTAACCTTTTTCTTATGTAAACACCTAACTTTCTTTTGTTGCAATAAGTTTGCATACTTGTAGCTGCTAGCCATGTCAGTAGAAAAGCTCTGTTGCATTTAGGTATATGATACCCTGAATAGACATTATTTGACAGTCCCTTTTGTAAACTCCATTTTTAGGCTTACAAGACGTTTGGCAATCGCCTTACTTCACTGAAAAAGAAAGTTGATGCCAAGGTTAACAGGCTTGCTGAAAAAGCAGCAGAGAAAGCCAAAACAGGTCCTGTGACAGCACCACAAGCTTCTTTTTTGAGTTCAGGTCTTCCTGATGTTGAAGTGGGATCAGCGTCATCTACCCCTTCACAAACACAACAAGAAACAGTTAAATCTCCCGATGAAGAAAAACTCATCGATCCCACAGTAGACAACATTGAAGTCGCCGATATGGATGTGGATTCTGACAGTGAGAAATCAGACACAAGTGAGGAAGCAACGGTGGAAGATCCCAAAAGTAGTAACGATCAAACTCCCAACTCTACCGAAAGCTCGGATTCACAAACAGCACAGACTACTCCAAAAGAATCTGAAACTACTCCAGTAGTTTCTCCTGCTGCCAGTGTGGCTCCTGCCCAACCACTTACCCCGAGTATGGTTTCTGTGATGCCAGTGCCTACCTCGTTATTGGCAAATCAGGGGCCAGTGGTTGCTGCGCCTCAGCCTGCAGTTGGAATGGTAATTCGTCCATTTGTGGGTGTACAGGGTCCCCGTTTTCATAGTCCTGCACCTCAGTTTAGACCTGGAATTCCTCCGCTACAACCTCTTCCTGGTATACCTCAGAATCCATTGTTGCAGCCATCAGGGAGGTTAGCTGCGCCTGGGCAACTCTCGAGTCAAGGACAACCCTTTTCACAAATACCTCAACCAGCCGGTCTACTGCCTGCTACAAATACACCAATACCACGTGGCATTGGGGCAATGCAAACGTTTGCACTGGGTACTGGCTTTGTACAGAGCCAAGCACCATTGCCAGTTGCAGCAACAACTGTACCAGCACCTGTTCAGATGACACCTAACTTAGTCCCAGTCGGTGAGACAAGTCAAGTTAGTGGTGGACCAGCAAAGAATGTTGCTAGTATAGGATCACCTGATTCAGAGGCGTCTGCTCCATCACCAGTAGGATCACCAGAGCTGCACTTAGAGGAAGGTGATGAGACACCAGAGACAACTCCAGCTCCCCTCGGTGATGTAGATGTTAAAGACAACACTGGTTTCGACACTAACAAGTCATTTTTAGAAACTCAGGTAAAGAACCCGACATCTAGTTTGGGACTTGGTATCACTGGGACTTCCCCTACGGCTCAAGCTATTTCCGAGGCTTCCTTATCTTCCAGTAGCACACCATCTAATTCTGACCAGTTTGGAGCACAGCAACAGGATGCAACGTTAGTGAAGAAAGACAGTGGACAAAAAGTGAGTGCTGTTGACATCTTGGCACAGCTACTCAGTAGAGGAAGAAAGTTAAAGGAAGCAGCTGACCCAGAAAATCCCCCTGCGTCTGTACCTGTTACCCCCACAGTTGCTGCCTCTGCCACCACCAGTGATGACTCTGGAAATCCACAGGCTAAACCGCTTCTGTCTTTAATTGACTCTTTATTTCCCAAGCTAAGTGACTCTATAAAAACTCTTAAAGAAAAGGAACAGTCTGTGAATCCCCCCGCGACACAAGATCACCCTCCAAGCATGCCAGGTGATAGCGCTCCCACCACTTTACCTGCTCGTCCTTTGCCCGTAGAAGGCCAATTTATGCCCCATCCTAAAGGCATTGTACGGGAACCGTCTTCATCCTTACAGACAGGACTAAAAAGCATTCTCAAAAAAGGACCCAGGAAAGACCAAGACCAGCCCGAATTTGAGACAAACCAGGAAGGACCTACGCCCTCCAACTTGTCAGAAGAAGTGCAAATGGGAATGCCTTTCGATGTGCGCCCTGTTGTTGCACTTTCTGGTCATGGTCATGATTTGCGACAGTTGGAGCTGCATGGTATCCGACCGCTTGCCAACACTACTGGCGCGATGCCTGCATCAACAAACCATCTTTCTCAACCGGGACTAAACTTACAAAATCCTTCTGTCAGAGGAGCTATCCTACAAGAAAGGCCTTTTGGTCGACCACTGGACCTGTCACCCCACGGCCCACCCCCATTTGGACATGGTGGCCCTTTCCAAAGGCCCCATGGTACTCCGTTTGACCAGTCCAGAGGAATTACAGGGCTACCATTTACTGAAGGGCCGACAGATATGCCAGGACCACCTCGTGTTCATTCACCAAGAGGTCCGTCATTTGAAAGACGTGCTGAAGAGCCACCCGGTCGTGTGCCCACTGATCAACCTCTACGTGGCCATTCTCCTAGAAGACCACCAGATGTGCCTGAACAAATACCCCTACACCGTCCTCCACATGGCCATATTCCAAGGGGTCCTCCATTTGAAAGACGACCTGAAGGGCCACCAGACATGCCCGGTAAAGGAACTACTGATCAACCACCTCACCGTCTTTCTCCAAGAGGGCCGCCCACAGAAGTACCGGAACGCACACCACCCCTTGGTCCACCAGCAGATATTTCGGAGAGAGTACCTCCAAACCAGTCACCTAATACTCAACAGAGACCTCCAGAAAATGTCCATCACAGATCGGTAGCAGACGCCGCTCCTCCACATTCTGGTGGGAGCAAGCCATCAGAAGTACCAGCAGATGAGAGCCATCCAAGCAGTAAAGACCAGGGCAGTCACATGGATGGACCGCCAGGGATGAGGAGGCTTTCAGCCGAAAATGCAGCTAGAGGTCTTCATAGGCAACCATCCCATGAGAAAATCCCCAGAAGTGATGGCCCACCTCCTCACCGTGCATCTTTTCCAGGGGCCATGGAGGACCCTGAGCGGCGAAGAGAGTTTGAGCCCTGGGAAGAATATCGAAGAGAGCGGTATAGAGATCGTCCGAGGGGCCCATGGGACTTTCCTCATGATCATCCAGGGCACCCTTCTTCTGAATGGAGGGGTCCACCTGTTTTACATCGCGGTGATCCAAATGGAGGAGATTTTCGGGAAGACGATCCTTCTATGTGGACTTCATTTGATACCCCAGAAAACATACCTCGTCAGTTTGATTTTCCTAGTAGAACTCGTGAAAGATTTAGAGAAGGCCCTCCTGACTTTGATAGGTTTCGCGGTTATGGTCCACCCGAAAGAAGGCGGCACTCTATGGGAGACTTTGAAGGTGACTGGGTGCGCTATCCAGGACCTTTGAAAAGACCCGGGCCTCCACCTGTTCCATTTCCGGGGCCCTCAAAGCGCCCCTATTTCTAATTTTCTAACATGAAGTTTTCTCTCGTTGATTCTCCTGGAAATCCAAGACTTGCATTGGAAATAATAGTGTGAAATTTATAACGCAATCGTCGTCCTGCTCAAACTCGAGGGTTATCATGAATTTCTCGTAGGGTACATACGTTTCTTTAATTTCTATGTAAAATTCTTTAGTTCCTTAATACGCTCATCCCCAAGAGTGGCAGAGGTAGGACGCGAAAACTGAAAAATATTAACGCAAGGCGGGGCTTTTGGCTTCAATATAAACGCCGATACATGTACGTGGAGTTCGTATCCCTTTCAGGGAAGATTTTTCATCATTTTGTGGGACTTTCAGTTAAACTTTGTCAGGGTCTGTTTTCTCTGTGATTTACAGTTAGCGTTTCGTAAGAGTCTAACATCTCCTAATGTACCTTTTCCCCTCCCACACCCCCAGCCTCGTGCGAAACTCTGAAGTGGTATTTCACTTTCCTTATTTCTGTCAGGCAGGGGGAGAAAGAAGAGTTTTTCCTCTGAGCTAGGTTGTTACGTAAATAGTACATTGTTCAGTGTTTCTTTGTGATGTTCGATTGTTTGCTTGGGAAGAACCAGTCCTCTGAAAACGAGAAAGTGATCGTCTCCAATACACTCAATAGCTGTTAAACGCAATCTAATTGGATCATTAAATTTAAATGGACTTTATTATTATACCTCGATTATCTGGTTCTTGCACAGAACAGTCGTAGGCGGGCCCAGTTTTGTTGCGTTTTGTATAAAGTGACTTTCTTCTGTCTGAGCACGGCTTTATTCTGATGTCAAAAGTAAAAGTATTACATTTGATGCGTGGCCGTTTTGCTTTTGGTTTTGGTTTCATGATCTTCTTTTTTGTTTAGTTCCAGAAAATATCCATACGCCCCACTGAGTGCAACGGAAATTCTGAGGGGAGGGGAGTGGGTGTCCAAAAGCAGGCAATTTCCAAGGGGGTGGAGGGTGACCTCTCGAGTCTTTTTTCTGGAGGCTCTGGTAAGATTGATGAGAAAGCTATCAGTTATTTTACTGTTAATCGGGGTTTCAAAGCAAATATTATTGTTTTTCATCGATGATCTTTTATTTGCGCTCGACTGAGTGCTTTCTTTTTTTTTATGGCTTGCACGATAGTTTGTAACACGATTGTCGTCGGCTCATGAATAAACTTCCGGTTATCTATCTGTGTTGCTTTGCAACGGCATTTTTGACGGAAATATTGTTTCCAGGGCTACCCAACCAAGCTGGAAATTTGCGGAAATTCCAAGGGATGGGGGGTATCACAAGCATCCCCTGGAAAGGAAATTCCAGGGGCTGGGGCTCTAAAACAGAAGTGCCCTCCGTTGGGGATATGGATATTTTTTGGAACCACACGTTATATTTTTTCCTTTTTGTGGGATCAATGTGCCTTATACCCAGTTAATAGGTCACAAAAAAATGAAATAGAACAAAACAACGCTTGGCAAACAGACTTAAACGAATAGCCTTCAATTTGAAGGGTCTCCATAGCACTAGATAAAAGGATCTTTGATTTGAGGACAGAACCACAGCGCCAGAGTCAAAGAGGCAAAGGATAGCAAGAAATTCACGATACAACATCCCAGTTTAGTTAGTATCTTGCTCATTGCCAGGGACTTCGCCTCGCTGGTGATCCCAAAGTCTTATCTGTGCGTAAATCGGCGGATACAAATTCCCCGTTTTTAGACGAGAAGACGCATTTTCCGTCTTCTATGCGTCTCAAGGAAGCATTAAGACGGGCACAAGACGCATTATGCGTCTGGACGAACTTTCCTTCGAAAGACGTCTTGAACGACGCGACACATAATGCGTCTTGTGCCCGTCTTTATACTAGAGTTGCATAACCAGACGAACTACAACATGCTTGCCCAGGCTCGTCCAGACGGATAATGCACCCTTAGTATAAAAACGGTGATTGTTTGCCACCCGTTTTATGGCCTTTTTGTTCGCAACAAGACTGACGTCGCCTATTACAGGAGTGGAAATTTATTGAATGTTTCCCGAGGGGTGCGCAGCCAGGGAACTACCCTAATACAGACGAACGTTAAATACTGGATCAGCCCATGGGTGAGGTACTGGCCAGAACTGAGAAATGAACAGCGTTTCTCTTGCTTTCTCTTGGTTCTTGTGCGTTTTGTCTTGCGTACGTCTTCGAACAGTCAGTGCTCTTTGATGAGGAAAATCCATCGCAAGTTCTTTTAACTGAGACACCAAGCTTGTCTTCAAGTACAAATGGTATCCATGTGGTAAGAGTAGAAAATATCGCTCATTTAAAAAGCCGGTCTTGGGAAAGAAACCCTTATTTGTTCTAATTGGCAAATCGACAATGACTTTTTTAGCATGCCAATCAACGTTTTCTCAAATCCTAGTACACGGGTGGGTGCCCAGAACAAGGATTTCGGTGCTGTTTCGCGGACCTACTTAAGGTATCATCCACCCTCAAGCACCCTCCCCGTGTTGATCGGCGCTAGCGCTTTTGCTTTTAATAAATACCACCATAAACCGTATATTTTCTGAAAGCTTAATAGTTCCAGATTATTGCTTATTCCTTTTAAAAAATCAAAATATTAACGCGATTCAGAAATGAGAAGCTTTTTGTGAACTGTGGGTGTCACTGTAAATTTAAGTCCAGGCCAGCCAAAAATAAACGGAAGAAGCCAATTAAGATCTTATTCGCTTCTTAACACGTTTGACTTAAAAACGGTGTCTTAGATTTTTGTCAATTGGGTTTGTTCTTTTGTTATAAGCAGTTGAAGTCTGGGATAGCAAATCATTAGCACTACCTGTGAAAAAATACTCTTACTCGAAAACGAAAAAAGAAATCAAAATTGGCAGATACGGTTTTTTTAAAAAACTATCTGACAGTAAGTTGGCCAAATTTCAGCCAAACTGGTTCACGGGTTGCCGACTTGGAGTTTAAAACGTACCCTCAACTTGCCCTGATTTTCATTTCGAGAAAAAGGGGAAAAAGATTTTTTGCGGCGTATTACCCGTGACGAGATTATAACACCAAAGCTGTCAATATTGATGCATACCAGAAAAGGGACAACAATATTGACACAGCAGGAAAAGGTTACAAACAAAACCCGACTATAGATGAACAATGTATTTCAAAGGCTCTGCTCTGTCTTCCTCTTGGAGTCGAGAACGAAAACGGACAAGCTCTTTTTTCTTCTTTGGAGGCATTCACTTCCAAAATCCAGGGAAAAACAGTGAGTACTATACTTGTAGACCACGATTTCTGTCAAATTGCGTGATCAGCTTGGTTCAACAGCAGCATGCGTATCAAGTATGACAGGACTTGTCAACGATCAATTAAAAGAATTAGCATAGAAAAAACGTTTGCGGTCCATAAGTCTGCACAGAAAAAACATTGTTTCCTGGAATTTTTTTAAAAGAAAGCTCTTGATGAGCTCTATTTAATCATCTAAAAATTGAAAATTTCGAAAAATGATGATATTTTTACCCTGAATGATACCTTAATATCAGACTTTTCAGCCCGTAAGTGTTGCTCATCAAAAACCACTTAACTACCTTGGAACAATTGTCAACATTTATTCTTGCTTTCTTTGAAAACGTGAGTGCTGTTGCACTGTATTGGTTACTCCCTGAATTTTTTTCCTTGCTTCCTACGACCTAAGAAAGCACTTCAAACCGTTGGTCGTGAGTAATATCATGCAGGTTTGGCCAAATGTCTCGAAATTATTCTCTCTATGATCATTCCCACCCTGAAACACAACGAGAGATACGGGAGAATTCGCCCCATGTAATGGAATCGGTTAGTAACGTCTGCGAAGCATCGCTGATACCCCTGTTCTGGGCTCCCCAACGGACTCAATGAATTACCGGAAATGCGTTTCGAATTTCATTTCATCCTGATTGGCAAATCAACAATGACTTTTTTTAACAGGTCAATCATGGCGTGTACTCAAATCCTGGTACACAGTTGGGGACCTAGAACAAGGATTTCGGCGCTGTTTCGAAGACCGACTTGAGATCACTTAACTAGAGTTTAGTCTCGCCCGCAGCGCAGGCTAAGACTGTCTTGTCTTGTCTCTGTCTCTTCTACTGCAAACTACACCACTACCACTAGCACTACCAGAATCCTTCAGGATATTAGTTTCTTGTGCAGATTAGAGCTTTTGCTATTTAAACCTCACTAGGTATTACCAAATTTAATTAAGACTGACGAAAAAAACGAAATGAATTCTGGTCTTGGTAGCAAAAAGACGCCATAGTGCAAATGGGCCATTCACTTAAATTCCGGTATGAATGATATCACAACGAATCAATTTGATTCAATGTTTCTTTTGGTGATAACTTTTCGGGTCCGAAGCCAAAGTTTGAAATCAAGAAAACTAGTTGGCAATGAATAGTGGCACAGTTCTTTTCTCACAAACCAGTCAATTTTGCTTCGTTAACTGATAGTTTCTTTGTATCATTTTCAGAATTATTGAAACTTTGATTTTGAATGCAAACACGGGCCTCAGAGAAACCGCTCCCAGCCGGGTACGTGTTCGCGTTTCGATTGCTTATATTAAGAACAAATTTATATCAAGGCTTGCGTGAGTTTATCAGACATTTCGATAATTACTGATAAAAACATTCTTGACATCGCCCCATGTAAGGTAATCCAAGAGAGTCTTGGATTCCGGATTCCACGCTGTGGATTCCGGATTCCATGCCTGTGGATTCCGGATTCCACATCCGTGGATTCCGGATTCCATAAGTGGCTGGATTCCAGATTTCAAAATTCTATTTTCTGGTTTTCAACGTTTCCTTTGTACTTTGTTTTCACCAAAAAAGCTTGTTCTTTTTTTACCCGAAGTGTACATTGTCTTATATAAAATATAAGTATAAAATATAATTCTTGGCCTTACCCGAGAGGATTATGAATATAGGAGCGGTTTCTGAAGTCCACTGAGTCCACATCGTTGAAGAAATACTAACGAGGAAGGGCTATTCTTATTTTAATAATAACAACGGCGTCAAAAATAACAAAACAGGTACACATTGCCAAAATCAGTGCTTTTCAGGTTCAAACATAATTCGTCTCCGAATTGCTTAATTGCCACACAGAAATGTAAAACTTCAGTTACAGCTTACCAACAAATAGCGTGAAGATAGTCCAATTACTATACTACAAGCTACGCAGGCAACGGAAACGTTTATCTTAGAATAAACCGTGTCGTTCTCCGTCCTGATAAACTAACTCCCGGCAGTCTTATCGGGAGGGATACTTCTCCCTCATCCTCTGCAGTTGGTGGTGCAGTTTCATTCTCATTGTCATCATCGTCACCGTAGTCCCCATTAGCAATTCGACAGAGCCTGTTATCCTCCTCTGTTGTTAAAATGATGTCTGATCCATCGGAAGAAAAGTCGAGTACTCGGGTTAGAATGCACTTGGGGGAATTCCCATTACAGACATCACCGGAGGTGTATGTTAGTGAATCACTTGTTTGGTTTAGCCACTTTAGGTATACTTTTTGCTGCACAAAATTTCCACCATTCACTTCTATTTGTACATCCTGCAGAAGAACTGCTAGCCAGAAGGGTGAGATCTCTCTTCTACGGTTGTGTCTTACTGCCAATATGTCGTCTTTCTGGTAAATGGTTTGCACCCGTACAGCCGTACTCCGCAATGCCACATTAGCATCCACAACTTGGCAGGCTGTTGTTACGTCTTCCCTTTCCTCTAATGAGGCTGTGATGGTAGTGGGACACATACTAAGGGCATAAGGAAGGGTGCCAGTTAGCTCTTTCGATTTTGAGCGGACAATTTTTCCTGTCTTACGCCTCTTCCATACTCCTTAGCAAATTCTCGCATCACAGTTTCTCGCCTTGTGTCTTCTTCTTTGCTACCTGTTCCTTCAGTGATTGCTGACAGCTTGTTTGGTCGCGTCTTGATGTTTGGGGGTTCACCTTTGATAATTTTCTCCGGATAATATGAATTGGGTCCAGTGAAATATGAGAAATTCTTCTGGTAAATGCGCAGCATATCGTCTTCCTCGCAGCACGCTCTTCTGTAAGCGTAGTTAGCTACTGTAGGCATGTCGTGGTCTGCTCGCATTCCTTTGAAATAGCATTCCACGCCCAAAGTTGTCACACTTTCGAAACAGATCCTGTCCAGAAGGTGACTATGCCCAATCTCCGTTAGCGTGTTGGTAAGGCTGGTCAGCGATTCTAGCACTATGAGGAAGGACTGTCGGGTGCATCGAGGTATGGTCATGTCGGGACCGTTGGTATTTCGCTTGCGCGTCCTCTCCAGGGCTTCCTGTTCGTGGTTAGAGAGAAATGCAATCAACTCCTCGACAGATTTCACATGATCTTCAAATGTACGTGGTAGGTCTTCTTCTTTGGCTTTCTTGTCGAGTCGGAACACGTTTGCATATTGGGCCATCTTACTTTGCAGGGGATCAGTCCCTTTGCTGACGTCAACATTCTTATTGCTACGTTACCGGTATCGCATACGAAAACAGTGTTTCGATATACGCATAAAGCAGTAGGCTTGTTCCATCGACTTTGGACACCATCACGATGGCCTGCAGTTTCTCCACACACTTTTGTTAGGGTTTCTTTACCCCCAAGCATCTCTTCTTCCTTCAAACTGAACAGTGCGTGTTCTTCTTTGCTGGAGGACAAGAACACGGTTCCACCATCTGTCACTGCAATACCCATGAGGCCTGGAATATTCGAAATTGTTCTCAGTTTCAATCGTCCTCTCACTTGACAAAGATGAATACATGAACCATTCCCGTCTCCAACTAACAAGTATTGCTCGTCACGTGTTAAGGCTAATGAAGTTAATAAACTAGATCGATCAAAACAAAACAATTCATTTAACTGGCCGACGCAGTTGGTTTCCTCATCGTCTACAACACCAGAAATTGAAAAAAATCTTGCCAAGACCAACGTCTGACACAAACAGTTCAATGCTACCCTTTGCAGACGCACATATGGCAAATGGTGACACCAGATCCGGTACATTACCTTCAGAAATAAGGGAAAGATCGTGTACATGGACTTTACGGATACGTCTACCGGCGCAATCTTCTTCCTCACTTTGGCTTTCTTCGGCGCTCCCTTGTACAATCTGGGAAGCGTGACAGAAAAGCGTTCGCAAATTGACTACTTTAACTCTTCCGTTTCCTTGGTCAAAAATGTACAGCTTCCCGCTCTCTTTCACCGCAATACCAGCTGGGTTTCTAAATCTGGCCTTGTTGCTATATCCATTAGTGTGCCTGGGCTCACCACCACCAGCGATTAATGTGACATTTGCTGGACAGTGCATGTCAACCATGAAGACTGCATGGAGACGTCTATCGGTAATAAACAGCCTGCTATGCTTTAGGGAGAATGCCAATCCTACCGTGTAGCTTAAAAGAGAGGCCCCGTTCTTTTTCCAGTGCTTGAATTCCAGTTCTGGAACTAATGTTGTGCTCACTCTTTCATCTGGAATGGAATCTTGAATCGCTTTCCGGTGAATCTCCACTGCTGTTTCTACGTGCATCCGATCTTTGTTTCGAACTGCTTTCAATGAAACTGATTTCTTGATGTCTTCGTATTCTCTAAGTAGCACCAAAAGCAGCCTTACATTCACTAGGTATCCATCAATGTCAATCCAATGCCAAAACTCTGCAGAACGTACTGACTTGATGTTGTGTGGGCAGTCAGGAATAGGGACTTGGTAGGGGTTCTTCGCTCTGTCTGCTAGCATGGAATTCATAAACTTCTTTTGCTTGGGATCGCAGTCAGCGAATTTATAGACGTACGTACCTTTCCGAGTCATGCTTTTTCTTGTGCTTCCCCATGCTAACAAAGATTGATAACGATCGATTGAGAAAAAAATTCAAAGTGATCTCTCGAGATGTCTGATTTCGACTGATTGAATCTGGACTGAATGAAAGACACCACGTCGACACCACGTGCAGCATGTCATTCTTCGAGTGACACTGATGACATGTGCCTGAAATTAAAGAAGCCAGTAACTGCAACCACAGCGACTACTGATAATACGGCCAAGAATAAGGATACTTTATATTATTATTCTTTTGACGTTACCCGAAATCCAAAAATTAGTTCCAATTGCGCCCAAACAGGAAAAGAATCTAAACCTCCGACTCCAAAAGCGCAACGGGGAAAAAGGTCGAAAGGCCCGGTCGAAAGGGTGTCTTATAAAGAGCGATAATATACAGTAATATGAATCACTCCCTGGGATTCTGTCACGTCATTATAATGTGACCATTGTTTCAAATTGATACCCGATATGTCACAATGAAAAGGGATGTTCCTGCGAGGGAAACACGCGTGAACATGCCTGTTGCGCGTCCTTGCGACATGAGATTTTCACGCAACAGTCGCTAAAGGAAAAGAAGAGGCCCTGGAACCATCACCACAGAGTGGATTCCAGCAACCTGGATTCTGGATTACAATGCTTGGATTCCGGATTTCATTAGCTGGATTCCGGATTCCAAAGCCGTGGATTCCGGATTCCACAGACCAAAATTACCTGGATTCCGGATTCCGGATTACCTTACATGGGGCGATTGACAAGAGCAGCCAAGCGATAACCTCACTTACAACCTCTTTTTCAGGCTTTTAGCTGGATATATTGAACCACTGAAAACGGTAGATATGTGATTGCATCTTACGGTAGGATATCATTCTATACGTGCGAGCATCAACCTCTGTTACCTGCAGTGGCTGGCCTTATCCAAGGTAACTGCTTCTTCACTATTGAAAACTGTTTTGCTTTTATTAATTTTAAATGCTAGCTACAATGTAAATAGGAGGGAGAGTGTTTGAGAGGTCAGCGCGTCGGACTTGGAATCGCCTGCATCCGGCGGCCCTGCGTTCAAGTCTCGCTCCGACTACTTGCTTGATTTATTTCTCGGTCGATCATCCCGATCGATTTCAAATCCTTGATCGTGCTTGTAAATAGTTAAGTGGTTGCCTCCTGCAAGTTGAAGCTTTCAGCTCTGTTATATTCAGTTGGATTTGTTTTAAACTTTATGAGTGGAGTGCCTGTAACCCGGGGAGAACTCCCTATGATGGCCTATACGGGAAGAGGCTCCGCCCGAAAGAGGTATCTTTTTCAGGCTTCAGGTTTATAAAAGGTTAGGCATTTCACTAGTCTAGTTGAAGTATACAAAAGGGTAGGGAAATCTGTCATTTGGGTGGCCTGTTAAAGGGCCCAGAAGGGCTAACACATGAATTTTATGGCTTTATAAAGTCGAGAAAAAGATCTATTTTGTGATTGATTCCTATTTAAAAGACAGTGCATTTACAGCAGTTAAGGGATGCAAACTTCGCAGCAAGGTATGTGAAAGGGGTACCATTTGTCAATAGAAGGTCCACAAAAGGGCTACTTTTTTCGTGAAAAAAGAATATATAAAAGGGTAAGGGGTTGAACCTCTGGGCGGGGCCTCCCCGTATAAACATTTGTTGAGTACCCCCCAGGGCCTGGAATTCCCTCGAACAGTGGAGTGCCTTAGCTTCCATTTTAAAATGAGCGCTTTTATTACCCCTTACTGTTTTACCATTGATTATTAAATCGGCCTTTTAAACTAGCTCAGACTAATGTGCTAAATGGCAAACTGTCTGTATCCATAGATATTAACGCTTATTTGAATTTGGATATTTGTTAGGGACTGAAGTCCATTTTAACATGAGAACAATTTTTTGCTGATGCAAGCATGATTACAATTGTCTGTATGCTCCATTTTCTCGATGGAAGCATAACCTGTTCATTGGTGACTTTAATAGCGTCCCTCAGTGTTTGAGCTGAATGATTCTTCCCGTTTCCTTTAAAAACTCTTCATGGCCTTGTTAGTTGTTTTCTTCCTTAGTTGCATTTATTTGGATTACCGTAGACGCTTGGTCGTTATCGGTGGGTGTGCTAACATAAGCGATGATCTAAATATACCTAAGAATTCGCGGGTCTCGGGAAACGTTCCATCCAATCTCGAAACCTCAGAACGGGTTTTGATGAGTCTCCAAAATCAGCGATATCAAAGAAACCTGACATTTCGAAGGTTTCATATCATCATTATCAAAAGCTAAGAAATTAAACTGATTTTTGCTTTAAAATGTATTTCCAAATCGATTCTTATCTCGAAGTCTCGTTGTTGTAAGAGTCCTTGAGTCTGAGAGCTTTGAACTTTTTGCGACAAGATCTCAAATTATTTAAAAAGCAATTTGTCGGAGTCTCTGTAATCTCCACATTTCGGAACATCAGAGGACGCATTCACGAGAAAAAATGAATATGTGCTTCGCAATGCGCAGATCTGGTAAATGGCCGATCTACCTTTGTTGAAGTCTAAGTCAAATAACTACCTATTAACCAATTCGCTCCCGGAGATTTTGCCGAAAAACGTGTTTTGAAGCTAGTCGAGTGCTTTTCTGGTCACTGTCGTGCTATAAAGAGCTAAAACTTACCACAAACCAGTTTACAGGTCGTACACTTCAAGGCCTTCTGATCAAGATGCAAAATATCACCTTGCGGAGTTCGGGCATGCGCAGAAAGCAAAATTTCGAGTGTTTCACTTTCTCTCCTCCCCTCTTTTTTCGCTTTTCTTGCCTCATTTTTTTTCTCTTGCTGGGCATTTAGTAGGCTTCGTTTTGGTGGCAAGAGTTTTTAGGAAAGCTTTTAGGATCTTAGGATTAGGTGAAGGGAAAGGTAGGTGAGCAAGGGAACAAGATTTTCGTGGAGAAATTCAGGTCAATGTCACATGCTTTTTGCTTCCTTCTCCGGTGTCCTTGACTAAATTGTGCTCATTCTGATATGGTTTGAAAGGTCTTTTCACTCTGCACAAGTTAGTGGACAAAGTTGTCCTTGACCGTTAAAACTGATGACGTCACAAAAGGTAGAAAGGACGTAAATCCCCACGGGCAGTTACGGGCGGTTCAGGGGCGAATGAGTTAATCAAAAAACCTAAAAGTGACCTTTTACCAACTTTTTCACCTGATTTTACATGAAATAGACAGATTTGGTTGTTTTATGCTGAAAAGTGGATTAGGCAAATACTGACACGTAAAGTGAGCACTTACATGTGAAAGAAGCCAACCTCAGACTTCCGGCACTTTTTGCAGATACTCCTAACTGCAATACCATTGCTACGAGAAAGGGAAAATGAAATATGAGCCAAATAGGAATTGATTAGGCATTTAACGAGTTTTCCAAAGGATGTTCTTGCACAGGACACCAGCTAGAAATCTGTGACATGCGCAGTAGTCATCAGATTCAGTGTTACAAGCTTAAGTTGGAATTCGTTTAGCAGACAGAGTGAAGAAAACTTAGTGAACGTAGTTACAGGTATGAATTGCGTCGATAATAATTTTTAGAGACGCTTATTTTCAAATTCAGAAAGTGGGTATCCTGTGGCTATTGGCGAAAATAAAGAATGGTGCCCACAGCCACACCCACAAATCGAACAAGTTCGAAAACGTCTGTTTTTTTTCAATACCCAAGAACAGGTGCAGTGAAGTGCATAAGAAGTATGGGGAAACAAAACCCAATAGAACTCAGGATCTACTCATCTGTCTTCTACCTGGTGTCAGTCTTGTCATTGACCAGCTTGGTTTCGTCTCAGTTGAGTTACCATGTGGACTCTTTAGTCGACACAAGAAATGCTATGTTGACTTACTCCTACGAACATGAAGGTAGGCAGTAGCTTCAATGTGTTCTTCGGGGATCATTCAAATTCGTAGCAAATTTCACTGCTAGTTATTTCAAGGGTAGTTTGTTGACATGGGAAAACTATAATGTGTAACTGCAAGTTTCGAAATGAATGCAGTTTTTCTTTAACCATAATAAGATACTAAAGCAGTTATTTTGTATGCCCTTATTATTCTGCGACTCCCGACGTTTTTACTAGCTATACTATCCTATAGAAAACGCGGCTTGAGCACGAAAGAAGTGTAGGACGAAACAAGAGATGTAGTCAAGTGTTTCTCCCTACTTCTTGAGTGCTCTAGCCGCTCTCTACAAAGTAGTTTGAAACACAACAGAGCACAGTCAAGGCTTCTTTATTTGTTTTATGATAAAGAATCCGTCAAATTCCCCACAAATTACTTTCTAATTTTCATAACAAACTTTTAGCTCTGTGTTTTAAACTCTCATAAAGGACGCATTTTCAACCAATCAGAGTTAACTTTAATAGCATATTTCCTCGAATAAGTTCGCAAGCGCTTATTTCAAATTTCAGCTAAAAGGATGGGCGCGCTTATTGGACTTATTGGAAGGACGGGGAGCGCTTATTACGTTTTCCTTTAAACAAACTAGAGGATGGTCTAGATAATTATACCATTAAAGTAATTAATTAATTAGAGTTTTGGTTAATTCAAGATCTGTGAGGGGGAGGGGAGGAGGGCGCTTATTCGAGGGGGCGCTTATTTGATACAATGGACTAGCGCGTGGGCGCTTACTCTGGGAAGGACGCTTTGGCGAGGAAATACTGTAAAAAACAATCTCCACTATTAACTTACATGCGCTTATACTATTTTTTATCATTACAAATAGCAGGGGCACCCAAAGAGAATATAGTTCAAAACCACTTAAACATAGCATTGTTAAACGTATTTTAGTATTAAAACGGTAGATATAGGCATATTTTTATCCCCTAAGAATGTTTCATCTGGTCGGATTTCCTAGCTGAAAGTCTAGTGATCCGAAAATTATAGGGATCAAAACTTACCTTTTCAAAAACTTCAGCCAGAAAAAAGGCTCCCAAAAATTCTAGGTGACCTTTTTTGGGGTAAAAATTAGTTAAAAATGGCTAATTATACCATATTTTAAAATCCTAGGAGAGGCAGGCAGGCAAGAAATTTTACAAAAAATGTTCCGAAAATTCTAGATCTCAAATCGTCTTCCGAACAGATATTTTCAGAAAATTGACGTTGGGTGCCCCTGAAATAGCTTCATCCTTTTAACAATTTCAGTGCCACTTAATGGTTTTTGCCTAAAACCCTGCAAAAGCGCATAGCGCATAGCGCCCTGTTTACTCATTGTTTCCAGCCTTGAAATCATTATCTTTTCTTTTATGTACCTGCATGCCCTGCATCTCATTAGCCCCATCCCGGTTTACCTCTTGCTGGGAGGCCGCCATTTTGAATAATCCCTTCTAGTCACCCGGGAGATACTACTTCACCCGCTAATTTTGTTTAACTTCTTGTTGTTTCATTCTGTTCATTAAAGCTTCTGCCAAAAATGCGTCCCCGTCAAACAGTTTCCTGAAAACCATAGATGACGTCGAAAAATCAGTGTATGAAAGCCAGGCTCTTCGGTCATTTTATGTACAATCACCAGCCAGACTAAAGAAGATTGAAAAGATCATCAAACTAGCTGCCAATCAGAGCAATGATCAATTATTCATCCGCCAGTCTCTTGGGCATGCGCTTTACACCGCCAGAGAGATAGAGAAAAAGAAGCCTCGTTTTAAGCGCTGTAGCGTGTGCAGAGATGCAATGAAAAAGTTCATGAAAATGATTGAGAAGGAGATTGGCAAAGAAAAATTTCAGAAGTTTATTGGGAATAGGAACTTGGATAGAGCTACGCTGATGTTTGCTATTGATGACACAGGGAGTATGTCCGGTGAAATTCAAGCAGCAAAGGACATCGCTACATACATTGTTAACTACTCGAGACCAAATTTAGAAATGGATTATATCTTGTCACCTTTCAATGATCCAGGTATGGAACTGTGTGTTTATTATAAGTGGATACTTGTATGTAAATTTGCCACACTTTTTGACTATTTTTGGTAATACCAAGTAACTTAAAACTGCACCCCCAATATCCCAATCCTCTGCCTTGCTGGTTGTGGAACTCCTGCCAGTCATCTCTTGAGAATGCAGACTAGTCGGCCAGCAGTTGGCCGACAAATTTTTGAAGGAGCTGTTCTCCACAATTAAGGCCATTTGCGTCATGGCATCGTTCGACTTCTATGACAAAAATATACTCTATTTTTCCTTTTGGAGGATTCTGATGGTAGCTGTTCTGTAACAGCGAAATTGTATGGATTTTGGGGTAAAACATTTATTTTAAAATACGAGCCAATTGTAGACTGCTGAATGTGACTTAAATTTCAATACTGTATCTTACATCTTCAGAACTAGGGAGGGTTTTTAAAAAGGACGCTGGAAAAGGAAGTGGAGATGCGTTTGTTAAAAAAATTAACGAACTTCGTGCACATGGTGGAGGAGACTGCCCTGAGATGGCCTTTAAAGGAATTATTGAAGCCTTGAATGCTGGCCCGGTAGAGGACTCTCCCCTGTACGTTTTCACTGATGCACCACCTAAAGATGCCACATCAGAGAACATCGAGGTGGCGAGAAACCATGCGAAACTAGCGGGTATAAATGTCTACTTTTTTGCAACAAGAGGCTGTGGTGACCCATCGTCTGTAAAGCCATTTGAGAACCTTGCAAGGGAAACCTGTGGTCAGATTTTTGCGCTGCCTAAGAGTAGCTCTGATATCGCCAGCATGAAGAAAGTAGCCAAAGATCTCCTTGGTGGTACAACCTGTTCCGCGAAAGGTGTTGGAAGTTTCTTCGGAAAGAAGCGAAGTGCTTCCCCTTCTGTACACATATTGCTCGTGGATGACACAATGGAAAAAATTATTGTCTCGGTTTCCAGTGAGAACAGTGGTGCAGATATCAACCTAAAAGATCCCCTGGGAAGTTTTGTCACCTCTGGGAAGAGCGTGCTGTCCAAAGTGACAATATTTGATGTAAAGAACCCAACACCAGGAATCTGGCAATTGGTGGTGTCGCCGAAGGCGGGAAAGTACACATATTTGTTCAAAGGATCCAGCAAGACAAATGTGGTGTTCGACTTCATCTTTGTCACTCCACGTCGAACAAGGACGCCCTTTCCTATTCCCTATCCCTTGAAGGGTAAGTTTTCGTTTCTTATGTGTTAACTCTTCCTGGAGAAAGAGGTGATTTGGACCACTAAAAAGGTGCAAATAATGAGATAGTTGACGGTTGAGATTTACAACGGGATCATGATCACAGCGCTAGGCCAGGGCTGATAACGCACCTGTTTAAGACTTTTTATTCGTAAAAATAAAAAACAAAGCAAAAGTGTTTTTTTATGTATAATAGTGTCCAGTAAGAAGCTGGCCTCAACTTATCAACCAATTTAACTAGTGGTATACGGATGCTTTAGTCCCCTTTTTAAAGTTAACTAAATCCAGAAAAGGGGAACTAAAACATCCCTATATCACTACTAATTTATGTTTTGGGAACGTACAATGTATACATATTGACAACAAACCCCATAGTTGCCCTCATAGCTCTTCATACACTATAAACAATTTGAGGATCTCTGTATCGCAAAGAAAAATATATAATAATTAAGAACTATAAAAATAGCTCATATATTCCCAATCATTCATTTTTGAATCGGGAGCAGCACACCGCGGTTAAAAACGATGCAAACTGGCATTGCAATACTGATTGACACAAACAGTTATTCTCCCAATGTAATCAGGGTTACAGATTCAGGAATCTGGATTCTTGAATCCGGGGCATTTTTGCTGGTGGGATCAGAAATCCGGGGAAACTCTGCCTGTGGAATCCGGAATCTTGGGCTTTGGAATCTGGAATACAGCTCAAGGAATCCGGAATCCCACTAAGAGTGGAACAGAATCCAAATTCTACTGACAAAAGACTGTAATCCAGTACCTGCTGAAATCCGGAATCCACGGCGTGGAATCTAGAATCCCATTTTCTGTTGGATTCTCTTACATGGGACAAAGTTATCAAAACAAGATCAATCTTAATCATTTTTCAGGGAACACTGCTCACGTCATTCTGATAGTAAGGGGAGCTGAAAAGTTGCAGCCCAGTTCACTAAAACTGAATATCCTAAGCACCGATGGAAGGCCTCTCCACACAACCTCTCTCAGACAAGTTGGAGGAGATGATGTGCATTTCTCAGCCTCCTTTCCTACTCCCGCGGAAGCCTTCAATATGCAGCTTAAAGGGAAGACGAAGAAGAATTTCCAGTTTGAACGCAACTCTCAAAGCACGGTGGAACCAAGCCATGTAGTTGTCAAACTCATCTACGCCCGAAATGAATTCACTGCGCCAAAATCCAGCTATGAATTCGCCATGTTCTTTATCTTAAACTCCGGGGCTACTGAAAAGTTCAAATTTCAAATCAAGGAAACTGTCAACTTCAAGGCCGAGTACTCAGCCTCGCTGATCACTGTCTACCAGAACCGCTACGCAGTCGTCCGCGTCCGTTTCATTGCTAAAAGTTCGGCTGTCCCCGGAAGCGTTGATCAGTTGTTTGTCACTGTGACCGGAGAAACTTCGAAAGTCACTGCCAGGAACATCGTGAGCTTGATGGTTGGCCCTTGAAGCAAGACGGGAACAAACCTTGGGACACTGCGTATCTAGTTGCTGTGCTTTTCACGTTAAGGGTTACAACATTCGGTTTTAATTCAGCCTCTCCTATATATAAAAAGGACAGATATGTATAAAAGCGTTGGTGCGCTATTTTCTTTTATAGAGAACTGCGAAGGCCCACGGGGGTTGATTGACAGGAAAGAGTTGTTTTTAGTATCGGAGAAAAATTATTATAATACGGTAGACTGCAGTAGTGTGCTAAGTCAGGTTTGATTGCTGAAGATTCTATAGCGATGTTAATTTAAGGGTCTACTTTAATTTGAGTATAAGAAGTATGTTAATGCAGGGTTGTGCATGTTTTCAAGGAATGAATGTTTTAGACTGTTTTCGCAATCTATTTTGAAGCCGTTTTAATTTGTAGGTGACAATTCTATCCAAGAAAAGGAGAGGTTGTAAATAATTTTTGGTTGCTATTGGTTTGCTGATAAATTAAAGATGTGTAATAATGAATTGATTTTCACCTTTATTTTCTTCATTCTATATATGTAACTTTGCAAGCTTGAAAGAGTAACCTTTTATAAATTAGAAAACAGAGTGCAGTTGAAGTTATGACAATAGCTTCGCTCCCACAAATCGTACTGTGGCTACCTGTACGTGACAAAAGTTAGTGCCCGGTCAAATCTGTGACATGCACAGTAGTCAGTTTCGTATGATTACACGGCTTACGTTGGAATCTTCAGATCCAGTGAAAGTAGTTCCAGGTATGAATTGTGTTGATCATAAATTTTTAGAGATACTTATGCATGTTCAAATTCAGAAGTAGATGTCCAGTGGCTTTCAGTGAAAATAAAGAATGGTGCAAACATGCATTTTAGAAATCTCGGCCTTAATTGTTTATAGTTGTGGCCTTGTGAGAGAGTGGCCTGTAAGATGACTGATCCAGCAAACTGTTTCGGTTATCTGTGAAATTGATTGTCGTTTGTTGTCTGTTTCTGTTACTGGTAACCAAGCAGTCCAATGACAGCTAACATTCCTTACGTGAGAGGCACCTCTGAAACCATCGCATATATTCTACAATCTTACAATATACGCGTTGCACATAAATCGTTAGCCACTTCAAGACGACTGTTTACGAATTTCAAATTAAGACTAAGACAGACCGGAGGACAGACGGGGAGCAGTATACAAGATCAAATGCTGCATGCGACTGCCAGGCCAGGTACATTGGTGAAACCGGCAGAAACCATCAGCATGCGACTGACCGAACACAAACGAACGACCAGAAAAGGTAATTTCAACAATCACAAAGCTGAACACCATCTACAGACAACCATCACATTCATTACCTATTAGTTACAATCCTTTAAAAAGAACGTTTGGAAATGGAAGTGGAAAAAAGTTAATTACAATGATTAAAGAACTCCGTGCAAATAGTGGAGGTGAAAGCCACTGAAATGACTTTCCTATAAACTTTATCAAAAATGATTCTCCCCTTGTTACCTGTCACTTGTCACTGTTGTCTTTCACTGTCACCTAAACATGTTAGGCTGGACAATATCGAGAAGGTAGCCTTCGTGGAGGCGCAAAAAAGGGGAGGAAGTTGAAGAAAAGCGTAGAGGGGCATATAAGGGGAGGGAGAAGGAGGAAAGAGTGGCAGCGTGGCAGGCGCAAAAAAGGGAAGGGGAAAGGGGAAGAAAAGCGCGAAAGGGAACTCCTCTCCCTTTGCCCTTCTTTACCCTTCCCTTTCAACCCCTGCCATGCAGGCTGTGCGAAGGCGACAAACCGTGCAAAGTGAATAGCCTAAGCCCCAGCTGAAGGCATCCCCAAACAACCTCTGTCAAACAAGCTGAAAAAGATGTTGTACTTTTCTCATGCAGCCTCCTTTCTTACTTCTGCAGTACCACGCAGCTCTCAAAGCAGGGTGGAAACAAGCTGCTTTGTAGTTGTCAAAGTCCTGTACGCTGAAAATGAGTTCAATGCGCCAAAATTCGGATATGAATTCGCCATATTCTTTCGAGTCCTAAACCCTGAGGCTACTGAAGAGTTCCACTTTAGAAATTAAGGGAAAAGCAATTTCGAGGTCCGGTACTCCGGAGCCCTCCCGAACCTGTTTATCAGAACCACTCAGCTGTCGTTCCCTCCCGTTTCACTACTTAAAGTTCGGCTGTCCCTGGAAGCATTTTTTACTTATTTATTTTGTTTGTTTAGTCACTCACATTACATAATATTAAACACATTGAACAAAAGTTGTTAATTAAACTGTAAACCAATGTGACAAGGAAACCTAACGAAGCTGGGAGCTTATGTTTGATAGGCTTCCTTGAGCTAGATTACTAATTACCTGCTTGATTACAGAGCGGGTACAGAAAACTTAAAACTTCAGCGACAGTCGATCGAATGACTATCAATGAAAACATTTTTCAGAATTTTTGTTTATAAAAACAAACAAGGAAGAAGAGCTGGTCAGTGACATAGGCAACGAATTCCAGATTGTTAGTCCTCGATAAAGGATACTGAACTGCTTAATGCTCGTATTCAGGCAAAATTGAGGTCTGTCAGTACTGAGAGGCTAGTAAAATTTCATCGTGGTGAACCCGATTACTACTTAAAAGAAGCTTCGAAAGTTATTACGCAGACCATTATGGTGATACAAATACATAAAAGTAGCATGCAATGCTGTATATGCTAAGGACTTTAAGTTGGCTAAATATAAGGGCGCGGTATTTGTTAGATAGCGAGCTTTTGCTATGCGTCGCTCTATGCACTTTGGCAAAAGGTAAACACAATTTAGGTTAGAGCAGCAGATGGAGGACCAGTCAACATTACAGTACATTAGACAGGGATATACTGGTGAGTAATGTAAGGTCCGCAACGTTTTGGATGATAGATAAAAGGAGGCTTTCGCAATAATCCCCATAGTTTTCGAGAATTTTTTTAGAAACGGGGCTAATATGAGTTTTTCAAGTGATCAATAATAACACCTACGAATTTAGTGTCCACGACTAATTTTTGCTTGATCACAATATCTTCCCCAAAGGAACACCAGCATTAATTTTCATTTTCCTTGGATGAAAAATCATAGAGTTCGTTTTAGTCAAATTTAAAGATGACTTAGCCAAGTAACTATTTTTGCAAGTTCAATAGAAATACGATGGTCGGTATCCCTTTGGAACAAAAAATTTTGTTTCATCGGCAAAGAGTAAAGACCAGTAAAGATTGAGTCAGGCTAGAGACATAACGAAGAGGTAAGTAATTATCCGAAAGGTCCAAGGATTGTGGGACGCCACATGAAATTATTCTCTGGTAAGATCAGCTGGACGAAAACTGGACGAATTGAGTCCGATCCTCAAGATAGTTTTTAATCCACGACAAAGTAGTCTCCCGAATACCATACATAGTGTTCCAGTTTTGGGCACATTGGTATCATTGATTTGTTGGTCACTGTAGCTGCAAAAAACTTCGAAAATCAGTGACAGTGACATCTTGAGCCTGATATTCACCCTTGATCCTTCTAAGAAGCAAGAAATGGAACGGCAAAACTTGGGACATTGCATATCTAATTGCTTTTCTTTTTACATGCAGTTTTTAAACATAACGTGGTTGCCAAAAAAACTCGAATGATTTAACCCTTGGTGGGCGCCGTCTAAAACTGGCTTGGTTCCCGGATAAAGAGAAAAACGCCTGTAATGAGAATTATTTATCCAGTTTAAATAAGTTCCTTTTTTATTTCCAGCAGCTACACTTCGTGTCCGAAAAATAAGACTAGGATAAAAAGAAAAAAATATGCCATTTTCTAAAAGAAAGCAGGCCAAAAATCTTTCATCGTGCCTCGGACTCTCAGTGACTTTTTAGTCTATTGTCGAATGATTTGATTTTTATTATTATTGATGGCGTAGAGGAAAAAAATCATGGCCCTTATTCCTAGATGAAAGTCAGGTGATGACGGAACTTTTAAGTCGAAATTTGAACCTCTCCGTTCCGATAATTCGCTGCTCTGTGACTGACAAAAAACACAGCCCAATGTGCCATAAGGTTATATCTGTGATTTGATATAGTGATTATATTCATGTTTACATCCTATTTTTGGCCGAGCACCCAGTAACCCAAAGTACATGAGTGCCGCATATCTGCATGTATCGGCCCTTCAAGCCACTTGTGAGCAGTGGCAACAATTTACATGGAGGCGAAACTCCGAAGTAACCACCTCAAAAGCTTTTGTGAAGGTCATTTTCCCCCTTTTTTTCTGCCCCTCTACTCACAGTGGTTTCTTCGCGTGATGTTTTTGTTGTTGATGTTTTCAAAATAGATATCGTTTTGTTTGTTCTCTAGTTACCCAGTTTAAAATACTTAATTGTGGGTGCCAAACCATTGATGTGCATGAAATTACTTTGACCGACGTTTGAGAAACAGGGCGGCCTAGTTTTCAAAAAAAGGGAAACCCCTCAGTATGAGAATCATTTTTCAGTTCAAATAAGTTCCTGTTTATTTCCAGCAGCCGTGCTACGTGTCCAGAAAATAATACTAGGTTAAAAAGAAAACAAAATCTGCCGTTTTCTTAAAGAAAGCCGTCGCCAAAAATCTTTCATCGTGTCTCTGACTCTCAGTGACTTTAGTCTATTGTCGAATGATTTGATTTTTATTTTGTTTTTATCTTGTAAAAGAAAAAAAAAACAGTATTCTTGATAAAGTAGATCATGGCCCAAATTTCTGATCGAAGGTCAGGTGATGAGTGATAAATATTGCTGGGAAAAAGGATAAAAATTTTCTCGCTTGTTTCTACCGCCTCAATGTATTAAATATGCGTCCGTACTTCATCATCAACAATCGTTTACTCGTGTTCAGTTTAAGAAAATTGAGTTCTGTCATTTCAGAAACGTTAGTTGTGTGCGTGATTGCAGCTGCGTTTTGTTAATTGGTAAACAATATCAAAGGTAATCAATCGTTTTGTTAGGTATACAGTATTCTGTTCATTAAGTGATCATGAGCTTTTGGGTCAATTTTTTAAGCCTCTTTCGGTCACGTTATGTTTCATAACTTGCTGAAGTCGATGCGTAGGGTAAGGCTTTATACTGAGATCGTATAATTGCAAAGTAAGAATCATAAAGTACTCCGACTTAAGATTCAATGCGTCTGGTTCGATTCCTATTCAAAATCGTTCTTATTGTGATTCTTAATTGTGCATATGTAGCGTATGCACTATTAGGTCTTTAGTTTGATCCATCTTTTTCCTTAAAATCCGTCAATTTTACCTTTGCCAGCCAACACGTTTGCAAACCAAGGTGGTCATGATATTTGGAGAGAACTGAAAGAGAAAAAACCAAATGCTGGTTTAAGTGTCTTAATTTTCTTAGCTTTCAAAATCCGTTATTAAATTAAACTGAATTTTTTCAGTCGTGATTTTTATTTGAATGTGTATTGTAGCGTATGTCCTTAATATAAGATTGATTCACCTCTCTCCTTACAGTAAATCCGTCGGGTTACACTGGAGTTAATTTTGCCAGAGAACAAGTTTGAATCAAAGGCTCCTAGGAGCGAGCTCATGGATGAATTGAATCAGTGTAGAAAAGACAGTTCAATAATCAAAGAAAAACATATAAATCTTTTTGAACGGTTCGCATGGTGTACGGACTTGCCAAGATACAGCGTGATTCGAAGTATCCGATTGCATGTGTACCTGAATATTCTAGAAACTTTTTACCAGCGCAGCATTTCTACTTACAAAGCAAAGATCACTTTTAAAGGCAATTAACGCTTTTTAGTTGTAAAATAATTTGCTTTCTCATGTGACTGTCAAACACTTTCGGGCCGAACGACAGTGCACTTTCTTGTAAAATAGCCAAGTTTTACATACATGAGTTTTATTTAAACCGTGGTTTTAAAAGTGCGATGCTTTCAAATAAATGTTTCCATATGATGAGT